CACTCACTTCAACTGGCCCAGAAGGTAAATCTCAAAACTGCCAGAAGGAGGATTGTAGAGAACCCTATCATTAATCCGGAGCTTCCCATTATGCCTATGGGATCCTATGGGTATTTCTCAAAATGGGGGACCCCGTGGCTGCGTTGCGGTCAAACCGTCAAACCATCGAAGGGGTCCCCCACTTTGAGACAAACCCCAGCCTGAAGCCCAGGGGGCGCCACAGATTCCGCCCAAGGCTGCCTCGGCTCAGATGAAAACCGCCTCCTGCGCGAAGCTTTTCAGCGAACGGATAATTGTCACTTGGACATGTGGGCAGACGCGACGAAAGTTTCACCTGGCCGTTTTCCGGTGTTTGAGTCAAAATGGGCAATCTCAGGACTTGCGAACAAGTGTTGACGCCTGAGAGCAGCTTGAGAGTCCTGTCTCCAGCCCATTGCAGCTATGCCAGCAAAGCCGCATCTTCTGCTCGAGAAACACAACCCTGTCCCCTGAATGTGTCAGTCTTTGCATGCAGCTCAAAGGGAAACCAAAAGGAAACCGACCCTCACCTCTCCCCGCCACCCTACCTTGCCCAAGAGCTCTTGCATCTCTTGTAGCCTCAGTCTCCGTGTGGTGCATGACGGAAATGTGCCACTGTTCGAATTTGATCGGCTGCTCGAGCTTTTTGCACCTTAAATGGGTCAACACCAGCCCTGCATGTCCAGCGAGTTTACTCTGGAAATTGTCCAGCCGCCTTTCTGAGGTCTCGCGAAGCAACTGAAGCTCGTGGCCTTTCCAGTCAAAGTGAGCTGGATAGACGATGACGGAAATGGTCTTGCTGGGCTTGCAGACTAATATGTAATCGCGTCCCTCTAATAGTGAAGGTTCCCCGAATCATAAAAGGATGCTTTCCCCAAATTCCCAAAAAGAGCATCTTCCTCACCCCAGTCACATAGGGGCACCTAAAGGCACCCGCGTCCGAAAATGCACCAGAGCTCGCCGGAAATAGCCACAAGGACCCCTTTCAAAAAATGACATGTGTTACGTAAAGATTCTGCTCCATATTCAAACCTCAGATGTAACAGCCGGGCCCTACCTCCCTCTAAGCTCCCAGCACGACCTCTCTGGGTGTGGAGCAAAACCTTGACCAAGCCTCGCGAGCGCTTGAGTTGACCAGAAAGAGTTGGCCTCGGAAAACCCAGCCCCCCAAAAGGGTACTCTCAAAAACGACACTCCCAGGTGTGTTTTAGCAGTTGTCGGAAATAGATGGGCCATCTTTCACGACTTTCCACTGGTAGAAATAAAGTTGATGACCTTGATGTACCTTGTTCAGATTATGTTGCATGGGCCCTCCCAATTTGAGCACCCCCTCATAACCTGACTGAGCCGCAAGCTGTCGCTCGGACAAATCAAGGCATCTCAAATCCCTGTCACTGTCTGCCACTCCCTGGCAGTGGCGCAGCGACGTGCTTCGGTTTCCAAGAGTGGGGGCAAACAAACAAACAAGCACGCAAATACGCAAACACACAAACGGACAAACAGACAGACAAAAAAACAAACAAACGAACAAACGAACAAACGAGCAAACATGCAAACAAACAAACGACGACACACAAACAACACAAAAAGATACACAACACGAAGAAAACAAAACAAAACGAGCAACACAAAAAGACAAACAAACAACACACAACAAACAAACAGCACAAAGCAAAACCAAACACACAAGAAAAACGGCAAACAAGCAAGCAACCAGGCAAGTACAACAAAGCAAACACACAAAACAAACGAAAATAAACACAATACAAAACAACACAAAACAAACAGACACACAAATAAAACAAGGCAAACAAGCCAACCAGGCAAGGCAAACAAAGCAAACATCGCAAAACAAACAGAACAAACAAAGAAAACAAAACAATCCAGCAAAACACTACACGACACAACAACAGAAACAAGCAAGCAACACAAACAAAATCGGAAAGCAAGCAGCACACACAAGACAAACAAGCAATACATACACAAACAAAACAAACAAGAAGAGCCGCAGAAGAAGAAAAAAAAAAGGAAAAGAAGAAGAAGAAGAAGAAAAAGACAAAAACAGCAAGACAGACACGCAAAACATACCAGCCAACCATACAAACCAAACAAAACACAGAACAAAACAACACAAAACAAATAAAAGGAAAGACAAAAAAGCAAGCAAAACAAAACTCAACAAGAGAAACCAGCAAACGTAACAAAACTCGACAAGAGAAACAATATAAAAATACCAAAAAAAAAAACACCAAAAAAAAAAACAAGCAAGCAAGCAAGCAAGGAAGCAAGCAAGCAAGCATGCAAGCAAACAAACAAGACGACAAACAGACAAGACAACAAACAAACAAGGCAACAAACACACAAGACAACCAACAAGCAAACAAACAAACAAACAAACAAACAAACAAGGCAACAAACACAAAAGACAACCAACAAACAAACAAGGCAACAAACACAAAAGACAACCAACAAACAAACAAGGCAACAAACACACAAGACAACCAACAAACAAACACACGAAGAAACAAACAAACAAACAAACAAACAAACAAACAAACAAACAAACAAACAAACAAACAAACACCTGACCAGACCAAAAAAGAAACAAACTGAAGCAGGGCTGCGGGGAATGACCACTTCTGTGATACAACGGAAAGGGCTTTCCAAAGACTATTGTGTTCATAGAAAGGGGGATTCCCTTGTATCACAGAAGTGGTTGGAGAAAAAAGCGATCCCACAACCCTGAACTGAAGCAGATCCTGCCCAGACCCGAAGGCCCCAGAGCTCTCCGCTGAGGCGCAAGCAGAGTTCGCCCGGAAGACCGGGCCCACCTCCAGCCGTCCCTGCCTTGGAAACGTGGCCCGAGGTTGGAGGAAGGGAAACCTTCCAAAAAATGACCTTGGGATTGTTTTGTTTTTTTTGTTTATCAGATTTAATACCATCCTGTTTGTTTGTTAAAACAATCCCGAGGATTCCGCGACAGCTTTACCACCTTGGCGCCAGTTTGACTTAACACCCGCAGGATATTCAGAGGGAGTTCTTTGACTTTTGGAGCGACTTTTGGGATAGGCCCCCTCCTCCTGACTCGATTTTGCTTGACCCGGACAAAATTCCCCTTGAATGGAGATTACAGCACAAGGCTACACTCACCTATGAGGGGTTTTTAGACGCTTTGCAACGCACCAATCCCGACACGGAGCCGATGCGTGGCGCGTGTCTGAGCTGAAGAAAGCCGGAGAGGTTGCGATCCGAGTGTGGGTCCAAATCTGGAACCACTGCACTTCAGGCGATCAAGCATGGCCGGAAGCCTTTACATACACGAAGATCGTTTTGCCGGGCAAACACTGCAACCCGGCAAAAATCAGCGATGCCAGACCCAATGTCATGGCCTTGCTCTATTAGCTGCAAAGCCATCACACGAGAAGTCTGCAGCTGTCGCATCGACTCCCGGCTTTATCGGGAGGACTCCCTGGGCGTAGCTCAGATCTGTATCACACGCAGTACATCATTGAGCAGTCTCAGCAGGGCACAGAACTTTATGGAGCAGTCACAGATGTGCAGAAGTTTTTTAACAGCATCCCTCGGATACACTTGCATCGATTGTTGATCAGCTTTGGCATTGACAGAACTTGGGCCACTCAGTGGATCAATCTTTTGGACTCCATGAAAAAAACTGTTGTAGTTGCTCAGGATTTTAGCTTGCCGAGAACCTCAATTTGTGGTATCCCTGAGGGATGCCCCTTCTCGGTTGCTGCTGCAGTCATGATTGGGGCACACCTCACAGCTTGGATCACCACACGCACTGAAGCGACCGCCCTTATCTACATCGACAACATTGAGATCTTGTCCAAGGACTCGCACGAGATCCACCAAGCGACATCTCTTGCGTTGCGATTTTTTGATGCGTGGGCTTTCAGAATCGATCGCGATAAATCGTGGAGTTGGACAACTTCTGACCCACAGCAGCATAAAGATGCAGCATCCTTCGAGATCGTCGCAGCCAGACTGAACCTTGGAAGTTTCCAGCGGTATAGAAAATCTACCAAACATGGTCACTTGGCAGTACGATTGCAAGAAGGTATATCACGGGCCAAGTGCATTGCAGCTCTGCCTCTCGATGTCAAGGCTAGACTCCAGGCCATCAATGCAGGGCCAATGCAGGTCGCTTTGTATGGCAGCGAAATCTCGTATGTTGGTGACCAGGCCATCCAAGGGATGCGCACCGCCATCTCCAGGGTTTTGGCTTGCCCAAACAAAGGCACGAACCACAAAGTTGTCATGATTACACAGGACAGTGGAATCCATGACCCTAAGGTTCACATCATTCTACGGGCGATACGAACTGCCAGGCGCGCTTTTTGGAAATTCCCGAACCAATGAGGATTTCGCCTTGCATATGTTTGCCAACGGAGGGGATTGCCGCAAGGCATGGGGACCTGCCAGCACCTTAACTGTTTATTTTACATCCATCAGCATTGCATATGACCAACAAGGATACATTACCCTTGCTGACCACGGGAATCGCGTGCACTTGTTTTATTCTGGCTTTTCGGACATTGAATCCATTGTCTTACAAGCATGGTACAACAAGACCTTTCCCGAGCTCACGAAGCGTCAGCAACTGCATGACCTCCAAGACCTTGATCTTGCACTGACTAGTCGAATCCTTGACAAAATGCCGCCGAAAGATGCCAGAGTCGCACGGACGTTTCTCTCAGGGGGCTTCCCGACAGCTATCCAGGCGAAGCATTGGACGGATACGACAGACAGCTGCAGACTTTGTGGCCGAGATGATACACTTGCTCATAGGGTTCTGGTATGCGAATCCACCAGCCGACCGAGGGCCTTGCATCCTGTGCTTGCTGCAACTGGCAGATTATGGGCAGAGGCTCCACGGGCTAGATCCATACAGGCATACAATTCTTTACGAGACCTATGGGACGGCATCGCCATGCCTGAACTAAGCAACACTGTTTGCGACGGGGAGGATGGCCTGACACTCTACACTGATGGTACTTGCGACAGACCAGCCGACCTTCAGATTGCACAAGCCGCATGGGCAGTTGTTCTGGATCCACTACCTGGCATAGCTGCTCGCACTGCCAATCACTCTAGGATTGAGCAACACATCGCGGAAATGCATGTTCAAGAATGCGGACGATGTCCAGGAAGACAATCAATCGGACGTGCGGAGCTGCTAGCACTCGCAGTTGCTATCGCCCGTGTTAAACACCTGAGGGTAGTCTCGGATTGCAAAGGTACCATTGACATTGCCAACTCACTTCTCGTTGGACAAGGCCTGGAACGGTATGCGAACCATCAGAATTTTGATGTGATCTCCTACTTGCACCGAGCCATTCATAAGTGGCCACCTGGACTTCGTAGGATCGTAATATCTAAAATCAAAAGTCACCAGCAACCGCCATTTGCTTTGACGTGTGTTCGGGATGTTGCAGGCAACGAGGCAGCAGATACCGCTGCAAAAAGAACTCTTGCGCACAGTCTACCTGAATTGCAGCGCATTCTTCGGGACGCTAGAGACCACAAGGGGAGAGAAACTCGAGATTTACCCCTGATCCTCTCAGGAGTTGTTGACACAACCAGGACCTTTATTCAGGCTATCAAGTCGACACGTCCATCACCTGATGCACCTCACGAGAATCCTCCTCCTCGGGGAGAATTTGGAGGCATCGTTGTTGACTCCCACAACCGTTTCTTCCAGTTTCCTGAGGATCCTACTTGGCGGACGAGGGCCATTTGGGGAGTCACATTTACACTCGCTGCATTGCAATGGGTCCAACTTTTGCGATGGCCTACACCGGGCCAGAACGTCGGACATGTTACTTGGATTGAAATGTTGGTTTCTTTCAAGGAACATTCTGGACTTGCCATTCCAACTCCGGATCCCCTGGTTAACAATGTCTACCGCACACCAGGAGTGCATAGTGTTCTGCAGTATGAGGAAAGGAGTCTTGGAGCTGAATCTGTTGCCTTCCAGAAATTCTTCTATTCGCTCAGATCCATCATCGAACAGGATATTATGCCATGGGACTTTTCAGTCACCAGGGCCGTTACATCCCCATCGCTCGGTGTTGCCGTACGTGCCGGGGGCTTTGATCAGAGGCCACAGCTGCCATACGATCAGCGGGTTCGCGAGATCCTAGATGCATACTTTATCAAGCAGCGAGGGAGCGCTTGTACGAGATACATTTTGCATCAAACTCGACGTAGTGTAACTGCAGAACCCGACGACCTCACCCTCAAGCCCAATCAGATTCGGACAAACTGGAGGCGACACATCGATGCAATCAAGAAGAAGGATCCTAAGGGAAAGCCTTAGAGGCTCACGTACCCCGGCTTTTGATGGACGCTATTAGGCCGGCTGTACAAACTTCAGGTCTTATCCACTGTCCGCGTGACAAATGGATAACACCGAAACCTTCAGGCATGGCCTTACAAGTCCGTGTGGGCCAAGTCCTCCACGTGAGGTTAGTTCCCGCCTGAACTTTGGTGCGCTTTCGTCAACACCGGAACTTAGGATGCCACCTACCACGGGTGCTTTGATGTTTGACAGGATCGCTCTTTTTCCTGGAGGTGACCAGACATGGGCCAAGTCCTCTTTCTGAGATTGGTTCCCAATTGCCGGCCAAGACTTCGAGAAATTAACGTAGGTGCAACATGCACCACGATCCTGCGCAGACAAAGGAACCTTGGGAAGGGCTGAACCTCTAAGCGAGTCGGGCATTTTTTCTCGGCATGCACAAATTCATGCGTGCCGACGGCAATGTGCAATACTTGGCCGCTTGTTTTCAAATGCCACTCCGGAATGATTTGTGTGGGCCAAGTCCTCCTCGTGAGGTCAGCTCCCGCCCTTTCTTGCTGGTGCCTACTCCTTTTGCAGATGTACTTCAAAGGCGCAACACATGCGGGCTAGACCCCCAAAGCGGGGCGAGTTCCCGCCAGATGGAAGATGATTTGATGACTCTGCTTGCGTTTTCGCGTCTCACGTTTCACTTTTTCGGCAGCTCTGCTGCGCGTTGCTCGCATTTTTGTACTTTGCCATTCTCCCTTCCCACTGTGGAAGGGCTGCCCGCGACAGGGGAGTTCGCCTAGGCCGGCTCCTCTGTCGCCGAACCAGACATGGTCCGAACAGAATCCACTTAACAACACTGCAGACCCAGTCCTCGGTTTCCAAAAAGCAAACAAGGGCTTTTGCAAAGGGGGCCCGTGCCGTGGGTGAGGTATTGAAACAAATCGCAAGGTTCCGGGTTTGCGCAATTGACGTTGCCAGAGTGTGTTGTTGTCACCGCAACCTATGAGTCGTGGAATGGTTGACCAAAAGACCGCTAATGACTGATTGAACGGCAAACCTGAACTCCAAAATGTGTCCAAGGGCTTGATGACCATGTTTGGGGTTATCTCCTATATAATGGTTTCCAACCAACCCTCACAGAAAGACACAGCCGTATGAACCTGCATTGTCGAGAGAGGCATCTGGCTCTGCGTGATCGAATGGTCTAGCATCAGGGAATGGAGATTGGAGTTGCAGCACCAACGGTGAAATCTTGCCCAATTAGTTTCCCTAGAAAGTGCCTGCAAATTGTGACTGGCGCCACTCTTTCCGCTCAAGTCCCTGACGGAACCCCGCCAGTGATGCTCAATCGGCGGCGCTGTAGCATGCCCGAAAAATACGTGTCAGTATGCTTGAGGGAGGTTAACTTGAAGGCAACTAGCATGAAGCTAGGCATTGCGAGGGAACCGCATACTGCAAATCAATGTGAATCCCCTTTGGAGGAGGAGGACCCCTTTTTGACGCTCCATGTGAAATTTGCGGGGAGTACTCATTTGAAGAACAAACACAAGCACCTCGATGCCCAACTGGAGCGCCCGGCGCCATCGCTGCTGGGCCAGACAACGCCGGCCAAGCCTGCGCTTGCAGTCAAGCGTCACGGCCATGTTTTGTGGTCGGGGACATTAGAAGTCACCCTTCCCCAACCCATACCCAACCTATATCCGACCTATGACCAACCTAACCCACCCATAAACCATGATTCCTTCTGCATATCTATCACCCCGCACAAAGGAAGCTCACGTTACAAGGGCCTACTAGGTGATGTTTGAAGCCACCCAAAGGGGAAACATGGAGAACCATAAAAAGGAACACCTCTTTCTGCGACAAGGTGGGATTTTCCATCCCCACTGGATCACGTAGGACTCTCTTGGCCAATCGCAGCATGACTTCCCCTTGCACGAAACAATCCCGTTGGAGACTAGGAGTCTCTGAGCTGTAAACGCTTAGCAGAGTTGGCATTACAACGCGCCTATCTTGGTACTGCAGTTACAGTGAATCTATGGCCCCTAGTGTTTTTTTGCGAAACATGGATGGCACTTCAAAGCAATTCCATCATTGCCATGCATCAGCCATGACCGAAGGACCCCCAGGCACGACCCCCCGAAATGACACAAACACCCATACCCAATGCACCTCAAACGATCATTTTCCGACTGCGACCTCCCGAGACTTGAGCGAGCCGAACAAAACTTATCCTTGGGCCTTCACAAACAGTGACTTTGGGTTCCAAACCCAAACTGGTTGCAAAGGCTTAGGCCTCACTAGAACCCCCATCCACTAAGGGAGTTGGGCCCCTAAATTGGCTTGCGGGGACTGGTTTCTGGCATTGCTCACTCAGCGATTTCCAGGCCTCTGGCGCGTCGATGCGTTGTCCCATGCGCGCGACGGCGCTCGCAGCAGTCGCCACAGCGTTGGTGGCCAGAGTGGGCAGGGCAGCGGGCGCCAGTGGTGACGGCACATACCTTGGAGACATGACCAACCTGAAGTTGGCTTTTGGGTGATATGCCCGTTTCGGGAACATGCCTGCCTTTTGTCAAGGGTTGACGTCATAAACATACGAAGCTTAGATTCGAAAAAAGACACCCCAGGCTATTCCAGGGTTTCGAGGCGGTCGCTTTGCATTCGATTTGCCACGCGAGCGCACGAAACGAGCTACCCGTGAGGGGTGGATTGGCCTTCCATCGGCCTTTCGACGTACCGAAGCACCAGACATGCGGCTGGCAACGCTTTTCCTTTGGACCTTGGCCCTAATTTTATCTTCGCGGTTGCTCCACCACCTCAGGGGCTATCTGGGGTGCTCACTTCTTCCCTTTGCTGCGCGGCTCGAAGGCAGAATAATTCCCAGAAACCCGTTTGTGATTCCACTCCAAACCACGTCATCGCCAATTTAGGATGATACATCTCAAACTGTGTCCTTCCAGAAGTCGGCAAAAACCACCTCCGGAAAACAACAGTTAAAAAACAAGGTAGGATAGAAAAGAAACAAGGCCGGGCCTGGGGAGGGAGGACAAGTAGTCCCGGTAGCTCCGCTCCAAGTTGTGCCTTCGCGCCCCGTTCTTCAGCAGCCGCCAGTACCGCTGCGAGGGCGGCAGATGCGGCACCGGGCCATCGGAGGAGTCGGCCAAGGCATAAGCCGTGCCCCTCGAGGAGTCGTAGAACTCGACCTGAACATGAGACTTAAAACCAAAAAAACGATGGTCAAAGAAATCCTTCTTAACAAAACCAAAAACAAAAACAAACAAAAAACACGAGATGGACAACGAAACAAGAGCCGTGGCTAAAAACAAACAACTGCAACACAGAGAATACGGAAACAATGGGCAAAAGGCGAGGCTCGCATGAGGTTTGGGTTGAGGGGAGCAAGCCCAGTTGAGCTGCGGCTCAAATCCACTGACTCTTGGTTCTACTAAGATGGCTATGAATATAGAGGTTTATAGGATTACCAGAACCAGCAGAAGAACCTGCTATGGCCATTGGGGTTGAGGGCGCTCGCCTCCACTGGCAGTAGGCGGTACCCGAAGCCCCCCGGCGGCTTCGCCGCCGCGGCCTCGTCGGGGCGCCACAGACGGCCCAGGGGATTCCAGATCAGTGTGCAAATGTCTATATGGCACTATATGGTCAGACCTCATCTATGTATAGATGTGTATATATATATACACATATATATATATATATATATATATGTGTGTGTGTGTTCATGTGTACATATATACTACATATAAATGTGCAGATGTGAACACATAGAACAGATAAATACACATTTAAGACGGTCGCTGACCTGACGCACCGAGTACTTTTCCGAGGTGTATGATGCGAGGCAGTACCTTTGATTCCTGATGGCTAAACAACACCCCGCCTTCCAAAAGATTCCCAACTAACAACACACAAGCACTTCCACCCTGAACGATATGCAAGCGAAGCAGAACCTTCGCTGTCTTCATCATGCAATCCAGCGCGCTCGAACATATCGAAGACCCCAGTGCAGGACGTAAGATTGACTATGTGATTGTAGGTAGGCATGTGTGTACTGATTTATTGATTGGCCTCCTCTCCCTCAGCTCTCTCTTTATGTTGCTGATTGAGGCATTCATTTGCGCGCGTGTGGATCAGCTTTTACGCAGTAAGGTACACTTTGAACTTTCCGCTCAGTCCCCGCCACAATCGAAGAGGCCGTGGCACTGGTAGTAGAATGACGGAATCAACTGCCCCTGATTGCCCCCAAAAGTGAAGCCGGCCATGGACTCCCGTGGCAACCCTCAACCCCTGTGACGTGGCTAAAGGGAAGCCAACGAAAATACAACCATTTTGGACTCCGAGTCCGTGAAAAAGGCATGACACGCCAACCAAAAGGACAAGAAGGGCGAAGTGTCACACATTGAAGAAAAAAAGCATGAAAAAAAGACGAAGAAACGAACATAAGAATAAAATAGAAAAAAAAGAAACAAAGAGGAAACAAATAAAAAAGAAAAAGAAAAAACACCTCTTCCCGCCTTGAGCACCGCCTCCAGCGGCGCCTCCGCGAGGTCAGCGCTGAGTCGCACGCCCTCGGAGGCCAAGAGCTTCAGCCAGTCCTCGCGGCCCAGCTGCAGGCAGACCCCGTGGGCCTCCACGCCTAACGCCAGCGGCGGCGGTCGTTCGTGGCATCCCTTCAAAAAGCCAACCAAAAGGCGGGACGGGACCCACCGAAAAGACGAGTTGGGGCCCCAAAAATGTGTTGGGTTGCGCAGTTTCAGCCCAAAAATGTGGGTGTCCTTGTTTGGTTCCCCGGATGCGCCTCAACAAAAACATGCCCACACACCCGCTTGGGGTTCGGGACATGAGCAGCGTTTGAGTCTTTCGGGACATGGAATGTGGGCGCTCAGGTTTGGAGTTTGCGGGCTTTGGAGGTTGTAGGCTTTGCACGGGCTCGCGGACGGCAATCCGGTGCAGAGCCACGTCTGGGCAGAGAGTCTTAATGCACAACTGGACCCTCCACTCATACACTTTCCCCATTGAAATGGAACCAACCGCACCTCCCCCGAAGTTCCAGGCTACCTAGCAGCTGGCAGAACCAGAAGTGGAGCCAACTCATTTCGCCCAAGCCCCATGCTGTCTGGATGTTTTCTCGCAAGCCGACGCTCCGATCCTTCCCCGCCTGGCCGCTCGGCGCGTCGCAGCGCCGCAAAGGCGGGCTCCAGGTACGGCACGCCCTGCAGGCTGAAGCACACCTCCCAGCCCCGCGCCCGCGCGGGCGCGTAGCCCTTCACGTCCAGGCGCCGCCGCGCCCTTGGCGGACAAAAGTCGCTTCCTCCGGTCCTATATGTACATAGTGTAACATTATGTGTGTATCTATATATGTATATATACATATGCCCTTCCTGTGTTTTGGTGTTTCTTGCTGTTGTGATTCTCTCCTTTCCCATGTTTTTAGTATCCTTGTCTTTCTTTCTGTCCTTCCACTGATTTCTCGCCGTACCCTTTAGGAACCCCCAATGCGTGACGCTGAAAACTGGGTGTCCCCTGTGTCTGTTCTTGAAGGGCCAAAGAGAGCCGAAGTCCCAAATTGGAAGGTCCAAACGTGGGACGCTTCCCTTCCCGCCTCGTGCCCGCGTCCATGTTGGACCCGAAAGCGAAGTTCCAGGCTACCTAGCAGCTGGCAGAACCAGAAGTGGAGCCGACTCATTTCGCCCCTCAAGCCCAACGCTTTCTGGATGGCATAGGGGTCTGTCTTTTTAGGAGACCCTTTTAAATGATGAGTTTCCTTTTAGTTCTCCTTTGAACCCACCCCAAAAAAGGAGTCCCCTTGAAAAAACAACAGACCCACAACGGGTTGAACATGAGAAAACAGAAAACGCTGGAGGTGGGGCCAAGCTGAAATTTCAGCTAGCCTTCTGGCTACCCGCACTCTGCTGGTCCAGACCCAGACTTCCAGGTGGGGTGCCTGAAAACCCAAGCGGTAAATTAGGGCAGGCTGGCTGGAAATACCGTGGAGAGTGCAAGCCATGATCCGGGGTGCGCAAGTCGCAACATATCCCCCATGCCTCTTTTTTACCCAGGCACGTCATCTAGGGGGACCTCGAGAACTCTCATATTGGTTGATTCAATTTTGGCGCCTTCAGGTGTTCCTGTTCTGAATTTCTGAATGCTGACTCCAAAAAACACAAGATCTTCCAAGATTTCAACAATAGGTCCCCAGGCTCACAAGACATTTTGGGGAAAGGTTGTTTGGAAGATGGAACACTGATTCCAACGAACACGGGACTTGGGACATGTGGCTATGTTGATGAGAACCGTCTCTCAAATGGGACATAAATCTCCACATAACCACATGATGTCCATTCGGGCCGCGAAAATTCGCACCCAGATGGGTGTGTCTCAAAATAGGGGACCCCTTTTTTATGGCTAGCCAAGAGGACACCACCTACTTGGAGGGGTCCCAACTTTGAGAAACACCCATGTGAGTTATTTGACCCCCTCCCCGCCCTGGAAATCAAAAGAAGTGCCTCGCCCGGCACCAAAGTCACGCCGCCTGCCAGGGTCAGGTGCCATTTGCCCCAGGTCAAACGGGGAGGGCAAAATTGCTTGCATCTTCATTGATTCATCTTTGAAACACGGAGGTTGGCTTATCTTTGAGTCTTTGAGGTTGGTTGGTTTCTCATTGCGCTCAGTCCTGCGTGGATTGATTCACCCATGTGTGGACTTCCGTCTTTTTTCCCGCCAAGCCCCTTTTCCCCGAAGTCCAGGCGCTAGCGAATTACACGCTTGGGCAATCCTTGGGTTGCTGTATGCTTAAACCATTTGGTTGGTTCATGTGTTGCCCTCCAACAATCATGAAAGCTGACAGAAAGGTTTTGGACATCTGCTTTGCCTTGGAGTAAGACTTATTGTTTCATCCATTCAGCATTCCCTGTTTGGCTCGAAGGGGAACCAAAAGGCGAACCACAATTCGGGGCGTCCACCCACAAATCGTCCTCGTTTGAAGTCATGTTTGGTTCATCGCTCGACCGAATCGCGGCCAGCACCTCCCGCGAGCGCCACCAGTAGCCCCAGTGCCGCCAGCGCCGTTTCTCGGCGAAGCCGAAGCGGCGCCATGGCTCCAATCAGAGGCACATGGGGTGCAGTCCTGAAAGTGCCATACGTCGTAAGTCATCATGGCGTCTGGTTGAGGGACAACTGGGAGACAAGCAAATCTTTGTTGCTTGGGAAACAGGAAAACTTGGAACATGAAGATGTGGGTTCATGGCTAGATGGGTGGTAGGTTCGGAGGAGTGATAGGCAAAAGACATCCCTACTCTGCTGCGAGAGCCCTTGTGAATCTGCCAAAAAGGCGTGACTGGTACCAAAGTGCGTAATTATCCTTCTCAGTTCCCTCACGTGTGGGACAACTGGCTTATTCAGTGACACCCCATATGGGCCTGGGTGTCTTTTTCAGGGCACCCATTTTTGGGGGGATGGTTTCAAGGTAGGCAAACAAAGGGACACTAGGTGGAGATAATCTCACAGAGCCAAAGCTGGTTGGGCGTTGGGTCGAAAAGTGCCCTTCCCCCGATCAACCATGGCTAAGGGGGAGAATGCAAATGTCTGAGCCAAGCTTCTGAATGCGAAAGGAGGCAGGCGCCGATGGGAGTGAAAACTCAAAGACCTCGGGGACCTTGGGCCGGCCATATCCACGGAAAGCTCTCCATCAAACCAAACCTTCTAACAACAATCATTGAACAGACATATGTGCGCAAGTCATCCATATTTGATATCAAATACCTGCTGGAAACACCTCAAAATCTATTGGCTTATTTTCACCTGCCAACTGCCCCAACTGTCCTGGTTAGGGGAAAACGTCGGACTTCGTGTCAATTCGGTTTACACGGCAGATTCACACTGCTTTTGAGGTTCTATTTTGATCCGTAGGCGAGAAGTCCCAAGATTTCTTGCTGAAGTACAAGAATTGCCGATTTTTTCGCGAGCAAGATGAGGGCTTCTCCCTCCCAAAGGAGTGACTATATTGGTTCACCACCACCATCACCACTACCACCACCACCACCACCACCGCCGCCACCGCCGCCACCGCCAGCACCACCAGCACCACCGCCCACAAAACAACAAAAATGCAATAGAAAAGTGAGCGATCCCATGAATGGAACTTTCGTGGGGGGTCGCAAACCCCCGGTGGCTGAGGTTGCTGTACTTTTGCCCCGGAAAATTGAAAGCTGGGGCTTGGAACTTGTCTATTAAGATTAGTTGGCTGCGCCAGTACTTTTAAACTCGAAACACGTTTGCTAAAAACTCAATCTAAATGCCTGACCATGCGCCGGGTTCGAGCGTTGTCAAACATGACGAAACCCTCATTCAGCGGCCAAACAACCACTGGAACTTATCCAACATAAGCCGATGCTGGTGCTTTCACCTGGCACATCCCCCAAAACTAGTATGGGAAGAGGTGTCCTGAAGGAAACTACTCTGACGTCTGAAATCAGGTTCTATGTTTCGCTTCTTGCCCAAAGTACCTTCTGTCCTTTCAGCAGCCGAGGAACCCCTGCGCGCAACTTGGATCCTTTTCTCCCCCGACTCGCCGCTTCTTCGCGGCGGGGCCAGCTTCCGCCTGCTTGCAGGATGGAGATCTCGCCGAGCCAGGTCTCATGGTCTGTCAAAAGAAAGCTCCCCTATTGTGCCTGTTTTGTTTCCAAGTTCACAGAACCCATCAAAACGAATGCTCCCTGCATAAGTAACAGAACTAGCACGCCAGGCAAGCCCTCTCAAAGTTGCTGACGCAAAGATAATGTTGAAAGACACCTGCAATGGCAAACCTTGGGATCGCTGAAATACCTGACAGCCGTCCCCTAATTTGACTGAATCACCCAAGTAGAACAAAAACCAGTGGAATGTAAAACATGCCGCCAAGCATGGCCTCCGTACATGCCCGCGAATAAAATGTCAGCTGGTCATTCCAGCAACCCACAACGAAAGTTTGCCTGGCGTAAATGCTTCGCTTTGCGGCCCCGGCAAGTCTCATTTGCACTGATAAGACTCGCTTGAACATGACCCTGACTGGTTTATCTCTCAATAGGTAACCACCTCATGAATGGCTTCCCTTGTCTCCCTTTGAAACAAGCCCATAAATAATTGCTGGTTGCTACGATTATAACAACTATGTTTGGCTTTGAAGTACCCTCACAACCCCATTCTACCCACTAACTGTTTTGCGCCCTTTGTAGTACCATCGACATGCTCTGGTCCGTGGATCAGCAACTCCGTGCCTTTAGGGCTCGAGCGACGGCCCGAGCAGCATCTTCGATGGTCATCTCCTGGCTTGGCTGCAAAGCTGAAGAGAAGAATGTGTTGGGTCACCCCAAACAAAAGGCAGCAAAGGACTGGCGTGTCTTTGGGGTCCTCATTTTGGAACAAGCCCACGCTAATGGATGTCGTGGCTCCCTTTTCGCCATCTCAAGACCAACAAAAAGGAAGCCATGGGTACAAGCAGGAAAGAACACTTGAGTTGCAGCACGCAGGGGGGGGGGGTGAAATCAAATTGGAGATTCGGGGGACACATGATTGGATTCATTCACCAACCATGTCTGATGGCTTGCAACTCAAGGCTCCAACTCTCAAACCAATGTTGGCTGTTGGGTTTGCACAGTCTCCTCACCGTCTGCCCAGTTTTCTTACTTTGCTGCGAATGTGTTTTGGCGCGCCTGTGCAAGCTGCGGACTCACGAGTTCAGCACCCAAACTTGCCACAGCAAAACAATCCACAGCTTACTGGCAATTTGGTGACAGTGCCTATGACGCCTCCTTGCTTTACTAGAAATGTTGGATCATGTGAGTTCTCAATCTCCGGCTACCCCCTCCCCCTGGCCGCTCTTTGGTGGCCTCCTCTTACCTCGTAAAGCTTGTCAATTTCCAAGCATCCCAAGAGGGAGTATTCAACTTGAGGAGCGGGTGAACGAAAGCTAGCAGTTGTTGCATGAGATGGGTCGGTGACAGAGTGGATTCATAGGTAGCTTGTGTACAACGAGAGGCCCGGCAAGATTCGTAGGATGCGACACGCAAACGCACATGGTGGCGTGGCAAACCTTGAAAAATGAAAACAACGAGAGGCGTCAGAAGCTGTCTTAAAGCACCTCTGGGTTCTGCATGCAGCGTGTGCAAAGATTCTTGCGAGGTGGTTTACCGAGAAGACTGAGGTCTCAAATGAACAAGCTGAATCGGTGGAACATGTAAAAGTTCGTAGCACCAAGTCCAAAACGGGCAAACCGAGACTGCTGAACACTGAGCCACTGCCCGGGGGGGGGGATGGACCAGGGAGGAATCGAGCCTGAGACCCGGGGGGGGGGGGGAGGGGGGGGGGTCTAAATAATTGATGTTTTTCAATCTTTTCGGCTCAAATAATTGAAAAAATCAATCTTTCGGCATTTGAGCCCCTTACCTTGCTTACGCAAGGAGAAACTTCAGCTAGCTAAAGCTACCTTTCGTGACAAGGCAGCATTGCTCCAGTAACCGTTGTTCTACCCTTGTGGCTTGATCGCCTGGGCAAAATTATCAGAACTCCCCAAACCGGAAATGGGTGGCTCTCCCTTTTTAGGCTGGACCCCCAAGAATGGTGTGTGTTTCTCCCTGTTGGCCCCTTTACCCCCCCAAAACGGGCGGGAGGTAGCAACTCCAAAGAAAGAACTCAAGGACAGCGGTGAACTCCTTCGACCCCGCAAAAGTTTCGGGCGATTTCTCCTCGCTCTTCCGCCTCGGCGGCTGCTGGCGCCGCGCCTGTGGATTTTAAGAGGCGGCTGGTTTAGACAGCTACAACGATGGACAACAGCAAGCACGTCTTGCTGAGGGGAAGTTAGGTCGGCGAGCACATTTGTGTGATGTATGTCTGGAGGTCTGGAGGCGTTTTGACGAACCCATTTGTGAGATGCCTGCCAGCAGAAAACTACCTCGTTCCTTGAAACAGCCCCGCGGCAAAAGAAGAAACGGCCGCAACGCCAATGGCTCAACTTGGATCGCATCGCAGCCATGAGAACCTTCGAAAATGATTTGGCATGATCCCCTCAATTGCCTTTGAACGCCACTTCTTGTGAAGGTATCAGATCTCCCAAGTCACTGCACTTGCCGGTGTAGTATGGTCTTCCGTCCCGGCTTGCATTTTCCCATGGCTGCGATCCGAGCTGAGCCACTGGTATGTTTGTTTGGCGTTTCTTCCTTTACCGTGGGGTTGCTCCAGGGAACGAAGCAGCTTTCTGCTGACATACATCACACGAATTCGTTCGTCGCCAAAATACCGGTTGCCTCTGGTTTCCCTTCAAACCACCCAGACGAGTCTGCCTCGCTCGCGCCTCCGCTTTGGCTCTGGCCGGAATCCCGGCGTCCCAGGCGGCGTCGGCGATGCGCGCGGCTTCCTCAGCCTAAGCGCCGCATCCGCCACTGTCGGCCAATCCAGTGAGCGGCTGGTATAGCAGGCTCTTTTCTGGACGCCACTTTTCTGGCGTTTGCTCAGCATTGATGTTACAGGTAAAAGATGGTCAAAGGACGGCTTGGTAAAGCAGGCAAAGACCCAAACAACCAAATCAAACGGATTCGTGCAACATGCATTCTGACTGTTCAAGTGAAGATGTCCCAACATGGTCGGCCAATATTCTCCAAAACGAGGCGGCAAAGGTCTCACAAGGCAACAAAAGAGCGATCCCTGCACGGATACGCACATTCTGTTTTCAAGGGACAGTAGACTCCCAAAGGGGTCTGTGCATTTCCATTCGTGGAAAGGTGCTTAATATATTGAACACGCTGAATTAGAGACTCTGATGTCCCCGTTCATTCACTAGGGCACATGGGATGGAACTCCAAGTGCCATGTGCATGGGCTGGATTGAAAGCTGAGCCCTGGGTCAAGCTCAAATGCGAAATCGGCCCCTTGGTGCACCCGGAAAGGTTCCTAGATGTCCTTTTGCGAAATTTTAGACGGCGTTCAAAGCTCAACTACTGCTCGACTCAACTGAAACCGGTGGAATGCATCTATGTTCAAGCTGACTGAAAGGGGCGCAGGGTCCAAAACGATCTCGGACTCTGCCGTCATTTTTTTTCAGTAAAACGCCAGGGGGGAGGGCTTAACCACTTGTCTTCTCACCTGGTTGGACATCGTGCGTTCTGGGGCTCAGGCGGTGCAGGCACGATGACCCTGACCGCCCTGGCACCGGTCCGACCGGTACCTCACTGAGGTAAAAGATGGGCGAATGTCATGTCCAAACTCCTGGAATTTACCCCAGGAATGAAGCCTTCATTTCTGGGTGCATAAGCAATTGACTCTATTTTACCATGGGTTGTAGAAGGCCTGTGATGCAGAAAGAAAAGGCCTTTCCGAATGACTGATCCTTCACAAGCTTGCATGACCAACCACTCATTCCAACCCAAATACTTGCAGCAACTGCATCACAACTTCCGTCCAAATCCATCCCTTTCCAACAGGAGCCCATTTGGACTTGAACACACACCACCTTGTCACGCCATGCGTAGCTTGAGGCAAGTCCGTTGGGGTGTCACGACCGGTTCGAGAGAAAACTTGTGCCCTGCCTCGGGTGGTTGCTGCATGATGGCTATCCACTCCTCTCCTAGGCCAATGCGCACTCGTCGAGTCGTGGTGCCATGATGGCTCCCAGTCAGTCTTGCTAAGACTCGTATAAACACCACAGATATTCCGGTAACGCCTGTCCTATGTCTAGAGGACCTTCCCCGCGTGGCGATGTATCGTTGGGGTGCCATCATCCGAAAATGGCCAAAAGCAACCAAAGTTCAGTTTGAACAATGAAGCCTGATTTCTTTTCAACAAGGAGGTAGGAACAGACATTGTCCTTTATGACAGTTGCCATTTTGCGGGTGCTTGCCTGTAGAAATCACCAAAAGGAGACCCGCCTTTCAAGTGGCAACCAAAAGGCAATTTGCTTCACCTGAAACCAAGGGGACCCTGGGACCCGGGCGCAGTTCGGGCCAGCCCTCGGCTCTGGCCTGACGCATGCCAAGCCCTGGCGGTTTCATGACTCGGAGCACTGCGTACGTAGGTGTCCTCCTTGGGAAAATAGATGGCCCTGCTAGATGACTAAGCCAATAGGTTTACCAGTTCCCTTTGTTTCTCAACTAAACTGACACCGATGACTGTGCATCTTCAGGCGTGCCATCAAAAAAACAAAGTCCAGAGATGCAGGCCCCCCACTGCCTCTCCATTCATCTGGCTGTTTCTGGCGCTAAAATGGCTGTGGCTCAAAAAATGCTACCCAATTCTTGTTGCCTTGGTATGTGGGAGCACGACCAACATCTCCACATGAAATGAAAGATCCGTCCCTTTTTTTCGAGCATACCCCTGCGTTTTTGAGAACCACAAGGAAACCGTTGCGCCATTTTTGTGGTTCCGACCTCAAAAACGAGGGGCACGCCTTCAAGAGGCGCGCGCGCAGCTCGCAGGCCGCTGCCAGGTCCGAAGTCTGGCGGCCCTTGATCTGGCGCCCCACCTGCGATGCGAACGTTTCGAGGGGGGGGGGGGGGAGGGGGCAATCGTCATGGGCTCCGACATGTGAAAAGACAAGGGTTCCCGCGCACATATATATATATATATATATGTTACGGACATATACATGTATATATATATATATATGTTACACATATATATATATATATATATATATATGTATATATTTATGTGTTACGCGCATATATATATATATATATACATATATAAAAATATATATATATATATATTAATATGAGGCACGCGGATTCTCGGGACAAAAGTGAAACGTGACGTTTTGAGGTCCCCTCTAGTTCACGCTGTGGTAGTATTTTTCAACATCACCTTTTGGCTGCCAATTTCATGTGCTGCTTCCTCTGGGATGATGCTGAAATCGTATGCCCTGTCTTGGGGGTGTCAAATGGCACTCCCAAAATAGACATGGAATCCCGGAAAAGGTATCTGCAGGCCAAACAAAGCGAGTACAAGCAAATTGAACGTGATGAGGGCATCAAATCTGAAACCATGGGCTGGATGACACGCAATGGAGGGCCCATCTCTCCACTTGGCACTGCCCAATGGCGAATCTCTCCTTACCTCACAAGCCCGGATTTGCAAAGGAGCGCACAAAAATCAGCTTCCAAACCTCTCCTTATCTCCAAGGCCCGGCACCAGCTTGCAAATGCATGCTTTTGTTCCAGCCCCATTCACTGCGGCTTTCCATGTTCAAAACGTCAAAAGGCCTCCCTGCTGCAGTATTGAAGTGCACTCAATGTCGAGGTCAAGTGGGAACAGAGACAGCTTTAAAGGGGAAGCCCGTGAAAGCCCGGCCATCAAACCCATATTGGACTGGATGAAATTATGAATGCATTCGTCCACATGGTTTTACCGACGCCAAACATGGATTGCACCAGCTCGAGCCAAATCTGAGGTTCCCAATTTGAACTGGTAAACTTAACGGGCAGCGCCCGCTAACCTGCAACCTTAGCCAATGTTGTGTTGATTCGCTAAATCTGGCAAGGGAACAAGGAAAGCCTGAATGCGGTTCTACTTTTCTTGCGCTGCCCGTTTTAGGGACCCAACAAATAATCTTGCACTTTTTGGAGCCTTCGCTTGGAGCCCTTAAACCCAAGCCGACTGCCCTTTAAATGGCGGCATCCTTGGCGGCACACGCGGCCGGCAGCCCGCCTCGTAGTAGGCGGGGATGATGGCCGTGAAGGTCAACATCTGCAGCTCTTTGTCTGCATCCAACGAAGCTTCTGAAAAAGCCTTGCCAGCGGAAAGCACCCAGGCCGAAAACAAAAGGCACTGCCACATAGCTCTCATCGAAAGAGGAAGGCCGCACTCTGTACAGTAGGCCTCAGGGAAGGATTGCGCATTGCTTTTGAACAACCCGGCCGGAAGGCCTCGCTAGCCTCCATCTAGCCGATTCTGATTGTGGCTCACAAAGTTGGAATCGAAACCAGACATTTCAGCCGACGAAAATGGGGTCCATAACTCAGTCCGGAAGATGCGACCTCTTTGGTATCATGTGAAGACCCCCACTTGCAGACCACTGGAGCGACCGGCTGTTCATTTTTACCATAGCCACCACTGAGCACCGGCCAAACATGCGCTGGTTGCCCTGAAGCAAGGAGTAAGCCCCTCATCCCACGTCCCCAACAACATCCATTCCCAACCCCTTTCACGCCAAGCAACCAAAAAAACGGAACAAGAAGAGCCTCTCTCCCAACGGCAGCAACAGCAGCAGCAGTAGCAGGCACATCCGCTGCTCCACCCGCATCCAAACAGCCTGCCTCCACCAGGGCCGTCTGCACTTGGCTGCTGCTTAGCTCATTCGCCTGCCAGGGCTTTTGCCGGTCTCGGAACCCGCAGCGCCCCAAACGGATTGCCTAGGACCCCAGGGTGGTATCTGATGACGATCATGATATGCGACTGCTTACTACTCCAAGATCTAGAACACAAACCGCTAACATGAAAGACAAGATAGGCAATAAACCAACGGGCAAATCATGCAAGGACTATAGTATGGGAAAAATGGAGAAAAAAAGCGAGATACACAATGAAGAAGTGGATCGACAACTACACAACCAACACATATGAGTCATATGAGTGTACGCAATTCAGCTTAAATACATATTAATGAGCAATCTGGAATACACATAACCAAAAACAAAAATAAGTATAACAACAATAACAACAATAACAACAATAACACATTCTCATACAAACAAAGAACTTGCGACATCTCGCTCGATGTCAAGGCTCATGTTCGAGAAGCAGACCCGAAATGCTGCACGGGCTGTCCTTAAGCAGCGGAGTCCTTAAGCGGTGTCTCTGTCCCTTCAAACTCCAAAGACTCACCTGCCAAGCCCAGAAGTGAAACGAAACGAGAGGTCCCTTGACCAAACGAAAATCAAAGAAAAGGCCTTGGGCAAAAGAGAAGGGAACTCAGATTGGCACAAATAGACAAGACCCAACTGAACCAGAACCCGCCTATTTCCAGCCAAACTGAAACCGCAAAAGACACCAACACCAGGAAGGTGTCAAGTCCCACAAGGTGTCTTTTTGTTCGGCCTCCTTTCACACGACCTCGCATGAGGAACCAGCACCGGGGTCTTTTCGAAGATCTGGACACAATTCGATGTTGCAAGTGCCTTCTTGGCATTTGCCCCTCTTGTCGGGGTTCTGTTTTTTGGGCATTTGCCTTTTCGGGTTTGCAAGCAAAACGCCTCCGGTCCGTGGCGCCCCGCCCTTCACCACGCCTCGGCCTCACTTCGACCCAGCAGCTCCTTGGTGCGCAGCAGCGCCGCGTGGCGCTGCAGCACCTCGCGTCGATTTTTCGGGCCCAAGGGGTGGCCAGCGAACGTTTGCGTCTCAGGCGACTGTCTGAAGCGCACAAGCAACAAGGCCATCACAATGAGGGCGATCTCATCTTGCAGAGTCCGAGTAACTCAAGCCCTACAAATTCGTCGAAACCATGTTGAGGCCGGACAGATATGTTGGATGTTGTCGTTCTGTTTGCATGCTTTGAGCAAAGTTGCTTGGACTGGCGAACAGCGACTGAGATTCTAGGCACGCATGTGATTCATGTGCATTGTGCGCAATTGGAGCCGATCACAATTCTTGTACTCTGTTCTATACATTCCTTCTGAATGCAAATGGCCTTCCACCCCATGGTGGTGCCAAGTCCAAGGCTTAGCCGTGACGGTGGATACATGAAATGCCTAATTTCAGCCAAGCCGCATTCTCCAACGAAGGATCCGGCTTTGCAGAAATGAACCTCGGCGGCTACTTTGGTGCCCATGACTGTTGAATTAAGCGCCCAACCGCCGCACCCCAAACAAAGGCCTTGGGGCTGGTCTGCAGGGCCCCTTGCTATAGAACGTCAACAGAGTACAGGACCCAGCTGAGTAACTGCTCAAGCATTCAGCACCGAGAGTATGGTATGCCGAGTAGCAGGCAAGGCAAGAAAACGCTTGCCTTGTACGTGGGCGGAGAAGTACCCTGCCGCAGTATGCCACGACGCCGGTCACTGCCACCTGCTGGTTTCCAGCGCAGGCCCTGAAAAAGAGATAAAACTGGTTGGAACCTTCCAAGCGGTTGCTTTCATCTGCGCCCCCAAAGAATCCTGGGTCATGAAACTCACCAAAAATCATGCAAATCGGCGTCCGAACAATGGGGGACCGCCTCAAAATGCTCCGAATGCCACAAATGCGTACTGTAGCTCCGTGGTCCTGTCGTCCAGCTCATTTTGACAACGCACGAACGCACGCACGCACGCATGAACGCATACGCACACACACACACACACACCACGCAGGCTTTCGGCAGTCACGTTTTGTCCGTGTTCTCTTCCCTAGGACCTGAACGCACCTCGAAACACATCTATCGATGATGATCAATTCTATCAATTCTTAAAGATTGGAGAACAACATGAAACAACATCACCAGTTCAGGGAACGAAGAGGCTGACCCCTTGACCGAAAATTTAAATCGCCATTGGAAACCCCAAAGGCCAAACAGGCCGTTTGCAAAGCTCTTCACTCGCGATGCCTCCGTCCTGCAACGCCAACGGCCGTTCGCGGCTCTGGGCCTCTGGCTCATGCCCGGTTCATTGCTGGTGAGAGGATATCACGTGGGTCAGGGGTTAGGAAGCGCTGGTTGAAAACTGGAAAAGCCTTAGCAACGTAGACTGTAGCCTGATTGGAAGTGGAGGTTCTCGGGGGTGGTGCTCAGACATCGGGAGCCCCTGTGGCCATGTCCTGAAATAAATAGTGTTCTGCTTGGGACATGCGAACGAAATGGAATAAATAGAACATCAGCCTGTGTCCTGAACTTGTGAACTCCTCGATTCGAAAAAATGAGAGGGTCCTTGGAGCCTTGTTAGGAGCACCTGGCCATGAAACAAGGGAAACCCGAAATGACTGGCAGATTTTGAGGACCCCCTAGAAATTTACGGAGAAGGCTTGGATACTTTCTTTCGGACACCTGGGCCCACTTGCATGGAACCTATTTTGGCGGATATACCTAAAGGATAACATCCCTTGCACCTTGCGGAAGCCAAGAGATCCCCATTGGCAAGTTGGTTCACTAGCTTTGCATGTGCCCAACATCCTTGCAATGGGCGGGGCAGTCCATAGCTGCAAGCAAGTTGCCACATTCGCATCCTCCGGCGCAGCTTCCTGCAAATGAGAATCCCGCTTGCTCCAGAGCGTTCTCTTATGCACGTGGGCCTGCAATCACATTGAACTTTTATGTTGGTGAGACACTGCCCCATGTTCTAATGGGTATGTGGCATCCCTTCAAAACATGGACCGTGAATGTGGACCGACATCTGCACCCTGCCCCTTTTCGTGATCCAAGTAACTGGCAGCAAGGTGGTCTGTCACAAAGCGTCTCCGCAAACTGGCCGGTCAGAAAGAACCAATGGACATGGCATGGTTGGTGGACATAGCTCTGGGCCATCCCCACGACTTTCAAGTAGCACACATCGATTGCCCACGGCGCTCCTGCATGAAGCTCATGAGCGCCTGTTGCACCTGCGCAGCAACGAGCCGACGGGAAAATGGCGCGCAAGAATTGCTGGGGAGGGTCCGATCCGATTTTTGCGCGAATCAGCTCCAGTTTCAATCCTTCTAATCAAAGGAACTGGACTTCCGGGTATAAACCAGTTCTCTACCAACTGCAAACCCCGTCCAGCTGCTTGATGCGGCAGGAGGAAAAACTGTCCTCCACTTCATAATGCTGATTCAACACGGTTCCGAACACATGGACGCCCAACAAGGCAGACTCACAAAACAAATTGGCTAGAAAATGAACATTCGAAATGGGAATGGTGAGACTAATCCTCAGTCGGGTGCTAGGCTAGGACGAACCCTGAGCCAATCGAACCATGCCAATTCAAGCCCTATCCCACTTGACACGGTAATCTGCTTGAGTGGTTGGAACATCAATGGTTCCGCTTCCTCCCACTACCATGGCACCTGTGGAAACCAACGCTGGAACATCAACCTGGAGCCACTCGCTTTGCCCTCCCTCCCCCCCCACAAATAAATATATATATATATAGTTATATATATATATATATACATGTACATCTACATATATATATGTGACCCCCCAAGACAAAGCACAATATTGTAAAACACAAATGGGGGAGGGTGCTTCTCATGTTGCACCAGTCTCCTAGGAGCACAGACCCTGATCGGCGCCTCCGGCGCCAGGCGCTGCAGCGCCGCCTGGCGCTCGCCCCGCGGCAGCGCCGCCAGCAGCTGCCGCAGCCGCGCCAAGGGCCGTGCGCGCGCGCCCGCAGAGGCGGAGGCCTGGGAGTGGGAATCGAAGAGAAAGATGAAACGAAGCCTTGAAATGTACAAGTAAATGTATGTGTATGAACACACATATATATGTATATAGATATATATATATATGTTTATTTATATACATGATAATATATGTATATATGGTCCAGCCCCCCTCCACCCCCACCCCAAGGGTCAATGATGCTGGCAATGCTGGGGATGCTGTCCAGCTCCGGTCGCAGACTTGCACCCCAGAACCTCTCGCAACATCCTACCCTAAACCAACCCACCCTACAACCCCTACCTTAACCTCAACCCTAACCCCAAATCAACCCGAAGCCCAAACCCACCCTAAACCCACCGCAAAAACCAACCCTAAACCAACCCTAAACCAACCCACCTCCCAACCACCCAACCACCCCACCCCACCCTCACAAGAAGGGGGGGGGTTGGGGGGTTCACGGCCTGGAACATATATGTACGCACATGATCTGTGTGTGTGTGTGTGTGATTGTAGTGCCCTCTGATTCTCTACGCAGCTTCAACTGTTGGAGCCCAAGACTGGGGCGGCTGGTCGATATCTGCAGAGTTGTGTTGGCTTGACTACCGAGCGCCCAAAAGATCTTCCACACAAACAGTCTTATTTGCTCTACGTCTGCGAGTGACTTCCTGCTGTCTCTGCTGAATTGCCTGATCGGTCCAAGCATCTATTGAAAAACTAAGAAGACTCATGCAGGATATGCAAGCCCATTTCTTTGAGCCTTCACCACACCTTGAGTTCCCTACGACTTGCGGGGGACTTTGACAGCTGGGTGCCCAAACCTTCTGGATCGCCTCCGGGGGGGGAGAAGTCGGCGCTTGCCAACGCCCTTGTGGATCGGCAGTGCTGCACGAATGTCTCTTTCCGGGTGCTTGATTCCATGTCAATCTGAGCGCGCTCAAAGAAGCGCTTTGGTTTGAGCTTGCTTCGGCAAACTGTGCTTTGCTTGATGCAACTCTTCCTTGTGGCACAACTGCATCGCCATCTTCTCCATCTGCAATTCCGTCTTCTCATTCTGCAACTCCATATTATGATTCTCCATGACAAAGAACCAGCTACCAAACAGATCTGCGCAATCGATAGAAGTTGAGGCAGTCAAGGCGAACGTGCGAACCCGTCTCGTTAACGAGATAGGGGAAGCGAGGGATGCTCTTCAAAGGCGTAAGGCGGCGTAGGGAGGTGCGTAAGCATCATGCAAATGTGATTTTTAATGATACCTCATTTGTTCATTGACTCATGTTTATGTGCTTTAGACTAGCTGTTTGGAAAGGCATTGACAAGTATGCCACGACCCGAACTTTGCGCAAAGTTTTGGGACGTTGACATTGCTCAGGCAACAGGCAGCCCTAAGCCGGTCAGCTGAGCTCCCTGCTGGCAGACGCTTCGCGCCTGGCAGGGAATGCAAGTCCTGAGACTTGAAGGCCTTGACACAGAAACGGATCCTTCATGTAGGTAAGGAGTCTCCCCCTGGTAAAGAATCAAAAGATCAGAAAGTCCGTCACATCTTACCCACGTTTTGATTGCGGCCCGTACTTTTCAGTAAGCTCGTTCTATATGGAGAAGGCACTGTTCGATAGTTCTGTTCTACCCCAGAACGCAACTTGGTTCAGCAGACCGTGAGCTAAGCTCAAACCCATGTAGATTAAGCGAAACTTGAACAAGTCAAGAGCCAAATCCAATCGGCCAATAAAACCAGTTAAAACCAACGGATGGCTCGGCTTGTTTCGAGTTGGTAACCCTTTTCTGTAGGTGTTAAAGGGAAACCAAAAGAAAAATCCATTAGAAAAGCCACATCCACATAAAAACCAGACCGAATTCCAATCAGAGTTCTTCAAAACCGAAGCAACCCTATAGCTTAGTTGTTGGAAGAATCTTCCCCATCCCTCGAGCAAGCCAAGAAAATATTTACATCCCTTCCAAATTAACCCCCTACCCAACTCCTTGCCCATGCTTAACTTGCTGCTGCTCAGCAGGGAATGAGAAATGGAATGACCCTTGAATGGCCCATTCTAATGGTTTCCTAGGGAATCCCTGGGTTCATTCCCCCGCCCTGCTGAGCCCCGCGTTCCCTGCTGAGCACCAGGCAAGGAACGTCCGACGCAACGATGCGGCCCGCGAACCGCCCGCCTGTGGCCACCGCCACCGCTTCCGCCGCACCCATCCCCCGGGCCAGCGCCGCATCGTAGGAGTCCCGGGAGCTCCTTCGGCCGAGTCGCCGAGTCGCCGGGTTTGGCCCCGAAACCGGTTGAGGTTTGACTCCAACGCGAGATGCTAGATATGTTACTTTTAAAAAAATGAAGAAAATGGGATTCGGACACCCCAAAATGGATTCCGAGTTTCCCTGTCGTTCCCCGAGCCAAACAGAAATGGCAAAAGTAAGATACACCTACAAAGCAGCTCCCATGCAGAGGGCACCCAACCATTTGCCAGGTCTAGTTTGACACACTTCCATGCTTCGCAGGTGAAAACCACTACCTCCAAAGCACGGCGCAAAAAAAGTGCCTAGATAGTGGGGTTGTGACTTGTTTCCCTTGTTTCCCCTTGGGCTAGCAAAAGCCCTCTCAGGCTTAGAACGTAAGGCGCAAGACCCAACCGCAAACGATGGCAAATCACTGGGCGGTCCTTGGTTTCTACTTGCAACATCTAAACAATGAACCGGCATGTTCATTCATAGTTCAAGCAACCGCCGTGTTGATAGCTGCGCAATTGTATCCTGGTATCCTTGCCATCTCTCATTGACACAGACCCCCTTAGGTGTCAAACAGTCAAGGGGTACTTTAACAGGGCCACCCCAAAGTCGGGTGTTTTATTCCCCATTTTCAACCATCATTATTTTCAAAAACCAGCTGTTTCCGCCGGATTGTTGATGGCTGAAGTTTCCCCTAAACTAAGGTGTGCCAAATTCCCTTTTAAAGAGTGCGACAAACGCCGCCATTCTTCTTTCGGTCTCCTGGAGGAGAGCACCTCAAAGGCCGTGAGCACTGCATGGAAGAGCTCCTCACAAGTTTCTTGGTGAAATAACTTGGGTCCTTTGGTGGTCCTTTGAATGTTTGGCGCTGGTGAAGAAGGACTAGAGCCCAAGTGAAGCCAGCTATAATTATTTGTACCGAACTTACCTTTACAAAAATACCACTGTTTGTTGGGCACAGGTTTGGCAATTTGGCACGCCTCTGACAAAATCCTACAAAACTTTTGCAACAAATTGCGCATGCCTTCAAGATGAATCCTACACTTTGGGGATAACCAATCATCGCACCAGCCGCATACCCCCTAGTTAACTTGCCCCCTGTCCCGGCGGCTTGCGTAACACAATGTCACAATGTCTACCGAGATTCTTTCCTTATGCCCGAACAGCATGTAACATGTCCTGCCATTGCGGGGTTGCCAACTGCAATTTTCAAAAAGTAATGAGTAGAAAATTCCTGGATTGATGCTAATGACCCTGACATGTCCAAGATGAGTTATTCACAAAAGCTACCCATTGATACCAGTAGAGCAGGCGAAGCTAGCGGACCAAAGATTCAACTATATAAAAAGTACAATTGTATTTCTCTGTCCGTTATTTCTTTTCCGTTCTTGCTGTTTGTCAGCGTTCATTTGTTGTTCTTTCTTTCTCCTTTCCTTTCTTTCTTTCGTTCATTCTTCCTTTCTTTCTTTCTTTCTTTCTTTCTTTCTTTCTGTCTTTCTTTCCTTTCTTGGTTTCTTTCTTTCTTTCTTTCTTTCGTTCTTTCTTTCTTTCTTTTCTTTCTTTCTTTCTCCCTTTCATTTCTTTCTTTCCTTCCTTCCTTCCTTCCTTTCTTTCTTCCTTGTAATGCTTTATGTCTTTCTTTCTCTCTTTCCTGTATGTCTTTCTTTTTCTTTCTGCCTTTCTTCCTTTCGCCCTTTCTTTCTTTCTTTCGTTCTTTCGTTCTTTCGCTGCTTTTTCTTTCTTTCTTTCTTTCTTTTCTTGGCTTTCTCTCTTTCTTCCTTTCTTTCTTTCTTGCTTTCTTCCTTCCTTTCTTTCTTTTCTTTCTTTCTTTCTTTCTTTCTTTCCTTCCTTCTTTTTTTCCATCCTTGTCTTCCTTTCTTCCTTTCTTCCTCTCTTTCCTTTCTATCTTTCTTTGCTTTCTTTCCTTCCTTCTTTCTTGCTCTCTCTCTCTCTCTCTCTCTCTGCTTCTGTCTTGTCTCTCTCTCTATCTATCTATCCATCTATCTATGTACCTATCTATGTATCTACCTATCTATCTACCTAGCAAACTGTCTCTCTATCTATCTACCTATCTATCTCTCTGTCTATCTATCTATCTCTCTGTCTATCTATCTTCAATACGGAAAGGAAGAGGGACAGCTAAAAGCACGCTTCTTGAAATTTCGCCCGCTTGCGCGAAATTGCGCCCTTGTTGCGGGGAATTGCTCCCGTTGTGCGGCCGAATAGTCTGGCCGGAATCTTGCTGGTTCACAGCTTTTACACATGAGGTCCAAAAGAAGCACTCGTTTCCAAAACCGCGAGCGTTTCCTCAAACGTGGCCGGCTTGCCAAAAAGTATCCGTTTTGTTGTGGGCACTGAAAAAAGCATGCCGAACGAAGATCTAGGCCAAGGTAGTAAGCAAGATTTGCGCCAAGCTTGGGCAGGCAGGGTTGGTCATCCACGCGTCGTGCCAAAGCTGGGCCCACAAGAGCGCATGTGCCTGGCGTGTAAGCTCCTGCACGGGGACGATTGCCAAGCATGAGAGATGCGCTTGTTGTGCGCCGAACTAATCAAGTGCTCTGTAGCCGCAAAAGCAAAAATCTCACCCGAATGGATGGGCATAGTTGGGCAATGCTTTGACTTTGAGTTCTTTCTGATGGCAGATGTGCGGGGTGATTACCTCCTGCACCGCAGGCATCTCTGTGGCGCGGTTCCAGCATGTTTGCACATGCAGCCCAACCGAGCACCAGTGCATAAGTTTAAGATTGGCAGCAGGGCTCGGGCAAAGCTTGGGATCTGGGTCGACGCCTAAGGTAAGCTGGCCTCATGTGCAAACGTGGCCCGCAACCTGCCAATCTGCTGACAGAGAATGAAGCTCATTGATCAAGATTCTGATAGCAGCCGCGAACGACTGAGCTGACTGGCAAAATTGTGGATTGTGCTGTCAAATTGCTGGCCATCTGCAAACCAAAGGCCCGCGCTGGCTACTTGCACAGGCATCTAGGCTGTGTGTCTTTCACCGATAGCACATTTTAGTATCAGGCATGGTCAGCTGACAAACGAGCTGCTCATGTTGAAATGCACAGCGCAGGCAACCCACGCAGTTGCAGCTCACGGCCAGTCGTCTTGCAAGCACTTGACCAACTAGAGTGCAGCAATGCAACTGTACTTCTTGGACATCTTGATAGGCAGGCATCTCTCTTTGGTGCTTGCCCTCGGAATAGCTACTGTTCTAAGCTCTTCTTAAGCCAGCGGCAGGAAATATCTCATTATAGCTCGAATGTTCTGCCTAAACCTGTGGCTTTTGTTCAAAGGTCATTGACGACAGCTAGGTGAAGGCAGTAAAGGGCCACGCCCCATCAACAATTTGAGGTTGTACACCCCCCGGTTTCTGCGCAGTTCCATGCTCCTTACCATTCCCCATTCTAACCATTTGATAATTGTCCAATCTCTCCAACTCATCCCGGAATGAGCAAAACACCAGGCTTGTTCAAAACAATGTGTTCAGACTCTAGACATCTAACAGGAATATTGAGCTTTGCAACACCTTGTTTGGTTGACAAGTTTGAGTTGCATCTCTTCTTGTAGCCCTGGGTTGTAAAGGGGCATTTGGGGGGTCTGGTGGTAATACCTCTGGGCCAAAGTGTCTGCCCTTGCCCATGCCAGCTTCCGGCCCCCACGTGGCACACAAATATCAGGTCGCCCAAAACACAAGCAGAATGGGCAGTTTCGCCCATTTCGCTCCTGGCACGCTAACCTAAGCTTACCACAAGTGGCTTTCAAAGTGGAGCAACCCAACCAAGCAACAATGACTGCGTACATATGGGAAGCAAGCACACGGCCAAAGCAACCGCTCGACAAACAAACCTAGGAGATCCCATCTCAACCAGCGCTTGCTGTCTCACACCTCACGCCTCACGCAGCCTCTCGCTCGAGAGCCTTGCCGTCTCCTCGCTGCCGCCTTTGTCAGGATGCGCCTGCCCAACCGCCAACCTCAAACATCAACTCAGTGAGGTTTCAGGTCGGCTCCATGACCATTGTTTTCCCACACTTGGCCCACCCTTCCCTGCTTATCCTGGAACGTAAGCACGGACACAAAGTAAGCACACTTTGGCAGCTCAAAATTTGCGACCTATCAGCACAAGCAGTAGACGAAATGCACTGTGGCAGCTCCAGCTTGAACATTGATGGCCCGACGGGGTATTGTTCAGTTTTTGGCTGTCGGTTCAAGACCCTAATATTTCTTGGAGCCAGAAGCGCTTTATTACTTGTGGCAACGAGACAGTATGCATCACTCCGCACTCGCAGGACTCGGTTTGGGTCCCGTCAAATCCGACCCAAGGTAGTTGAATTGGGCCTGACATTCAACAATGACATTAGGGCTTGGCTTTGGAGGACCCCACTTGGGGTTGCAATTGTGAGTGGCAACAGCACGTGTCGAACGACGAGGGCCGCAATACCTTGACACATTGAGTTGCAAAAGTGCACCGGGCCCCCCCATTTTTGAACAGCCAGGCTGTGCCGAAAGTACCCCCCCCTCTTAGCGCCCGCGACCCTTGTGACCCATGGCCTGCAGCGCACTGCGCCGGTAGGCGCTGCGGATCTCAGCATCCGTGTGCGCGCCGCCCGTCAAGCCCAGCAGCGCGTACAGCTCCATGGCTGTGGCTCCAGTGCCAAATGGGTGGCTAGTTGGATGCCCCAAATGGCTTCGGGTCTCCTTTCGGCGTTCTCATTAAAAGGAACAAACCCTCCAAAAAGGAGAGACCCACATGGCCCGCTTTCGGGCCATTTGGGACAGGGAGTCGAAAAAGCGTCGCGCCTTGCTGCTGGTTTGACCTTTGGGGTGGGAATAAGAAACCACGTGTTCCTTTTGATGTCGCCTTTTGAGCAAACGAAAAAGATCAAGCTGTCCTTCATGCCACTGTCTATGCCACTTGTTGCTGCGACATGTTGTGAGTCAACCGCCCGAGGCAAGCATTGAGGTTAAGTCAACGCCTTCCATTTCAGGCAAAGCCGAACCTATTTGTGAGTGAATCAGCCCCCAATCCTACAATATAGGCTTGGGTCGTGGCTCATTCGTTCCAAGCCTTCCTTGAGATCAGTTGCTGCAGCCCGTCGAGCTGCTCCGAAGTTGCGAAGTTGCTGTCCTATCGCACGGTGGATCTTACCCTCCCTGTCCAGCTAGGTGTGGAGGGTACCTGGCAGATTCTCAGATCAAATTACTTGGGTGTGAGCTTTAATTGGGGACTCTTTGGTAGGCATCATTTGGGTGGGGATTCATGTCCACCAACCACTTTTGAGGTGGGTCCCTACTAAAATTCATGGCCATGTTTGAAGGAATGCAGCTTGCGGGAGCGCAACCCTTGCCGTCCCTTTCCGTTGGGTATCTCTAGGATTTCGCTTCCCTGCATCCCTGGGCATGGTTGAGGATCACCTATTCAACTGGTTTCCTATCCAACGACTGTGATTTCTTCTGGGGGACTTGCCAACTTCGTTCCCCGGTTTGCTGATTGACTCCTCGCTCTACTCCTCGACCCTCGTTCGCCAGGGCAAAAACCAAAGGACATGTGGCCCCTCAAAGCCTGGCCATGCCCCCGGCCCCGCCGCCAGCGTTTTCTTGGTTCTCAGCCGCGCATGGCGCTCGTGGCGCGGAAGGCGACCGAGCGGTCGGCAGCCTGGCCGAGGGAACGGGACACGTCTTTTTCCCGCGGGAAACCGAACCAAACCGGCCATAGGAAAGCACCCATAGGAACCCAGAAACTGGCAGCCAAATGAAACCAGTCGAAACCCCCTTGCTCATACCCAGATAATTACAGGATGTGTGTTGACGGATTCGAACAGATTTCCTCCATGGCGCACTTTTCTATTCATAAACTGGTGGCTTATTAATCCCATCAGCAAAATCTGGCAATTGCTTCAGATCTGGGCGCCTCGCCCGCGTGAAAGGCTTGGCATGGCCCAGTTGCCCAGTTCACTCGTCTCCTGGGCGTCGCAATTGCACCCACATTGCACCCTGCGATGACTCGAATCACACCCAGAGACAACTAACACCCACTGAGAAATCACGCATTTGATTTGCAGATATGTGCAGCCCAATGTGGTGGTCTATGTTGGGTTTTTTTCCTGAGGGTGTAATCCAAGGGTGTGATTTAAAGAACTCTTCGATTGATCATGCTGAGCAAAGCAGGGTCACGACAAAAAAAGGGGGTCTGAAAACGAGTTGGACCTCTCGTTTTAGACTGACATCAGCGCTACCAAAAGGTTGGATTGACCAACATCCCCCATGATCAAGCCCTTTCTTTGCCAAGTACAAACCAAAATATTTGCCGACATCAAAAAAAAAACGGACATCCAAAAAAACAACGGGATATGAGCAAAACAGTGTCAAAACGGAGTTGGACCCATGCCATGGCCGCCTTCTTCCGCGACCTTCTTGGTGGCCAAACCTTTCCGCTTCTTCCTGGCTCAAGGAACCCCAGGTCCCATCCCCCCAAATGGCGGGGGATATGAGCAAAGGCTCCCTTACCGGGGCGTACCGGGGTGGACACCCCTTCTTTTTCAGCCTTACCGCGAAGCTCCGGCCAAACTCAATTGGAGGGGCACCAATTCTTTGGACACAAAGCCACATTCCGGGTGTTAAGCCTTCCCTTGAGGGTTCCCTATTACCCTTCCACGAAACTTAGTGGCAGGTCCTCAGGTTTTTGTGACATGGGGACCTGGTCAGTTGCATTTTACGAGTTCCCAAGAAGACGCCTATCACATGCGAGCAGCTCCATCCGACGGCGCTTTGGTTTCGGTGCACTCGACAGCGACAACGCGCCAGGCGGGGCCTCACCACACCTAAGAACCCGCCAGCGCCCAAACGGCTGTGGAAGCGGTGCGAGAATACACTGCATCTATTTGTTTCTATGACACACTCTGATTGTGTACTCTATGTACGTATGCGTCCGCGACCCAGCATTGACCCCGCCCCCCTGCCAGGCACAAGTGTTTTACCGCGTTTTTGCAGGCATTGATTTGCCGGGGGCAGGGTGATTCGAGCTCTGGAGCATCCTTAGCGGTGAAAATGCTTCGCATCCATAGGCAGCCTTTTGGACAAATAGCTGGCCCTGGTAAATGGAATAAAACTAACCTAAAAAGGGCACCTATGTTCGCATCTCGTCCCCTTCAGACACATGTATGCAGTTGCTGGCAACACTACAATCAATCTTCACAAATCTTGAGACCTTGAAAGAGACTTCCCCAAGCCATCAACAAAAACTGGATGCTGAGACGTCTTCAGGGGCGGGGCAATACTGGGTCCACCTATGTATGTATGTGTATATATATATATATATAAGGCATGTTTTTAATCGACGCTATGTTGAGGCCCTTGGTCTGAAACTTTAACAACAATGATGCATGGCGCTGACGGCACTTAGCAGAAAGCCGGTGTGAAGAAAGAAAAGAACTGACGCGCAGAAAGATCCCAAGAAAGCTAGGCTGCAGTGGTGGAGCGTGCAAGTGAAACAAGGAGGCATGAGTGCAAAGACCCCAGGTCCGTAGCTTTCAGTCCGAATACGTCCAATCAAACATAAGTCATACGGGCCGCTTGGTCATACCCCAACCAGGATTGTGTCGTAACCCGTGCAGTAAGCTGATGCTCCAAATGGGTGCGGCTTTTTGTGTGAGGGTACCCCTTATTTGCGGATTGAAAGGGAAACCAAAAGAACAACTGGAGTCATTTTTGGGTGTCCCTAAAAAAGACACACTGGTGTTTCCCCCAAAAGTTGGACAAGGAACGGGGTTCCATGTTTCTCGTCAGCGATTTCCCGTCCAGTCGAGTCGAGGGATGGGAGGTTTTGAAAATGGCAAGGTTGTAACCCAACTCAAAGGACAGGTCCTTTGGTGCTCTCTGATTATGCATGGGGGCTGCAAAAACTTGCTGGTTCCAAGGGGTTCATCTTTGCGATTTCCTTGAAGGAGATCCCAAGGTTCATTCGCAACCTTGCAAAACACGGCGCAAGTGTTGGACCAGGCAAACTCACCTGACCATCCTGACCAAAAAATTCAAAGTTCGGGTGAAATAGACGAATGTTGGGGGGGGGGGGTGAAAATTCCCGCCTTGCCAAGAAAAGTCCCGGGTCTCGCAGCTCAACTTAGACCGGCGCCCTTGATCACGGACCGGGGCTTCTTCTCCAGCTCCGCGGCTCGCTTCTTGAGCCCCTCGCCGCTTCGAAGCGGGGGGGGTATCCGAGAAAAGGTCCCAAAAAAAAGAAACTCGTAGGCCTTCTTGGGCCCGCAGGCGCCGAGATCAAGAGGGAGGGAAGGGGCGAATTCATCAAGACAAAAGCAGAGTTCGGCAATGTGCTCCGTAGTTTTCGTGTACTTCCTTGAGTGAGCAACCCTGGGAGGCGCATCTTCACCCTTTGCGACTCAGGTTGGACTCAGTGTTTGAGGTGCTTGGAGTTGATTTCCCCGCTGGCTGGGGTTGACATCAACTCCAATCACTGCCGAAACCTGGTTCAAAGACCCTCTAACTCAGCCAAAGACCAGCTTGGATCCAACCCAAATCCTCTCAAATCCGCTTACAGTGCTACATGCAACGCAGCAAGACGACGTTGATGGATTAGAGGAAATGAGGTCTACTGAGATGATGCTAGGGATGTGCAGGATGGGATAGCAAGAGTTGAAACAAAACAAAAAACAAAAAAGAAAACAGTCACAGCCAGTATAGTATAGAAGAGTCGTATGCACCATCTTGCCCCCACAATGTGACAAAATACACATACATTTGTGTATATACATATTATATGTATGTGTGTATACATATATAGCTCGCTGAGGCTGCCTTTGTGGGGTCGTTTGCCAGAAAAACCAAGACAAACAAATCGCTCATGGCGACAAACCCGGGCAACGACGAGGCATCCGCCTTCAGCTTGGCTCCGATGACTTGTCCGGGCCCTGAGCTCTTCAGACCTGAGGTGATCGGGGCCCCGCTTGGATTTCCACGGTAAAGCGATCAAAGCCAGAGGGAACAAAACCTGTTTTCTGCCAAAGCTTGGAGCGTCCTCTGGGTGTTGCCTTTTGGATGCGATTTTTTGGGAGAGGAAAATCAAAGCCCCTTTTTTGAGAAACACCCAATTGAAAAACCCACACCAGAACGCCTCCCCAATTGGCCATATGCGGTTGAAAACTCTGGACAAAGAAAGCTCCCCAAACACGTAAAAAAGGGGGCCTTCCCCCCGAACCCGCCAGCTTGACTGGCCACCCACACACAGTTCCATCTTTCCCCCTGAAGGCTGGAATTTGGCAGGCCTGGGGTGAGTTTCCTTCTGGTTGGGTGTGTGTTGGACGTGCAGGGAGCCCATGGGCCCAACAGACCCTTTGGCTCAAACCCGAGGTCACCGCTAATCTCCCGGGCCTCATTCATCGGCACCGCGCCTCGGAGTCCACTTAGGGCTGTCAACGATTCATCGGCTTCACGGAACCTCTGCAAAGAGTGATGCACTGGTTCCTAGTTACTGCAGTCGAGGAGGCAACCTTTTCCCCTTGAAAAAGTGAAAGGCAAGATCAAACAGCAACCAAGTCATGTTTTCACTGGCGGGAGATGTCACCCACTCCATTGGCAGATGTTTTCCTTTTTTGCTTCTATTTGTGTTGCTTCTGTTTCCTTCTGCGATCCCTCCTTGCATTTCGCATTGCATGTTCTGCCCGCTTTGCAGCTTGCCGTTGCAGCTCGTTTGGCTGTTCACCAACCGCTTGACGGTGAAACGGAAAGTGGCATGTAGGGAGCTATTTCAGGAACTGCGTAAGTGCGCCTTTGACCGGCGGTCAGACCTATCCCTGGCGGAATGAGGCCACCTACATGTAGGGTCAAAACTCTGTGCGTGGGTTTCCTAGCCCAAGCTTTTTGGGGTGTCAAAAGGCCATGGGACAAAAAGAAACTTGCTTTTGGCTACCCCAGACCTTCCACCAGACGTGAACATTCCACCCTCCCCATTTTCACTGGCTCAAAGCCATGTGTTTCTTCAAAGGTTCAATATTTATTTCGGCTCCCTCTGCAATGAGACCATGTGAAACAAAAAATAGAGCACTAAAGCTCAATAAGTTCTAAAACCGTTCGGTACTCAGGCCTCCTAATTGTAAGTAGGCTTACCAAACCGCCCTGTCCGCCTCCCATTGTTGAAAGGAGGGTTCAAGAAATCGTCATTAGATTAACGCGGTTCAGTACAAGTATTTCTTACCTCCGGAAGAAAAGAAGAAGAAGAAGAAGAAGAAGAAGAAGGAGTCACCTGTCACCAGCGGCAGTTTGCAGGGCTGTCTGTGAGCCAGCCTGGGGCGTGCGCCCAGTTTGCCTCTGAGGCCCTCCAAGTGTCTCAGCAGCTCCTGGACCGAGCGCAAAATTGTGTGGCAACGGGAAACCAAAGGAATACTAAAACCCAATCTTCTCCTGAGCTGCCCAAAAAAAACAACGAAAAAAACACACACACAAAAAAGTTATCAAAAGAAAGAGAGAGAGAGAGAGAGAGAGAAAAAAAACAAAAAACAAAAAACAAAAAACAACAACAAGAGAGGAAGAAACAAAAAAGAATAATAACAAACATTTAAACATCCAACTGTTGCCTGAAACCAAAGGGAAGCCAATCAGTTTTTGTTGCTTCCCATCCACCAGCTCAGAACCCGGGAACCTGCTCGTAAGCCGTCAGCTCCGGGCCGGGCCGCACGTGGCCTTGACCTTGGCTCCAGTGCTTCGTCCAAGCCAGCCCTTCGGAAAAATGGACAAGGCTTCTCCACAGAAGGGCGGCAAGCATGATGCAACATCACTGGCAAGTGCCCTTGAGTGCAGTTGCTGTTCTCTCGGGACACACATTTTCCAAGTGTGGCTCGCCGCTTAGGCTTTCGTGTCTGGAGTTGTTAGTGGTACACCCTCAGTGCATGACAATGGAACTTGAGTGAAACCGCCTGGCGGGACCTCTGGTCTCTGCCCACATGGGACATGTGAGGGTTGGGAGAATGTCGTCGTTGGTGTAAACCAGAAACAAGCAGGTCTGCCACAAAGAAGAGCCATTTTCGCCAAGCCCACGCCCTGAACGCCCGTTAGGAGCTGAGACCCACGGCAACCCCCACGTGGTTCCGTGGCCAATTTGGCAGGCCATCTCTCGAGGTTCCCGCGAGCCGCGGCGCCGGCCTTCTGGAACAGCTTGCTGCTGCGCATGAAGGCCTCGAGAAGCCGATGCAACTTGAGTCTCCCTTCTCACGTCCGAGCCGGAAAAAAGGTCTTTGTATAGGGAGGAACTCAGGGAGTATCTGAGGCGTCTGTCTTCCAGGGCCCCCTTCAATTCCAGAGGTCTTGGAAAGAGGGTGCCCAAACTTTTTTGAGGATCTACCTGTATTCAACACCTAGCCTCCCATACCTCGAGTGGATGTCTACGGGGGACAAAGAGCACCTTGCGTGAGGCGTTGATGTTGAAACCCCCTCCAAAAACAAGCAAACGAGATGCCACTGGTGGTTTGAGGTTTATTATGTAGTCGGAGTCCAATCATGTTAACCCAACACCCAACCAGAGCCTGGCGGAGTTTGGTCTTGGAGTGTCCTTTTGGGGACAGAAGGCGAGCCCCGGATTTCTACACGTGGCTTACATCAGCTGAGGCCCCAACCTCTGCGGAACGTCTTAAGCGCACGTCCCGGAACCAGCCCTTGCCTCAAGCAGGCAGCTCAAAAAGCAGCTCAAAAAGCATCCAAGCACTCCATGTTTGGTCAAAGGTACATAACATCAGACCCAAAGGCCCAAAGGCCCAGATGTCCCATGGGAGATCCCTAGATCAGCTCACTGCGGCTCAGGGACCCTGGAGGCCTGGATCCCCGAAATTGTTGGCCAAGCTCAGCTGAGCAATTTTATATGCCTTACATGGGTGTGTCTGTTTTGAGGGTACCCCTTCTTGGTTGGTGTTACGAAGCCAAGTGGAACACCACCATTTTGGGTATCGCCTAAAAAGATGACACATGGCACCAGGTAGTAGAACTGCCAACTGAAATGGCCAGTAGGGATTTGGGCGCTCAAGGGAAGGGCAAATGTCCGCATTCCGCGGCCAGTCCAACGTGACCTGGCGAAATGGCAACGGCTTTTGCAGATCCATCGCGTCAGGTAAGCTGGATGGCTTCAGCCCCAGCTCTCAAAAGTTGGGGGCCCTTTTTTGGACCCCCAAAAGAGGGGCCTATGCCTTTGAGCCGCCTTTTGGGATGGTGCTGGAAGGGACACCAAAAGGAAACACGTCATGTTGAAGGTACAGGAAACCCATACACTCACACAGACCTATCTGACGCAGATGGGTGAATACCTGGGGTCCTTGCGCCGCAGCAGCTGGGTGGTGGTCGCCTGCAAAGCTGGGAACGCTTTCAGTTCATTGGGTACGAGAACTTCCAGAGCTGAGTCCTTCGCCTTCAGGGCATCCGGCCTAATGACGAATGAACCAAGGGCCATAACCTTATGACCATTGACGCAAGGCTTCAAGGGGTCTCGAGCATGGCACAGATGTCAGGTTGTCAAAAATATGACTGTACACCTTAGTGCAGCAAGACTTCATAGTTTTGACTCTTGATCTGGGCTTGTCTCCGAATTCGAATGCCCCCGATTGCGCCCAGATTGCCGTTGCCCGAAACGGAGTCGTTTCGCAGGAACTCAACATGGTTGGAACGTTGCATGGTTCCAAGTTCTAGGCGACGCGAAAAACAACTCCAGAATGAGTTCAAAATGATTGAGCCCCGCTTTCGGATATTTGGATGGCTCCAAGCCCGCCAGCTCCAAAAACACAATGAGATCGAAGCGAGGCAAACGATTCCTCCATTCTCGGGCGCCAACTGATAAATAGCTATTGCCCAGTTGTCTTCGAGGCCTGGGACCTGGAAGTGAATCTGCGAGAGACTGGCTGGAAGTCCCCTCCGCACCTCTAGAAGCTCCAATGCCAGCTTGGAGCCGTCCACGCCCTGGCAGCTCTACAAAAATGGCACCGGGTTTGTGGTTCGCCAAAGCTTCTGCCGACAAAGAGACATCGCTTGGTGAGCCGCGCGCACATATATATGTATATATGTATAACAAGGGCTTCAGGCACAGCAAGGCAACTTTGAACGCATGGGATCCCTCAAGGCCCCTGTATTTTGTTAACCCTCTTGAAACCCTCAAATGCACAAGAGTCTCCATCGGAGCCCACCAACAAATTACGATTGTTCGGTTCACATCCCTGCACTGGCCATTGGAAGCCCCGAAAAGCGGCTGCGTCAATCCCGGCTTTTGAGAGTTAAAGATACACGCAAAAGTACAAAGCGGTCATGCCCACAGATCTGAGAGAACAGCGCGGCTTCCAACAGCAGAGTGCTGCCAGGGACCCTCTTCGCTGCCGCAAACGCATACCTCTGAGATTCAGAACCCCACACGAGCCCCACTCAAAGCCCCGCCCTTCCCCCGCCCGCAGCGGGGCCTTCGCCGAAGGCGCCGACTTGGCGGCCGGCGCCGCAGGCGCCGACTTGGGCGCCGACTTGGCGGCGGCCATGGGCGCGCTGCGAGCTTTGGCCTTGGGCTTCCGCCTCGACGCACGAGCAGAGGCAAGGCGTCACGCGCATGGGCGGTAACCAACGGGTTGCAATCTTGGCATATGAAGCTGGCGACCCTTTGAAACCGGTTTGGGGTGGACTGAGGGCGTGGTTTCCCCTTTTGTTGCTTTTATGTGTTGGAGAGCGTCAAGTGCCACAAAGGTGGCCTTCAACTGAAGGTGGTGGACATGGGGCCCTTAAGGTGACACTTTTTGGGATAAGGGAATCCTCTTCAAAGCGACAACTCAAATCGGAGACTTCCTCAAGCCCAGTTGCACTTTTCAACAAAACTGAGACTTCACCTCAGTTAAACCTCTACCTCATGCCCTACCTTGTGAAAAACCTCCATTCCTGTGCGCACACACTCCACCCACCCACCCATGTGTGGTTTCCTGCGGGTTTGGCTTTAAAGCCAATCGTTTACGCCTCGTTTGGCAATGCCCACCTTCCAGTGGTTGCAAAAACAGCCACTATTGGGGGCGTCCAACCCAAAAAAGACGACGAGTCACCGCCCCCTAAAACAAAGACGAGCCGCCCATTGGATGGAAAGAGGGCTCACGGGCGCCACTGGAGGAGCCCACAGCTGAGGCTCCCTACTGGGCCTCCACCGGCGCGGCGAACTGCCGCTTGGGGGCCAGCAACACCTGAGCTCATGGAAACCAAAAGCGGGTGTCACCCGGAAACCAAAGCGGGCTCCTTCCCACATCAAAGCTCCAAAATGGCCGGCAGCGGTGAAACGGATGGAGGGTAAGCGGGGTGAAGTTGCGCGCCTGTCGGGATCCTTGCAAAACAAATGGCACTCCCTTCCCCTCAGGCCACACCGACTCCACCCATTCAGCCCGAACGGGAAAAAACAGACACGACTGGGTAGGAACTTTACTTGCGGCAACCCCTTGGACAAAAGACACAACTTTTTGGATATGTGTACACCATCCAGCAAAATGTCCATCGCCCGGCTTCCCCTTGCCTCATTGATCTCCGCGATGGTCGCGCTGGGCGGCCCCTCTGCCCCCAAAGGGCGCTTCCGCTTTTTGGGCATGGCTCCTCGGACGACGGGGGCAAAACAATTTATGTCACTTCCACGCGAGGAAAAATGGAAACTCCGGACCGAGGTGTGCTTTTGAACAAAATGACGGATTCCACACTGGAAAATGTTTAGAATTAGAAACAAACTACAAGCCGTGCCATCTCTGCTCAATCAGACGGGATGCAAGGACACCTATGATAGGGGGCAGCCCATAACCTTCATGTTGAAGGAAGCGGAGAATGGCAAGGACAAAGAAGCGTGAATCGCGGGGAAGTGTTTGTGTTGCAGCGCCCAAACTCAACTCGTGACACTTGTTTGGCAGTCTGCAAGTCAAAGGCACGTTGTGCGGCTCTTTGAGTTTTGGGGAAGCCCTAAGGCCCAGTCTTCGGCAAATTGGTTGTGCTGAACCTATTGCCTGGGGTTGGTGGAAGTTGACTTGCCATCAGATCCTTCCAACTGCAAACACCCTGGCCGATCTTGCCGGGTTTTTCTTGAACCGCAGCGCTGCATGGCCGCGGTTCGGAAACTCTCGCCTTGGGACGAAGGATTTCTACCTCCAAACCTACAGCCTCGATGTCGAAGTCGTGCTTTGGCGAGCCATCCGGGAAGTAATTCTGCGTGCTACGTGCCCCAAATACACACGTTGGGGAACGAACCCCATGGAAAGGCAAGTTCCAGTTCATGGATCTTCCCATGGCCATATCGAATGCTGGGAATGAGAACACCATGACCTGGACTCTGTACAAAAATGTGCCACCAACTGCGTTGGAAAAACAAGGGCGGCTGGCGAAGCTGCCTGTACAAGACAAAAGGCCGCAACCTGTGCCCAACAGCTCGCCAGCAAAGGCCTGGCAAAAAGCTGTACAAGAAAGCCATGAACTTGCGCAAGTACGTCTGTCACGGAACGGCCGCAGTGCAAGGAAAATGCGCCATGTACACAGGACCGACAAGCTGGTAAAGCATCCGTCTAGGGATACAACATGTTGCTGGAGAAGACCTTTGCCTTGGCAAGGGTGACGAGCTCCTTGAGGAACGAAGCATCCACTGGTGCCGATCCAGACTTGCCCGGGGCACAAGAGGCGGCAAAGTTGCACGTCTGCATCACGCAGGTTTGACAGTCCCCAGTGAGGTCAAGCTGATCGCTACACTTGTCCGCGCACTTCTCGATGGAGCACTGGATCTTGGGACCGTAGCACTGCGCGCAAACAGAGCTCTCACCCCTCTGCTCCAGGCAGTCGGCTGAGCAAGATGCCACATCGCTGTTGCTGAAGCAATCTGACCCACAGCTCTGGATCAAGGGATTGCTGGACACGCAAACTGCCGCAGAATCCTTTGCCCTGGCAAGGGCTACAAGCTCCTTGAGGAAAGATGCATCCACTGGTGCGTGTGCAGACTTGCCCGGGGAACAAGAGGCAGCAAAGTTGCACGTTTGCATCACGCACTCCTGGCAGTCTCCGGTGAGGTCAAACTCGTCGCTGCACGTGTCCATGCACTTCTCAATGGAGCACTGGATCTTGGGACCGTAGCACTGCGCGCAAACGGAGCTTTCACCTTTCTGCTCCAGGCAGTCGGCTGAGCAGGATGCCAGATCGTCGTTGCTGAAGCAATCCGACCCACAACTCTGGATGTTGGGCTTGCTGGACAAGCAAGCCACACTGCCTGTCTCATTGGATTTGCCCACGGCAAGCACTGCCAGGGAGGCAAACACGATCTTAGCCATTGCGAGTGACCGAGTGAGGCCTTGCAACCCAAATGAGCTGTGCTCTAAACCCAACAGCCGAAGGCACGTATCAAACCCCTTTCACGAGGGCTTTCGCAGGACTGCTGCAAAACCAAGGATCGTAGCCCTTTCGTGAACCTTTCGCGAGTGACGACGATATTTGCTCGCAAATACTACTTTCAAATGCAGTGTGTTTTAGAAGACTGTTATACACGTTTGTGCAGACTTCGCCAACGTACTGAAATGGCCACCCTTCGCTTTGCTTCGGTCATGCTGGACAAACAGACATCAACATGTCCAGACGCCGTGTGCCTCTCCGTCCAAGTTGTGCAAAGCAACAACTCTTGGTATGCAATCAGCCTCAATCAGCTATCTCAGTGACAAGTAGTTGGCAAGTGCCACGGATCAGTTCCATGACAGCCTGTTCAAGATGGATGGCCAATCGAAATCCATGGTCGGAAACCATCGGTGTGACCCCTTCAGAACTCAAAGGGATTTGTGAATTCGAGTCACAGGATGAGTGCATACCAGTGTGGGTTCCTCTCATCTAGAGAAGGACGAAGGGTCTGCGCAGCCCCGTACTGGAAGTGGGCAAACCATTCATGAATATGTTGCTCTTCGAATCGTCAAGCCGAGGATTCAAGGAATTTCCAAGTCACCTGCAGAACGTTGATATGTCACGATCCAGGGCTGTTGAAGCTCCGAGGCCCGAAACCTACGCAAATGCTGGGCGCAAGGCTTAACAAAATATTGCGGCCACTGGGGCGGCAATCTAGGCGCTAGGCATAAGTGTGCATGGAGACTGTTTGTGTGTGTAGCATGCTTGGCTCGCAGCTAATCTGTGAGCACAAAGATATCTTCGGCTCAGGATCCAAGTAGCTTGCAGCTATCTTGCGCGATCTCAAGCAAAGAATCATGAGGCCGTGAGCTCAAGCTTGAGCCTGCCATGCCCGGCAACGAGTGTGATGCAAATCAATCCTCTCTTGAAGTCGCCTAAGGAAACCACCAACCTCCCCTCCCCTCCCCGCCCAGAGCCCTTCGGGCAAGCAGAAAGGGCAGGCCATCTCTTTGCTCGCCTAGGCTCCATCTAAAGATGCAACCTCCCACCAACGTGGAACCTGACAGGAAGTCCCTTTGGAAGCAAATTGGTCCAGGCAAACCCTGCAGGTTCTATGTCAGGAGGATGTGTATGTACACACCACCAGCTTCACTGGAGGATCCAACTCTGCACCCCTCTTGGGCGATTCGGCAACGTGCCGCGCTGTTTGTGTGAGACGAGGCCGGTCTTCAGCCTCTGTGAGGCTCCCGCCTCGGACTGGATCGCGGAACCTCGCCCTTTTGGGGCCAGCGACCGCTGACGGAATCGAAATCGACCTTTCCCATGAACCTTCGACACAAACACCGGGCCAACCTCTTTACACATGCCGTAACCAAGCGTAACCCAATTTTCGCAGAGTGGGCACAAACAATATGCATTGCCTTTCCACCTTCAACACGAAGTTGGCGAGTATCCCAAATTCGACCCTGTGTTGAACAACAAGACAAACTCATGGCCAGCTGAGATCAAGATAGGATCTGTTTCAGGCACATTTCGCAAAACCATCCATTTCCGCTTTCGTTGCCCACGTTGGCGGATAGGTGCTTCCGTGTTGGAAGGGGCTGTCTCCCGCCTGCGTTTCCGCGGCAACCGCGCGCTCATCGCGGGGTCATCCAGAAATTCCCCAGGCGCGGGACCTTCGTTCGCGCCGCGCGCCGCGCGCGGCTAGACCAAAAGGCCAAAAGGGGATCGGAGGGGGCAACCTTGGGAGCCCAAAAATCCGCCGCTTGAGTGCAAATGTCTATGTTTGGGACTTTTAGGGTATTGATCACTTCATGTTTATCCACAAAGGGATGTCGCACTTGGAACAGGGGGCCATTTTTTAGGCCCCAGCGACTCGGCCACGTGCCAGCAAGAGGGGGACAAAGATTGTTGACAGGAAGGCATCAGGTGAAGCAGCTATCAACACGGGCGTCAGGAAGACAACAACGCTTGAGACAGAGGGTCCCTGCTTTTCAAGTATGAAAAATGTCGGACCGCAATTGTTGCAGAAAGTGTCTCCATATTTACCCCTCCTCCCCGTTGCTTGGGAGGCTCATCGGGAAGACGTGCAGAATCCTTCCGCCTTTGTAAAGTTGCGAGGGTCGCCGTCCAGCGCTTGGTGGCTCAGGACCCCAGTCATGACCACATGATTTTCCCCGAGTGGGAGGGGAACCAAGGCAAGGGGGCACGTGAATTCAAAAAGCAGCTTGACGCGATGTTCACTTTCTTGGTTTTTTAATGTGGTGCAAACATGACGCATTTGTCGACCCCTCAAACATGTCCCCCACAAAAAGTCTCACAAGGCACTATTTCCCCCCCCTTGCAAGTGGCCTCTGACAACCACAGGACGCATGGGCTATTTGATCCATACGACAAAGATCCAGATTTGTCAACGGGCACAGCCCCCAACCTTGCGAGTGTCGTGGGTGTGTCATGACGGGCACAGACGCCGGGGCCCAGGGCTGGCCGCAGCTGCGCTTCAAAGTTATCCAGGTGGGAGCAAACAGCTCCTCAGACGCAGGATATACATCAAAACATACGGGAAAGGTGTCATGTATGCGTATGTATGGTTATCCATGTATGTACATATATATATATATATACATATATTACATGTGTGTACACATGGTATGTGTATGATATATGTATATATTGCGCACCGATGTGTATATATATATATACACCTGCATGGGTGTGTACGTGTACTACAAGGGGGCTACTGACCGGAACCATGAGTCACAACCAATCCCTGGTGTTGAAGAGGGCTACCGAAAATCATGTAAAGAATCAACAGGACACCCAGTTTGACTTGCCCAAGGCTTTCAATTGTGGCTCCTACGGCTTTTCAAGCGGAGCACTCTCATCCTTCAAGCGTGCATCTCAGTCCCACACCAATCGTAGGTTGCGCATCAGGCATGCTGACCTCAAAGCAATGGCTTCTCACGGCCATTTCATGTCTCCCGCAACCGTTTGCCTGCGGCATGAGAACGGGTTGCTTGTTGACATGTGCCCCCAAGTAATTTGTGTTGCATGCTCTTGTCGGGATGTTGGACATCGCTAAGGTTTTTCTTTGCTGCCCCAAGATCAACCATGAGGGGTCCATCAAAAACTGCTGCACTCTCCTGACTCAGCAATCAATACGATAATCCCATGCCCCCGCTTCAAACATCCCCTGCTTCAAGAAGAATCTCAAGCGTTTCAAGCAAATGGAATGTTTAGACTCCAGCCGTGGCCCTTTCGACGAGGGAAAGAAACATGTGTTGTAAAAAAGTAAGTTGGGGCTGCATGTTTTGCATTAGTGGTTGGCCCAAGCACACAGGCACACAGTCGTGGATCTGAGATTCTACCAGGGAACGACTGCACACGAGCACTAGGGACCCTCCAAGGTGGATGGCTTTGGAAGAGGCAACATTTGTGGTTGAAAGGGTGAAACACTGATTTGGGGCAACAGCGAGGCGCCTCGCCATGTAAAGGTATGGCCTTTGTCATTGTCCTCGAGCATGCTGTGACTCCCTTTTGGCTCTAAACGAACACGTCCCAAAAAACCGTTTGTGATAGGGTTGAATGCACCACCGAACGCCTCCAATGAGGTCCGCTAAAAAGCAGAAACCCGCTTTGAACAGGAAAACAGAGAAAAATAGTCTGATCTCACCTCCCAGGGATCCAAATTCCAGACTGATTGCTGACGAAATGATCTTCCCATGTCCAACCCGACCGGATGCCTGGTGCATTTTCGGGATGGGGGTAACCTTGCAGAAAACTGTGGGGTCGCCCAAAACAAATGGAACCTGCACAGGGGCTCCTGGAAGACAATGTTCCTTTTAAGTGGACTCCTGTGCAGGTTCTATGTTTGTTTCCGGGAGGGTATTTTCAGGATGATTCTCAACATACCGCTCCTCTGCTGTGTGTGTCTTGGGGAACACGGGGACACCAGACGTTTTTCAGAGCTCCCCGCCGCTTCTTCTGCTTCCTGGTAGCTGATAGCAGGCCTCCGATCGCTCTGGAACCCGTCAACCAAGCAGGTAACATCTGGGTTAATACTGTGGATGGGCGCAATCCATTTCGCACCACCGCTCAGAAGCCCAAGGGAATGATTAGATTCCCCAACATAAATACCAACAAACATTAGTTTCAACCATGGTGTCAAAGTGGTGCAGGATTTCGTCCGTCCAAAGTATGCTCGTGGGAAACGACAGTACCCTAAAATGGAGATGATTGATATGTTTGCGGTTTCCCTCCATCCTACCACGGGAAAACTTCAAAGCTGCTCTTGGTCTATTCAACATTCCCAGAGGTAAATCACCAATTCGTGGGACCTTTCTCGTAGCTCGGAAGGATCTTGCCGCATTGTGACCCGACCCAGTGCCTTGAGGTAGCCAAAAACCAAAAAATGGGCACCATTCGGTGGACATCGTTGACCAAACATTTCTCTTGTTCCAATTGTTGGCTCAGCCCGTCCCGCCGAGCGACGGGCCACTGGCGGTCCACGATTTTTGGGCCCCCCGGCCCGGAGCCAGTGTGCACGTCGTCCCGGAGGGTGATCTTCACATCCAGGGTGGGCCTTTGCAAAAGGCAACCTTTGCACAGGGCACAGGGCAAAAGAGAGAAACAAGTCAAGGGAAAACGCAGCAGGGAGAGAAGACTGAAAAGAGCGGCCACGTGCTCCAGTTGAAGACATGTGACGTGTGGTTGACTTCCATTTTCGCAAATAGGGGACCAAAAAAGACTGCCATCTGCAATGGCGCCTTATTCGCAGAGCAGTTCCATATCCGCGCGCCTGCAGGCAAGGTTGTACGCCTTGAATTCTTCGTCCATGCCCTTGTCCAGGATCCAGGTGTTCTTCATCTCCAGCCTGAGGTTGGTCAGCCAAGGGTGGTTTGACGTACGTGACTTCAATAACAAACCAAAGAGCATCAACCAGAACACAAACATGTCAAACCTTTTTTGGCAACAAATGGAATACCAGTGCATCCGGGCAAAGGTATCTTCCAGTGGCTCACTTGAAATACTGAATCCCCGAGAGCGGGAAGGTTAGGCCCCTCAATGCCCGGTCTGAGTCACTGCATGATTGTTCAGAAAGGGTTCTGATTCTGGACCCCCCCCCTCTTCCCCTACACGGGTCACAAAAGGGTCCAAAGAAATGCAGCCTCCTCTTGAAAAACCTTACACCTGTCTGCGCGCTGTACACATCTGCCTCAACATGTGTGGCAGTTGGCAATTGCTTTTTGCAAGGTGTACGAAAACTGGCTGCTTGGAGCTTGGAACCCTCCAACAACTTGTCCACTAGCAACTTTGTGGCAATATGGCCTTCCATTTCCATATTTGCGACGCATCCCTCAGAGGCCGTCAGTGGAATCATGACATTCCGGTCATCAAATCCATCAGCCAGAAGGTAGTCTTGCTGAGTTGGCTTCTAGATGCTCGAGAAACAACCACAAGTCCCAATTGCACCCGGGAGGTAAATCGATCGGTTCAACTGCGCAAGGTTTTGGTCGGATGGATCCACAAAACAGAACGATGGTTCAGTTCAAGTTCATACCGCTCCCGCGCATCAAATAGAACGTGCCTGCGCCACCCTTTTTCAAGCAGGAAAAAGAGCATGGATCGAACAGTCGCATCCGGCCTCCCTTCGAAGCCATGCGGGAAAATGTCCGCGCTCGGCACCTGACTCGGACCCCCCAGAAAGATAGCAAACGCCAAATAGATCGAGGTGGTGCTTGGCTGTGAGGGGCATGATGGGGCTTGGGAATGCTGGAAATCTGCTTGTGCGGCAAAGTGTTGCTCGGAAGAAGCAAGGGGAGCTACGGGGATGTCGATTTTGTAGGGGGTCTGTGCCAAAGTTCTAGGCCAACAAACCATGCACACCGGCTCCTTTTGAACAGGGCGTCTGGGTGTGAGGAAAAGTGGAGTCCATCACTGGGGTGACGAGGAGGTGGGGTGGAAATTCAATGGGTGCTCTGTAAAAATGGGGAACCCTGCATTGTCAAAATCATGAATCTCTTTTTGTGATCCCCTTATATAAAAGCCGCTTGGGTTCCGAAAGAGGCCCTTATTCTTCACAGCCCCTCACATGGCTTGGCTCCGTGAAAAGAAACCGAAGGATGGTCGCCATTTTGACATACCCAACTGGGTGGCATGAGTCAAAACAGATTCTTGTTGAGTCCAGACAGGAATAAATGAACCCGAGCAAATCGGAGGGTCCAAATGGTGGCCTTCCCCTCTTCGGCCAAAAATGGGTCGCCTTGAATGAACCGATCAAAACGATCCAGAGTCCCAAGTGGCGCCCTTCCTGATTTAGTCTTGGAGCTTGATCCAAATCATTCGTTACCCAATATCTGACGGGTCGCAGTTCCATAGCCATGGCTCCCTTGCAAGAAACCCTTGTAGAGGCTCACCCCACCAATCACGTTTAAGCTGCTCGTAAAGGGAAGGGCGCTAAGGGAAGTACAGAGACCCCGGTTGCAGCGGAAAGAAACACACATCCAAGGATTGATGACCGCCCCCACTACACGACCCGCGCATCTAACGAATTCAACCGCAAGCCGCACGGGGCCGAACCTGGACGCTGGCCAGCTGATCATCAGCGCCCATTACATCTGCATCGTACACCTCAAGGCGTCATCGCGTGGATCGGATCTTCACAGCTGACTTCACGTTGGACACAACCCATTGCAAAGAATCAAGGGCGGTTTCGCATCGACTTCTGGCAACAGCACTGTCCCTACACGCTTCTCATCCACCCAGGTGTGGATTGCGGCTCACCTGGCTTGCAACCATTTCTTCCCATGGGGGCAACGTTGCTACTCTTGGTTGAGTGGTCTTAAAGGCACGCTTGCCCCGCAAAAGGAACATGGTACCACGGGCAACTGTGGCAAGGCTCATTCCCCCAATGGTCTACCTGTACTTTCTTGGGGTCCCCGCTTGCGGGAAACAAGTCAAGCGGAGTCAAGCTGCTCTTTTTGAGGCAGAACTTGCCTCGCAGGCTCAACCTGGACTGACCAGCTGTGCAACAAGCAGCTGAGTCTGGAAGGGCAGATCATCGCATGTAAAGCAAGGGTGGTGTGCGGTTGTCTCAAAACAGCGGGCTCCAAACAGCTTTCCTTTCAGATATCCCAAGAACGGCATCCCCCAGCTTGTCGGGCTAGCAACCTTTTTCTCTGGCTGCTTGGTACTCAAAAGGGGGCTATCGGTTCAACACAAATCCAACAGGCTCCCCCTGGTGCATGGTGCACCATTCCAAAATGAATCTACCGGGATATTTACCGGCTTGATTCCCGACTCAAACCCCCCTCAATACTTCTTCTTCTCATAGCCCTTCGCCTTGTAGTACTCGGCGCGCATCTTCTCGCTTCCCCATCCTTTGCCCTTGTTGATGTGCTGGAATTCGTTCCAGCTGTTGCTGCATGCCCTCACCCTCGACGTCGAGCTCGAGGATGCCGAGGATGCCGCCGTTTCATTCCAGTGGTGCTCTTGCTCAAACCCCCCTCCATCGTACTTCCGCACCACCCATGTTCGGCCCCACTGATCATGAAGCTCCTGAACCCCACGGTCCACCTTCACCAAGTCCCGGGGCTTCTCCTTCACCTTAACCACCTCCAGAGGCTGCACGCCTCTCAGCCTTCTCACACAGCCCACCGCAACACCCGCGGTTTGCTTCGCCACCCACACTGCTCCAATCGCCATCAGGATGACTCCCACGACGAGCAGCACATCCAACTCGTCCACAGGCATGATGCCCTTCATGGCGGTCGCCTTCCCCACCAAATCTGCTCCGATCACCGCCAACAACCTCACCTTCATGCCGAAGCCGTCCGCAGTGACTGCCTGATCCTCCTTGGCCAAAATGGCCTTCCTCATCATCTTCTTCACCACCGGCATGCCCAGGTCTTCCCTGAACCGCTCGAAGGCCTGACCATTGAGCGATTTCGTCATGCCGTCTGCCACCAGCTGCTTCCCCGACAGGTGCGTGAGCGACCAGCCACCATCTTCCAGGGCCCACCGCAACGACGCCGCCCTGATCCGCAAGTGCCTCGTCCTCCAGCTCCCCGACCCATTTGATGCTAGGGCTATCGCCGCCACGTTGTCCCCATAGATCCTCTTCTGGGTGAGCTGCTCACCCAGGATCACCTCCAACAAAGCAGCTGTCGCCCTTCCCGCCACCAACGACTCGCAGTACCCGATCAGCTCCGCTTCCGCCGTGGATTGCGCCACAAACGGCTGCTTGGTCGCCTCCCATGCAATTGGCAAGCCCGCGAAGTAGACCAAGATGCCCTGCACGCTCTTGTGGTCTCCTGCCGTGCCATAGCTGATGTCCGAAAACACCTCCAGCAACTTGTCGTGTCGCTTCACGCTCAGGTGATCCCGAGCACCCCATCCAGTAGCCTTCGCGTACTTGAGGCCCACGTCGGTCGTGGCGTTCACATACTTCAGCAACGCCATGCCCACATCCACCACCTGCTTCGGGCTCTTCATGTTACGGGCCATTGTTGCGACTCCCGCCATCAAATCTGGCCTCGTCTTCGTTGCCAACCAAAGCAACCCGCCCGTGATTGCCTGTGCCCGTCGAAGCATCGTGGGGTCCAACTCTTCTTCCTCCTCCGGAGCCTTGTACATCGGCACCTCCATCTTTTCCCGAACGCCCCATTTCTCCACCAGCTCCTTTGCGTAGGCGCTCTGCTTCAAGTCAAAGCCCTCCTCCGACTTCCACATCTCGAAACCACAATACCTCAACGGCTCCTCCTCCGAGGGCCATTCGATATCTGACAGCGGCCACTCCTGTTCAATTCTCTTGACCGCCGCCTTGATAACCTCCTGCTTGGCCGCTATCAGCACGTCGTCCACGTAGATCGACATGAAGCCCATGTGCCTTTCGGTGAGGTCGACCCCTTCCACGTGGCATCCAACGATCTTCCAGAGGTTCGGCTCTTCCGTGACCTCAAACTTCATGTCCCACTCCACGTCCTCCTCATCCTTCCACTTCCACATCATCTTCTTGAACATGCCATCGCGATGCACCCCCCAGTCCTTTGGGCTTGTGGTCAACCCATAGACCGCCTTGTCTATGATCCACACCTCCTCCTTGTTGGCCAACCCACATTCCCGGAAGATCGCCGGCACCTCCATCACCACCGTCTTGGAATCATCTCTTCTCGGGGCATGAAGAAATGCCGTACGGATGTCGGTCCCCGCCAGAGACCACCCTCTCATTGCCGCCATCTTCGCCAAACTCCTGATCTGAGTGGCATCCGCCCCGGACGCATAAGTGTCCTCCTGTGCGGTGCTGCTTGCGAAGTTGCCGCACACCACGCCCCGGACTTTCCTTCTTCCATCGGGCGCCTTCCTCGTGCACACTGCCTTTGACGGCAGGAACTCCACCATCCCCGGCAGATCGTTGACCTCCTTCCTAGACACCGGTCTCACCGCCTTCAGCTCCTCGGTCATCGCGATGTACTCCTTCTTGGCCGGCTCGATCCAGTGCTGGAGCTCCGTCCTCACCTCTTGCATTCCCACCGTCTTCGTGACCCACCACTCCTCCTCCAGGCGGTCTACATCCTCCATTTTCATCTGTCTGAGCTTCATCTCCAGCTCATTTTTCTCTTGAACTCCTTCGCGAACCACCGGGAGCCACCACTCTTGCCCTTCTCCAACTCCATCCAGCAGTTCCATTTCCTCAGCTACCCAAGTAGCAATATTGCTGTGGTGCTCCAACATCTTCTCCTCCACATCCTCCCCCTCGACGCGCATCGTCGACAGCTTCTGTTTCCCGTTCAGCCGCCGCCTCTTTGGCGCCAAGAGGTCCACCTCCGGTCTTACCTCCAAATTCACCGCCCCTTGCTCTCTGTTCAGGGCCTCCTCTACCTCCATGTTGATCTCCTCGGGCTCCGGAATTGCATCCGTGGTCGAGAAGAACCTCCCGTCTTCGCAGCTCCTCACCCAATATCCGCCCGAGGTGAGCGACATCGCGGCATCCGGGCCCATCACCGTGACCTTCTCGCTGTCCCACCTCCAATCCTGGTAGCGGTCCGTCCATGCCTTCTTCTTCACGTAGGCAACGGACGCGAACGGCAGCAGTTGCTTCGCGGGGTATCCCAAGCTTCGAAGCTGACCCCGCAACATCCTCTCTGCTGCTTGCCGCAGTGCCAAAGGCCAAACCTCCACCTTCTCCTTGGAGGCGCACAAGATCGTCCTCGTCGCCCTTTTCAAAGCACCCACAACCTGCTCGGCACGGCCGTTCTCCTTGTAGCTATCGCCGGGCACGGTCGTCTTGTAGATGCCTCTGTCCTCCGCGAACTTCCTGATTGGAGCTGAAACCAGCTCCCGCGCCCGATCCGAATGAAGGCGCAACACCGGCAGCCCCAGCGCTCGCAACCGAGCATATATCCGTGCAATTGCCGGCAACACGTTCATCGCCTTCCTGTCCAGCACGGGTTCCGCGAAAACCAAGTTCTTGACCTTGAAGCTCGCCGCCTCTTGCACCATCTTCTTCCACTTTTCCAGGTCACCAACGTCCTTTTCGCTCTCTCTTTCCTCTGCTACCGCCTCCTCATCTTCCCTTACCTCCAGTGGCTCCATCTCCTCGTCCGCCTCCGGTAGTAGGTCATCTTCTGCAGGAAGCAGGTGTTCCTCCTCCTCACGCACCAGTGACCTCCCCTTCATGTCCACCGGGTACGTGTATACCCCCACCAAGAAATACGCCACCTTTCCTCTCTGATCTACCCCTTCCTTGCATGAGCTTCCCGGAGAGGTCCACCGCCAGGGTGTATGCATCCGGGTGAGTGACCCTCACGTGCGGTCTCCCCCGTCCCTGGGCTTGCACGCACGTTTTGCAATCCCTTCTCGCCGGCATGTGGTCGTTGAGGAAGTGCGTCTTCCATCTCTGCAGCTCGTCCACCCGCACCGGCTTCAGCTGCGGCTGCATCTTCAAATGCATCCTCACCGCCTTCATGATCTCCGTCTTCAAACCCGGCGCCCAACACGCCCATGATTTCGTCTGCTGGATCCGCTCCTCAAGGCTTCCAGTCCATTCCTCCTCCCCCGTGCCTGGGCCCCCCAATCCATCCAGATGGTCCAGGTACGGCGCATTCACCCCGATCGTCGTCGGTTTCCGCCTCCGATGGCCCAGTGCTCCTTGGTCACATCGAACCAGGCGCATGCCGTACTTCTGCTCGAAGGTCTTCCATTCCTGAAACCTCCACACGCTGACGTAGTCCGGGTTACCATCATCCCGGTACTCTCCAGGATCCCGTGGCTGCTCCTTAACAAACAGCACCTTGTCCTCCGTCGATGCCTGCGCCACCACATGCAGTGTGAGCATCCTCAGCCATAGCACCGCATCCCCATCGACCAACTCCTTCTCATATTGGTTCAGTCCCTTCTTGCCGTAGGGCTCTTCCACCGACCTCACCGGCCTAGGCCCGGGACTCCTCGTTCTGCAGGCTGAGACCGTCCTGCACGGTGGACCGCCCAGGATTGCCTTGATCTTGCCCGTCCTGGCCAACTTCAGCAAGTAGGCGAACACCTGCGGTCTGTGAAGATCCTGACCCGGATCGATGGCCGTGTCCACGCATATCACCGCGACTCCCTGCCCTTCCAGGCCATCCATCCACTCCTTCTCATTCGTACCCGCAAACAAGTGGATAACGAGGTGCTCCGCCCGTTCGAATGTCCGCCTCCGTCTCCTATTCCAGGGCAGCTCGTCCCCATCCACCTCCATGCTGGGCATCACCCGGCTCATGATCTCATCCGGCACCCCCGGAAAGAACTCCTTCAGTGCCTTGGTCATGGCCAGCTCCGGTCGGTCCTTCAACTGCTCCATCGCCATCTTCATTGCCGCCAACCGCAGCATGTGGTTCTCCTCCATGAGCTCCATCTCCTCGATGAGGCCCAATGCAATCTCGACCTCCACCATGGGGCAACTGTCTACCATCTCCACCTCTAGGCTTTTGCCCCTCCGCCGAACCTTGCAGTGTCCCTGCTTCCACTCCACTTCGTACCCCATCATGGTAAGGACACCCATGGGCACGATCGGCTGGATGTCTTCCTGCGTGATCAGCGTGAGGGTTCCCTCCTTCAACCTCATCTTTGAAGTGGTTCCTTCAGCCAGGATCACCTTCGTCGGCGTTGCGGCTTCCCACTCCTCTAGGTCCTTGCACTTCCGCAGTGCATGAGTTGCTCCCCCGTCTAGCAGGCCCTTGTTGATCACGACCGTGTTCATCTCCTTGATCACCACCATTGACTTCGCGGATGGAGCCCTCATCGACCTAAGAAGCTGTGTTGCCTCAGCCAACAGCTCCCCCGTTCCACCACCTGTAGATGTCGCCGTCCATGCCGTGGCCTCCACATCTGCTTTCTCGATCTTTTCAGATCCTCCTGCATTCCAGCATCCACTCGCTCCTGCGCCTGCGCTTGCTCCTGCAGGACCGCTTCCACCACTGCCAGCTGCACCACCTCCCCCCGAGCCGTCTCTCGGCTCGTGCACTGCAGCTTTGACCACCGGCTTCGCTGGCTGGCCCTTTCCTCCACCCTTCACCGGACAATCCGGTCGTCGGTGCTGCTTCGACCCACATATCCAGCACCGTGCATTCCGATCTCCGACTGTCTCCCAGTCGTGATTCCACTTGCACCCTTTTCCCAAGCGGCATCCATGCTCCGACCCAAAGTACCTGCACACTGCTGTGCCCATCTCCTTTTTCGCATGGTCCGGAGCGGGCCTGTCCGCTATGGTGCCCGTGGCCATTGCCTTCACCCTTGCCGGTTCCACCGCCATCAGCCTCGCCGTGTCCATCTCCGCGAGCAGCAACTCCGAGTAGTTCCAAATGCCTTGCACCGTGGGCGTGGTGTCTAGCCCCAACTGCGTCCGCGCTTGGGCAACCCGAAAAGCTTGCGGCCCTCCGCGATTCACCAGCTGCGTCACCTTCTCCAATGCAGCAGCTAGAAGCGTAGGGTCTGGGAGCGAGGCTCCAATCTCCTGCGCCCTCAGGTAATACCTCCTCCATTCTCTCAAAGCGACCGCTGCTTCTGCAACCGTCCTCATCTGGCCCAAGTCCGTGAGCTTCCTGAGGATCAAGGACCGTTCTCCAGGACCACCAGGCTGATAAGTCACCAACAGCCTGTACAGCACACCCGTGCTGCTAATGTCCCTTGCCGAGATCAACTCCTTGCGGATCTCCTCCGGAATTGCCCGCAGCAGCATGGTGACCCCACGCTGCTCCGTCCGCACGAACCTGGCGGTTCTGAGAGCCTCCGGGATCCCGACCGTGATCTTGAGCCGGTCCAGGGGAGTGCTCCTCAGCCAAACCTCATAGAGCTTCTTCGCCTCTTCCATTGTGCCCATCCACCACTCAGCCGCTCCTTGGGAGAGATCCTGCATCTGGGGACCCACCACCGCGAACCAATCCCCCAACGTCAATGGAGAATGATCATACGCCAGCTCCGGCAGTTCCACCTTTGCCCCTGCTCCTCCCGTCTCGATCTGGTCCAGCGGCTTCGCCTCCGCCTTGGTGTTCTGATCCCAGTCATCCCAGGAGCCCCAGACACCGCTCCAGTTCCTGTACCATCCTCCACGTGGTTGCTGATCCCACCTCGCCTCCCAGCCTGCGTCAGCATCTTCCGTCCTCGGCGGTTCTCCTTCCGGCACCTGAGTTCCACCCGGGGTGCACCTCCATGCAGGCGACCTCGTCCTTGCTCTCGGGGTACTGGCCGTCCTCGCTGCAAGAGCTTCCACCGGCCTTGGTGGCGGTGGCGGTGGCGGTGGCACCGGAGCCACAATCCGGGGAACAATCGCTTGTGCCATCGGAGTGACAAACATCTCCTCCACCGGCGTCTCAAACCTTTCCGGCTCCACATGCTGGTCCTGAACCGCTTGCTCATACTGTTCCTTCCAGAACTGAGCCTTCTCCTGCGCCTTTCTGACCTCTCCTCTCAGCTCCTTGATGACGCCGAAGAGGTGCTTCCGCTGTTTCTCCATGCCGACCAGCTTCTTGCACGCCCGGCCGTAGTTCCTCTCCATGTCCTCAAACAGGTCCATCTCGCCGATCAGCTCCTCCTCATCGTTTGGGCGTTGAGCCTTCTCCGGAATCCATACCTTGAGCTCGTCATTCCAAGCCCAATCCAGGTCCAGACCGCGGCCACCCCAGGTCCACCTCCTGGCTTCTTCTCCGCTGCTTCCCGCAGCACCAGCCTGTTCTTGACCTCCGCCAAGAATCCCGGACCTCCTTACTGCCGCATCCCACCCATCTTCACCTTCTCGTTGTTCTCGGCCTCGCCCAACCTGATCTTGCCGATGCTCAGGTACCTGTTGTAGCCTTCTCCCATCACTCGGCCTCGGAACCGGCCGCTCTCCTTGCCCTTCACCAGGCTGTCCAGCTTGTCGATCCCCTTGCGCGTCTCGTTCTCCTCCAGGACGGCGCTCCTGTTGATCTCTTCGACCGCCATGTTCTTCACCTGGCCGCCGGGCCTGCTGATCTCCTTGCCCATCACGTTCTGCACCTCGCCATAGTGCTCGGGCATCCACCATCCGAGGCCCACGAAGATCACCTTCTCGCCCCATCGGTCTGCCGCGCATGGATCCATATCCCTCCACGCCTCTACTGGGCTCTCCACGGCTTTCACCAAGCCGATCACCCTCTCCTCGTTGGAGTCCACCATCATTCCCATGTGGCAGCCCTCCACCTTCGTTCCCACGACCTCCTTCAGGTCGCCGATCTCGGTCATCCAGCCCGGGTTCACGGACATCATCCGGGCGAGGAACACCTCCACCAGGTGCGACGGATGCTCCCTCAAGGTCAGCCAAGAGGTCCCTCTTCACGTCGCTCCAGAACTCCTCATTCCCCCGGCTGGAGACCGCCTCCGGGTGCTCACCGTTCTGACGATCACCCCATCCGAGCAGTCCACCATCCGGGCCAGGTCCTTCTTGAAGATCTTCTTCTTCACCCAGCTTCTCATCTGTCCCCGGCACCGGAGGCAGCCCACTCGGTCGGCTCGCCTTCAGCGCCGCTTCATCTCGCGCGCATTGACTCCAGAACGGGTTTACTTCCACCCGTCGTCCTTGTGCTTCCCCAGCGTGTGGCGGCACCTCCTCCAGCTCGCCCTCGGCCTCCGCCACCACGATGCCCATCCCAGCATCCACGCTGCGGGCCCGCCTCCTCCGCATTCCGGCATCCATTGCCCAGCTAAGAGGAGCTACGTCCTTGGGCTCATAACCCTTGTCGGGCTAGCAACCTTTTTCTCTGGCTGCTTGGTACTCAAAAGGGGGCTATCGGTTCAACACAAATCCAACAGGCCCAGAAAAGACCGACCCGGCTCTCGGCTGTTTCCCGCATGCGACCGAAGCCAAGGAATCCGTGGGCTCTGTGGGCTTTTCACGTTCCTGTCCTAGCCCCATCCAAATGGGAGCTGTCTGCCATCGCATTCCAAGGTTACCAGAAAGAGCTTTGCATGGACCCCAGCAGCCGCAACTGCTCCTTAGTCACTGGGACACCCTTTTTGGAGAAGGACGGTTTTGGAAGGGAAACATGAGTCACCAGGTCCCCAGCCGTTTTGAAACCATGATTCAACATGAATGATGGCTCCCACAGTGTCCCGAATGAGTGCTTTCTAAAATCGAGCCCCTTTTCATGGCAACCATGTCTATTTTCAAAACGGGCTCTGGCACGAAAAAACACCAAAACCATGCATTGATCAACCTCCCAAATGGTTCCGGAGCCCCAGTTTTCCACTCCTTCCCGCTGAGCGGTCAGCGTAGATGGCCAGTGGCTCGCCCCGCCGCCAGCCACGCCTCAACGGTGGGCGGAGGCGGTGCTTGGCATCAGAAAAGACGCGGGCCGGTCTTTTTGAGGGTACCCTTGTTTGGTCGGGAAACAAAGGAAAACAGCGCTAAGACTTACGGGGGGTCCTCAAAAGGACACACACCGCTGCGAGTCAAGCCCCAAAGGCGCGGCTGTACCTAAGACGTGCTGCAAAAGATCCTGCTACAAAAGCCGGCAAACAAGCCCCCCACTCATCAACTGTCTATGATATTGGTGATGGTGATGACAATGATGCTTGAGATGCTGGCAGTGCTGCTCACGTGGCATGGATGGTGATGCGCTATTGCTGCCTGTGATGCCTATGATGCGGATGATGCGCTGGTGATGCCTCTGGCTGAGCTGCGATGCCAGTGATGCTGGTGCAGATAGATTGCAGAAGCGCAGGCTATGGCTAGCTGGCAACAATTCAGAACACTCACGGAACACGAATGGATAGGGAATTGTGGGCAAGGCCCGTGTCCCCGGAAATGGATAGAACATGACTTTTCGTGCAGGTTGATTGCTGCTCGAAGTGTCAGAACAGGCGCAGTCTGAGGGCTCTGCACGACAAGTGATTGATTCCACACCGGGCTCTCCGTTGAAGACATTACCTTGGGCGGGAAGTAAGTCGGAGAAAAGCAACCTGATCCCAAACCCAAAAGAACATGGCAATGTGGCGAATAATCAAGCCTGATATTAGAGAAGTCCATCCAAAACCATATCAAGAACCGGGTTTGCATTGTGGCTCACATGTCAAACTCAGGACCTCATGTTGGGATAGTGTCACAAGGGTAACCAACATGAACCAAAAACCGTTGCAGGGGTCAATGCCTCGTGGCATGATGCCATATGGACAGGTTGCTCGCATACTGCAACTACAATTTCACTAATCATCGAGACTGCTAGGGATTCCATGAACACCAAGCTGCAGCCTCCAGCATACTCCAGTCACGTGTCACAACAAACGCCGCTAAACACGCCATGTTCCCACAAAATGGGAGGATGGGCTCCCTTGCCACTTCTGAAATCTGTGGTTGCCCACTTTTTGGGCAGCCCCGAAACCTGGGGCTTTTAGACGAGGACAAGGCACTCATGAAACACGCAAGTTGCGAACTCACGCGAGGCCGCGGGATCAATGGAAAATGAAGGGGCTTGGGCGTCGATTTCCTGGAAGGATTGGCGTCTTGAGCACGCGCAGGAATGTGTTTTCCGTGTGTGGCATTCACATGATTTCCTATCTTGCTGTTGAAACATCAGGGAAAGTATGTGTCAAAACTCCATAGCCTTGCAGAGGGTGGACTTCGTGTTGGAGTTCTCCTTCCAAAATCATTGTCTATAAATGTGTCGATTTCCCCTAGTTGGTCTCCAAATGGGCCGTGGGGTGGCTTCCACTTGGTTTGGAACTTGGCGGTTCTTTGCTCTCTTGGTCCAAACCCAGGCTACCTGAAGGAGTAAGAAACGAAGGTCAAGGCAAGAAACTACCAGGAAAGCCAACTTTTAGATTGCTCCGTCCTGGTTTTGGTAACTTGCGTTGTTGTTTGATCATTTTGGCGCGGGTTCCACCCTTCTGCCCCACCCTCTTGGACCCCCTGGCAGCCGTCTTCGCCTTGGACCGGCTCTTTCCCGGCACCTGCGCGTTTCCGGCCGGTGCCGAAACACACATTTTCCTGGCCTCCTTGCAGCCCATGGGAAGGACCTGTCGTAACGGAGTTGTTGATCCGTTGGTTTGGACTGGCTGGTTTGTAGGTTCAATCCCAGTTCTTCTTGAGACCGGTGGTTTGTAGGGTATTTCAGTTCTTCTTGAGACCAAATGGGAAAGGTACCTACCAACTTCCCAAACGATGTTGGTCCGTACATGGAAGAGCGCCCATTTGAAGAGCAAGTGGGTGTTCCCTCGGCTTCCCTTTCAACTGCACTGACCACGCGCCACGCCTGGGCGATCACATAAGGGTCCGAGTGCCCGGTCCGGTCCGCCTTCGGCAGTCCTGGAAACGCTGGAAGCGGCCAATTCAGAGCAACCCCTGCCACAACTCTGCCCTTCCCAAGTTGCGGCCCATAAGGCCTCTTGCAAGGCGTCCTTACGAGTGGGATCCCATAAAAAAAGAGTCTCCCAACAAATCACAGCTCAAACCTGCAATTTTGGGGGGGACTAGACTCTAGGGCCAAACCTGAGTGAAGAAGGTGGAGGCAAGTCAAAATGGGTGGTTCCGAAATAGGCTGTCCCTTTGTCGAGATGGTGCTCGAAGGGAAACCATCGGGAAACCGCCCATTCTTGAAGGGGCGCCTATTTTGGGAAACCATCATCAGACTTCCGGTGAAACTGTCCTGCTGCTGACACGATCATGACGTCCACAGTCTGACTACCTACCTCAGTCAAGACATTGGCGCAGGCTTCTTTGCACTGAGCAAGCTGCAAACGCGCACGGAGCAAGATCGACCACGAAGCAGATTCTGTGACCTGCCCTCGTTTTTGGCGGCTGCTACCAGCAGTTTGTTCATTTGCATCCACACCGCAGTGGGACACCAACCCTTCCCTTCACCAGGCAAATGCCACTCGAGCGCTACAATGAGTGCAACGAAACACTGCAATGTGCAATGAATGCCTCAGACTTCAAGCAAACTCCCCGAACAACGATACACGTTCTCAAGTTTAACGCATGAGTCTGTGTTGATTTTCACGCATTTTAACCATGAAACAAACGAGTTTCACGCATTTCTGAGATTCCCCTCACCGAACAAATGTGCGAGCGTCAATTCTCATGTTCACCTGGGTTAAATTTGGAAACTGCCACGAAACACTAAAAAATTGGCTACAAGGCCAAGAGGAAGCGGATGGCTGGGAGCCACCGAGTGATCTCCCGAAGGACCGAGCTCCCGGCCGGCGGCCACTTCTCCGAGCGCGCGCTCAGGGCCTCCTCCCGCGGAGTGGCCTCCGTGGCTCGCCCTTCAGACTCCCCAAACTGGCGCCACGGTTGTCCGGTTGGTTTCCCCTCAAACCAACCAAAAGAGAAACAAAAAGAAGGGTCCCCCTGAAAAGAAAAACCAACCCGGAAAAAAAGGGTACCCGTCAAAAGGAAGACAGCCTTTTATGGTCGTTCTGTGAGGTTCCCCCCTCCAACCCCCAAAAAGAATGCAAGACTGGGTTGTTTTTGGGGGAACGCGCGTGGGGTCCAAGCTGGAGTGATGAACATTTATTGGCAGGTCCCGCGGCTCACTTTTCTTGAGAAATTGAGCCCCGGAAGCAGGGGATGGCCTTTGCTTCCCTTTAAGCTCGTCTCTGACACCAAGGTGGAGCCTGCCTGCAAGTAAACAAACAATCCAGGAACTCGCCAATATACCTTTTGAGCATACCCCAAGCTTCTTGTGAAGATTCCCTTCATAGGGTGGGGCTAGGCTCAAAAGGTATGTTGGAGGTGCCTTGGAAAGCGAAAAAACCGACAGCTTCTGAGCCGAGCCCCCGACAGCGGCCAGCGAGCCGTGGCTGCGCTTGGGGCGCCAATCGGGGACCTCCATGTCGTCTTCCACCTGATCCAAATGCCACGGGATCCACAGAAGTCTTGGACCACTGGCTCCAGTGGTAAAAAAGAGGGGAACCATGGCCATGAACTTAGGGAACCTCGAGCCTCAAAAGCGGTGGGACATGAATTCTCAAATGTCTGCCAAAGGGTCACTAATTAAGATTCATGCCCATTCCACAATGTGAGTCACAGAGGCTGACCCACGGCTCCACCCGAGATCTCACCGGGGCACAGTGGGGACGCTCACGGGGTACGCCATCGTGCGTGCAGGCGGCGCAATGTCCAGCTTCGACACCGAGTCCTGTAAATCCACATGAGACAAATCAAAGCCTCTTGCCACATCCAGGACTTCGACCCACCTTCGGTCCTCACACAGGGCGGCTAATCAAAACTTAAAACTTGGTACTTGAAAGATCTGCCAACAAACAATCCAAGAATCAAGAGGGCGATTTTCGGCTGGGACTGTCTCCTGCCCTTCAACTACCGGGGCTTTGATTCTGGCTCGTTGGAGCACAGGGCCCACCAGTCGGCCAAGGGAGGAGAGTGAATGCAAGCCTTGGTCCGTTGACGCCCTTCCAGGATGTTGTCACTGCGTCCCGTCTGGGAACAGGCAAAACTAGGAGGGAAATTCTGAAGTTCCAGGTTGCACCACAACACCGTCCTTTGGTTCAGATTGCGCGTGCTTGCCTTTACACCATCCAATAGCAGATTCATGGGGGGTAGTTCCCCCAAAACCAAAAGTGAAGGATCGCCTCAAACTCACAATAGGCGCGAAAACTGTTCTGCCACCCCAAAAAAACGTCCACATTCAGAGCACCCATCTCTTGGAGGAGGCGTCAGCTTTCCCGCGGTCCTTTTCATGCAGGCTGCCGCTCCGACTGGTGTGGTCGGACCGCGCCGTCAGCTCCAGGCTCATCTGTTGGCTGTCCACCGCCTCAGCTCGAACGGGTTGGATGCCCGGTGGATCCGCCCTGCACCAAAAGTGTTGGTTGCCAAGAGAAAGCAATGCCTGTTGCCCCATTCACCCAGGGTGCCTTCTGTTCAGACAAAAAAAACAAACTAGCTTGGCGGTTGAAAACGGTTCTGAAAACAAACGGTGAAACACTTCTTGAATCGAAAGTTTAATTCGGCATCCAAGAGATCTGTCTGACGGGTGAACGGCCAAGATTGGTTGCAATAAGCAGTGGCTACACTTTCTGTGTCAGTCTGTTAGAAAAGGCATCGCTCAAACATGCGAGAAGAAGGAAAGAATAGCAGGCGTCAATATCCACAGTGTTAGAATTCAGATGGCGAACGACCACATAATGCCTCGTGCCGTTTGCTTCAAAGGTCCGGTGCCGAAAGCCTCACACATCAAGCCAAATGTGAGCTTGGGGCGACACATTGGTCTCCTTCAGCAGCGAGCGCCCTTGATCCGGCCTCGAGGCGAAAATGCCCCCGCTTGCAAGAAACGCTCCCAGCAGATCGATTGCAAAGACCATGCTCTAAACGAAGTCTCAGCCAGCCATTCCCGCTGTAAAATCCTGGCTTCCACAAGCCTGAGATCAGCAAACTAAAAAGAGTGAACACTGCAAACAACGCCGAACGCTTCTTAGCCGTCCTGTCAAAATGCATCAGCCTGGGAAGCCCCCGAGGGTTTGAGGCTCTCGCGCCGGAGGCGCGGCGGTGGCCAAGAACTGCTGCTGGGAATGGTCCGCCAACACGGAGGAGTCCTGGCGCGAATCCGAGCGGATGGAAACCGCTCGGATTCGCAGCTTCCACGGCGGGATGCAGCGCCTTCCAACAGACGCCCCTTCAACCTCATGGAGAAGGCCAGGTCCAAGGTCCTTTTGAAGGGTTGACCCTACGAGCTTCCCTGAAAATTGGTTTTCTTTGGAAACCAAACCCCCAAAAGCCAGCGAAACGAGGGACAACTCCTGGCACCAGCTCCCTCCCTCTCCTGGCGCCGGGCCACCGTCTCCAGGCGGTGCTTCGTCACCGGCATGGAACCCTTCACCACGCCCGTCCTCAGCCCAAAATCCCACCCTGGAAGCCGACATTCTAAGCAAAACACGCATACAGCTTGTTGACGGAGGCTGTACCTGGGTTTCGTGGGGATTCATCACTTGAGGGACTACCCTTTTGATAGGACGGGTTGATTAATCCGGGGTCAACATGTACAAAAGGGGCGCCAAGCTTCTTGGCGCCCTTCAGCACCGACCCACCTCGTACGGGCGTCCTCGCAGGAAAGAGGCGTGCGCGTGCCGTGACGAATCTGCTGGCACCAAAGTTGCAAAGTGGTTGCCATGTACCCCCCCTGCTTAAGTATGGAATGGGCGTATATCGAGAGCATGGCATGAGCGACGGTTCAGGCAAGAAACTCAACATGTTCATGCCTAAAGGATGAGCTCTCTCCAGTGTTCTCTCCAGTGGCTGCAGGAGCAAACAGCTTGTATCCGCCAAGCTGGAGCCTATGGATCTGCGACAAAAAACATGTGTCAAAGCCCTCCAACTCGCTGCCTTCTCCTTGAACCAGTACTTAAAGCAGCTGCAGTATGAGAGGGATCCCTGCTTCCATGACCCTCCCAACACTCCAACCTCCGACAGGGTCACTCTGCTTCCCCCTCAAAAGTTTTGCAATTCCCATGTTCCCAGGCTTCCCCCCCAAAAAAAGGGGGAACCCGAAAACAACCGCCTGACTTCCCCTGAAATCCTTCTCTCCCCGTTCTCCTGGCGGGCTCCGGCGGGGGGAAGGCGGGCTTCGCCTTGTCGGTGCACTCCGTGGTGAAGGAACTCGCCAGGCCGTGGCCCGTCCCCGGGAACCGCGCCTCCAGCGCGTGGCGGTGGTCCACGTGCACCAGGCCGCTGTAGTCCGAGCGCTTGGTGATGTCGTCCGGGGCCTTCACCTCACGTGCCCGTCTCACGGAGCCAAAAAGACTTCAGCTCAAAAGGACGTACCCCGAAAAGGTGTATGAGATGCGGCAGGTGTCTTCATCCACCAAACAGAGAGATCTGCAACCAGTCAGGGGTACAAACTAGCTGGCTGCTCCCTAAAGGCAAACCATCCGAAAAGCGAAAAAGAAACCCACGGGGCAACTGGGGCTGAAGTCGAAAGGCCTGGTCGCATGGTCCTGTAGCAATGGCAGAGCACCTTACCTTTAGGTCTATTTGTGTGTGTGTGTGTGTGTGTTTGTTTTAGGGGACCCAAAAGAATGATGGTTTTCCTTTTCGGTTTCCCTTTTAACAAACCACACAGAAGAAAAAAAAGTACCCCCAAAAGAAGCCACCGTGCGGAATCCACAGCCCCAGGCCCTGGGCGAATTTCGCTCCGCGTGTCCCGGCCTCCGCGGGCTTGGAGAGGTCCTCCACCCGGGGGCTGCAGCGGTGGGGGGTCTTCTGCCCCAGGTGCGGCCTCGGGGCCTGGCCCGCCAGCTCCATGAGCATGGCGTTGTAGGTCATGCGGTGGTCCAGGTCCGCCTGCCCCGCAAAAGACGAGAAAAAGACGAGAGGCGCCGAACGAGCAAGGGATGAAGACCTTGAAGGGATTTGAGACGGAGGGTTTTGGGACGATGGGATTCTGCCAGGGGGAACCAACCTATGGGAAAAGGGGCCGATCCTTTTTTTTCCAGGGACCAGCACAGGAAAAGCAAGCCCAGAAGGGCGCATTTTTTTTGAATGGAGCAAATAGGCTGAAGTACAAGCAAAAAAAAATGAAGTACAACTTGAATGTAAGTGGAGATCAGATTATGAACCTCAACAAACTGGAAACAAAAACACCCCAACAGCTTTCTGCTTTGTTCAGCCGTCTCAAAATGACAACGCGCTGCTTGGAGCAAAGCGACTCCTAACAAAAGGCCCGCTCAAGCTAGTGGCTCTGTCCATTTTTGTCAGGATGCCCTTTTTGGGGTGGGTTTTCAAGGGAGAACTGTTGCCATGTCGGGGTCCCTGAAAAAGAAAAACACACACACACACACCCTGGTGCCCCTGTTAAGCCCCCCCCCCCCTCGGCGCCTGTGTCTCGGCCCGTCTGGCCAGCTCCATCTGCTTCCAGGCCATCTTCCAGGTCTCCTCGCGCTTTTCATTTGAAGTGCCCGTTCTGGTTCACGGACTACGGCTCAAAAGGATTTCTTGGGGGGGGGAAGGCACATGACACCAGTTCTTGGAATTTCGAAAGGCGCCCCTTTTGCTCCAAAACGGCGCTGGGTGACCAAGAAGGGGCAGTTCAAGGTGTCGATTTGCCGCATGCGAGCCACATTGTATGAGCAGCTCACCATGTAACCACACTAACCGAAAAAAAGAACCAGGCCAAACACCGCTCAACCTGCAAAGCCACAACCGATACCCGGTACTCTTGGTAGTCGACAACATCTTTTAAGCAGTTCGCTGTTGGTACAACTCAATTTCCCACAACACCGCAAGGGCAACCCATTTCCGGGTCCTTCTGAGGGTGACCAGGGGTCAGTTGTGCCCTTTCCTTTTTCGAGTGGCCACAACTTGTCTCCTCCATCTGAATCCGCTTGGTGATCGCGCGCACCGCGTCCCGGTCCCCATGCAGCACTGTGGGAGTCAGCACCTTCTTCAGCTCCTGGGCGGGTAGCCGCCATGAATGAGCAAAAAAGGAAACCAAAAGATGAACGAGTAAACGTACATACCTGTACATGAGTACATGCCACATATGTATGCCTGTACTGTATGTGCGCATACAATCACATATATGGGTAAAAAAGAAGAAGAAAAACAACATACATGTATGGGCTGTGTCCATTATTTCGGTCGTGTCCAGGGTGTGTCAAAGCCACGTCAAGTTTAGCCCTTGCCACTGGGAGGACATGTTTCACTGCAAAGGAAAGCAGGAACTGTTTTCCCACACATTCCCCGGCACACCCTCGAGGAAGCACAGCAGGGCTAGCTAGAAAGATGGAACTGGGAAATCAAAAGGAAGAAACTGAAGCCAGTGCCATCAACTTTTTGAAACAAGCTGACACCAAGGGTTAGTGCAGCTGTTCCTTCTTTGCCAACCACATTCTTGCCTGAGCGGCGGTTTTTGCATGCAGCTAAGCTGCCCTACTGTGGGTCCTTCCTCTGTTTCCCCACCCCCCCGTGGATTAACCAAGCCCCTTGGTGCTGTTTCGCAGCGGGCCAAACGAGAAGAAACAACAGAACAACGGCTCAAGAAGATGGCCGCGCCAAATGGATTCCATCTCCTCTCTTTCCCCCCCCGAGTCCTTCATAGGCATGCTATCCAAGTTGGAGCCCAGGTTTGCGTGGTGCTTGTGATACTCCCCTCGGGCCCTCCGATGCGGCGCCCACAAGGAGGCCATCTCCTTCTGCTCGTTCTCTACCTACGGCACGGCAACACACCGAAGCGTGATTCCTGGCATACCTTCCTTCTCATGCTTGCCAGAGATCCAGAAATGTGCAGAAGGCGACCACCAAAGACAAAGGACATCGGGGCACTTGTTGAAAAGAAGGATGGTCCATAGTGGGCAATGAAGCCCATTCGCCTTCCGTTAAGTCCGAATTTACCCTTACATTCCCTTGGCCCTAGCGCTGCACGGAAGCGCGGCCTTCTGGTTGTAGAAGCGGTCCAAGGTCTGCACTCTGACGGTGTTCACGAACGCCTTCCGTGCCTCCCAGTTCGCGTGGTGGCACTCCAAGCGGTCCATGCGCTCCATGAGGTCTGCATCTGTGCGGAGCTTGGGGCCGTGGTAGTTCCGCCAGGTCCTGCACTTCCGGGAGCTGTGTGTTTCTGCTTGGGGAGATGGGTTCGGGGTTTCCAGCTTTCACAGTGGGAAGCCAGTCGATTTTGAAAAAAAAACGCCTGGTTGATGTACAGTGTATGAAGCCATGATTCACGTCCCACTTGGGGTGGGTTCCCATCAAAAAGAAGGGGCCCCCACCCCGTAATGTTCACCCAGGATTGTGGGGGTCTTGGAAATTGTGGGGGCGTTGTTTTGATCGAATCGTCTGTTGGTTTCAAAGGGAAACAGAATGACACCAACCATGATGATGTCAACCCTGAATCAAAGCCGTAGTAGCTAGAACCCATCCCCCCCTCAAAAAACAGCGGGTCCCTTGGGTCGACCCTTCAAGACCGTCCCAAGAAGGATGCCTAATGTTTGAAGAAACGTGGACATCCTGAATCAAGGCTGAATGTATGACAGAAGCAACACCCCTGGATTGAGCCTGATGAATCAACCACTAATGGCTGGGAACTAAGCCCAGAAATTTCTCAGAGAACCCCCAATCTTTGGGGTGGCACATACGCTCCCAGCAAATTACAAAACTTGGCTGGTGCCTTGTTTCGCTTGGCTCGCTGGCTTTGGAATCAACCCCAAGCGTCACAAGATCAAAGGCACACTGACAGTGACCTTGCGGTTTCTTTGTTTCCAGCCAGGAATCAAATCCAGAGGCAAGCCTGAAGAGTGGTGGCAGCTGTCGCCGTCAACCATCCACAACAATTCGATGACTCCAGTTCTCTGCTCTTGCGCATTGTGGAAAATGACCCGTTCTGTACTGCCATAGGTGATTCCCATCCAACCATACTTTGTTCCTTTCAAAGGGATCCCCGTGGCCACTCACGGAAACCCAGAAATGCACCTCTTTGTCGGCCATGAAGCAAGCTTCGGGTTCAGCTTGACATCTGAGCTTGGATATCCACAACTGTGAACCACAAAACATAACTATGGTTTGCTGCCCAAGAGCACGGGGGAAATCGGCTGGTACGGCTCTGGGTTCTTTGTGCAAACACCCCACCCCCCACCCGCCCAGTTCCCCCACCCTTTCTCGTCCTTGCCAAACGAAGGATAAGGCCCTTCTAGGTGGTCGGTATCCAGCTTTCCTTTCGAAAAATTATCCGCCGCAATAGGTTTCAAATGGTTTGGGGGTTCAACTCTTTGAGAGAGACAAACCCTATCTATCCACGTCAGACCCTCAAAACCCTCCTCCAACCCTCCCCCCGGTCGGGGGCGGCTGTCCTGGCCCCTGCATGCGTGGGGTTGTTCCACAGGTTCTCCCCCGGGCGGCTGGCGTAGAAGGTCTGGTTCTTCAGCAAGTGCCCGGCGCGGCTCCGCCAGCCCAGGCCCCCCACGTCCGGCACCTCGCCAGCCGAACACGGGCGTGCACCACTGCAAGGGCCTCTTCAGAACCAGCAGGAAACTGCGGAGAAAAACATAGGGGGGTCTATGTTCACACCCAAGAGGAAGCTCATTTTGAAAAGTGGGGCCGAAAGCAAGACGCGGGGATATGCCAATTGGGGAGTGGATTTACATAGATTGGGCTTTGCCGTTTTAAGCACCATGGGAAATATAGGGACTCTCCGAACTTTGACGTAGCTTGGAGGTCCATACCACTCAGCAGGATTCTTCTTGAATCGCCATGTTCTTTCACCCCTCCCCGTGGTGAGCTTTCTACACTTGATGCAGAAGTACACGTCCAACAGTCCTAAGCTACAAACATCACCAACCACCAAAGAAAACTCAATCTAAAATATGGATCCTCAACGATGGCGCGAATTCATGCTTTCCCATGAGTAATAAACCTCTAGTTGATCAATAGGAGGTGCAACCCATCTTAGAAGGGACCTGGGTCACTATTAGGGGAAATAGCTTAAGGGATCGACGTTCTTCCCCTTCCACCCTCCCCAGTGAGCTTGCTAGTCCTGATGCAGATAGGCAAGCCATCAAACCGCCTAGAACATTCCCAACAAAGTAAAACACCGCCAAACGAGCCAACTTAATGCGAGGCGCCCCGTTCTCCAGCTTGAACTTGATGAGGCCCCGACGGTTCCGCTCCTCTCTTCCTAACGTGCCAGGTGGGGTGGACTCTTGTTGCCCACTGGTATCCTGGTCTGTTTTTGTTTATCTGTCAACAACGATCACTAAACAGGCACGCACGCACATGCCAAAACAAAGACACAACAAAACGCAACAGCAGGAGCTAAGAGCTAAAATCCATACCAAAACAAAGACACCAAAACGCAAAAGCAGGAGCTAAAATCTAAAAGCTCGAAAAAAAGAAGAAAAAAAACAACGTCCAAAAGGAAGAGCCCACGACTCCGGGCTTCGATCCGGGAAGTCCAGGGTGTTCTGCGGCCGATCCACCGACGGCTCGCCCTCGCCCTCCAGACCGTCCGGGCCCGGAGGCTCGAGCTCCGGCGCGTCCATGAGGAAAACAAATCCCAGCGGGCGAATCCGTCCAAAAGACGAAGACGGGACAAGGGAGAAAAGGCGAGGCGAAAAAGGCTGGGCGGTGTGTCTTTTGGAAGCATGTCCGGCAGGCTGTTTTTGGCGGAAAAAAAGTGTTCAAATGCTGAAGCTCATTGCTTTCTGGTTCTTTTGCAGGTATTTTACAAAGTGCTTTCTGCTTTTGAACGTAGATTGCTAATCCTCCACTCGACGCGGTTTGCTTCCTCCGGAAGCTCCGAGTCCGGCGCTTTGCGCAGTGAGCCGGTTGGTCGAGAGCGGGTTCCAAAGGCAGGCCGTGCCGACGGGTTGACCCGGTGGATTCGCTTCGCGGCTCGCTCGCTCGCTCGGGTCTCCTTTTCGAAGATCCGCAAGTCTTTGGGCTGCGCTCAGATGGGCCAACAACGTTCTGCCGTTTGGTGCAACTTTCAGCCGGCCTGGTGCGAACTCAGAGAACAAGTTCCATGCACGATGATGTGAATGGGAGTGACACTAACCGGGGGTTGGAGCCTCAGGCCATTCGATCTCTACCGCAAAACATCGCCCGGATCAGTCGGGCGCAAGCCGCAAGGGGCGTGTGAGGGGGCGAAAATAGGGGGACCCTCAAAGCAGCTTTGGCTTCCCTAACGTTTAACAGGGCCCCCCTATTTTCAAAGGCCGGCCGCCAAGCCTGGAAAGCGCCGCCAGACGTTGACATGAGAGGTGCATTATTGTTTTCCCGATGTGCGTGAGGGAACAAAACACAAATTCCTGCCATTGGCCGTTTGCGTATTCAAACTACAGGGACCCAGCTTCTTTTGAGAGCCCCTTTCCCCCCGTTCTTGGTTGAAAATGAATGGGATCCCTCTAGGAGTGTAGCAATCCTGAAAGGAAATGTGCCGTTGTTCCCAGAAAAGGTGTCAAAGGGCAAACAACCCGCACAACTCTTGAGTATAAGAGAAAGATACTGGTCGATGCAAGGTCATGCTGCAGCAAGCTGCGGGTGCGCGCACGTCAGGTTGGCAGGAGTAGCGTGACATGGAACCTGACTGGAGGACCTACGTTTGAGATGGCCCTTTTGTCAGGCATCGTTCTCAAACCCCTTTTTGAGACCCCAAATGGTGTAGAAACCCTCAAAGAGAGAGATAGAGCGAGAGAGAGTTAGAGAGATCGTATCCCTTGATTTCTCAGCACAAACAAGAAACAACGGTAAAACGCAAACCTTGCCCTTTGTCAGGTTCCAGGTTGGTGGCAGGGAGTAGGCGCGGGAGCGTTGGTCCCGGGCTCACGCCAAGGGCAACCTAAGCCGGCGCGCTCGTCAAGACTTTCGTTACCAGGTTTCAATGCAACTAGCGAATCACATAGGGACAAGGTAGGCATAGTGCTGTCCAACCCTTGCTATGGTAGAAAAAGACGTTGCTGTTGTAGCCTCCTACTTCAAATGAACAGGACCAAAAAAGCAAAAAGCCTAAAGACAGGCCAACAACAGTGAAGTTGTGCAGCAGACTCTCACATGCAGCCTGTGTTTGACTGGCCCAACTCACTGGCGGACACGATCTCGGGGCAGGACTCGAGACGCTGCTTCTTTGAGCCTTCGAACAGCCGAAGAAGTCGGATACAGAACGACTGGCCAAAAGCATGGGTCAAAAGAATGGAATCTTTTCTGGATAGCTTCATGTTGTCTCACTTTTCAGGGTCATGAACGTGAGTTTCCAATTTTGGCCACCTATTTTTCCCAGCAGTGGCAAGCCAGGCTATTGGCTGACCGTGTCGGGGGCGTCTTCTTTTAGTGGACCCGAAAAACTGTCAGGTTGCCTCTTGGTTGTCCCTTTCAGCCAGGAAACGGTTTGGATGCGCCTTTTGTGGATTTCACCTGTTCTTCCCCCTGTTGGTCCGCTTTTAGTAATATATGTGTGCTCTTTCAATATTATACAGTGGTGGATCCACAACAGCCACATCCAAACCGTTTTCTAGATTGAAAACCTACCGAAAGAAGGCGGGACCAACTCAAAAGAGACACACCCATGTACAATGAGTCGTTCGACAGGTGTCCTTTTCAGCATTGGGCGCTTTGGCAAAGCGCCCAACGCTACGTGGAATTTAAAGAAACGACAGTGGGATACTTGCCAAGGGTTTCGGTCAAGGAGGGCTCCACGCAAATAATGCTACTCCTTAAGTTTATTTTCCCCTTCAAAGAAAAACAGGTCTGGCCGTGTTTCCCCCCAACCCTGGTGTCAGCTGTGTGCCTCTGGCACCACCTGGGTGTCTTAAACTGCGGGACCTTTGATGTCGCAAAATGTCGGCTTTGCCTTTGATCTCCCTTCAAAACAACCTGAAAAGGGTACCATTTCCGAAAAGAAACACCCACGTGGTGCAACAAAAGTAGCACACGGCAGACCCCGGCATCCCACAGCCATCACAACTGATCCCAAAGGATCGTAGAGCTGGGCCGGCAGAATGGAATCGTCCAAGCCTCTCACTTCACTTTGGTTTTGCTTGAAAGGGATTCATGGCAATGAGCCACTCATCCCACTCACAGCCGCTCATCGACTTCAAAAAAAAAAGCTTCACATCGGGTCTTGCAAAGTGCACAAAACAAGCGATCCTCTTCAGACAGCCAAAACCAACAGCCGCGCGTCGCGTTTTTGCCGCCTCCGGGCTGCGCTTCAGAGTCGCTGGAGCTCCCCTGGCAGGGCAGAAGCAGCGAACGACAGGGACCAACCAGGAGGATTCTCACAAAATAGGAGCTGCCCAGGGAATGAGATGTTCATGACAATACGTGCAGAAATTGGCAGAAACGGGTGTTCTGAGCTTTCAATGTCAAAAGGAGATGGAATCAAATGACGAGCGTGCACCATCCGTGGGCAGTCTCGAGGGGCAATATGTTTTTTGACCTCCAAGACGCCACTGGCGCCATTCCATCCTAAGGCCACCGACCTCCAAGCCCCAAACGTGGCAGCGCGTCAGATTCGTCTTCTCTCCTGCGACGCCGCTGGCCGCGATCCTCTTGTTCCTTGCCGGGGAGCCCTCTCAGCGCACAGGGCCGAACCGGGGAGGAGACGGGGAGCGTGCCGATTTCGCGGCGATCGCGGCTCCGGTTTACCAATATCCACCCCAGCCCACGCCGGCTTTTGGGTCATCGCCCACCGAACTGGGCACAGCTTTGGTTGTTCTGCCTCAAAAAGGGGGGGGGTCCCTTCAAAACAACCTGCAAAAGAAACATTCGAAGCACATATTCCCCAACCTGCCATCCCGAAGCGACGCGGCCCCGGCCCAGAGCTCTTTGCAGTAGCTGTCGTCACCTCAAAACGGCGAGAGAAGAATGCGGCCTCCAAAATTTTGGAGCTGCACCCCTTTTGGGCTAAAGGGAAACCTTTCTGGGAAGTAGATGGGAGCTCATCCGTGAGGCAAACATGGGAAACATTAATTCAACCGTTGCGGCGATTCGACACCTAGCTCAGGCACCTCCAAAATGCATGCGAACAAGGTGACAAACCAACCAACCAAAGAACCAACCCGCCAACCGATCCGATCAGATCCGATGCGTAATCAACCAATCAAAGCAAAACATCAAATCAAAACAACCAATCCAACCCAATCCAACCAATGTATCAAACCAAAGTATGATATTGTCCAAACAGACACCTTCCAGTACTCAAGGCTCCCTGGTTCCCATAAGGCGGCCCAACTTCAGTGGGAGCCTGAGCTTGCGGCACTCCCGCATCACCTTCCGGCAAAGCTCCAGACCTGAAGGGGGCCCATGAGTCATCAGCCATGGGAAGCTATGGATTTGGCTCTGCCCAAATGAACTTTGGGCTGGGTTGAAGCGATTTCAGGTTCCGGGGGGTTCCGGGGCTGTTGGGGATACCACCGGGGCTAATTGGTGTTCATGCTTGTCAAGTTTGTTGGGGGAGGGGGCGGGTTTAAGAGCGGCGAAGAACATGAGGCCAACCAGTTGGAGCTTTGACAAATAATTAGTATCTTGGTGGCTGCAAGCACGTGTTTCGCTCTTTTCACCAAGGACGTCCCCTCAAAAAACAAACAGTGAAATAGGCCAATCAGGTGCGCATCCAGTTTTCCGTGCGGCACAGAAACAATTTAGCCATTTGAAACACCAATCAAGTCACAAACCAATGGAAAGCAGAGTGCTGCTTTCCTGTGTTCCTTTTTGTGTGTATGTGCCGAACCAATTTGAGGGGCCCCTGGTTTTGGTTGAAACAACTCCCCGTCTGACCAACCCAAACGCCAGCGACCCGCTGGGCCGCCCGGCGGCTCCGCAGCCGGGGGTTCAGCGTGGGGACCTTCAAGGAGCCCTGCAACCTGTGCCGTGGATGGTCCAAACGAGTGGCGAATGGGCCAAAATGCCGCGGATGGTAGCTGATAGGTAGCTTCCTGGTAGCTGATAGCAGGCCGAGCGCTCCGGAACCCGTCAACCAAGCAAGTAGCATCTAGCCGTGGATGGTGGCGAAATCCATTTCGCACCGTTCAGAAACCCAAGAAACCCTGGAATGATTCGATTCCCCAAACACCAACAATGGCTTCAACCCATGGCTTCGAAGTGGTGGATTTCGTCCATCCACAGTGCGAATGGCTTGGGCACTTGAAAACCGCAAGTCATAGGGACAGAATGCTGGCAACCTGTCGCAGACCCCCGTATCAAATCCAGCATTATTGTCTAAGATGTTTGAAAGAGCGAACGGTTGAAGAGAATGGGGAAGGAACCCTAGAAAGGCGGGGGTGGTGGCTCCCCGCAGAAGACAAAACAAAACCAGCAGTTTCATTCTTCAACATGTCGGCCAGTTGTTCCGTGTGGAAATCTTAAGATTGAGATTCAAGCTGCCAACCGCAGTGCGCAGGGTAGAAGTGTGGCCCAAGGCAGCCAGGTAGAGGGCCGAGAAACCTTTCTACCCAAGAGGCTCAGAGCAACCCAGCCAGTTGCGCGAAACTCCGGGGGCTCCGACGCATCCACGACATCTTCATAGAGCTCATCGAGGTCATCGTCCTCAGTCGAGGACCCGAGACACGCTGCGAAAATAGACTGAAATAGAAGGTGTGTTTGGGTGGTAGGCAGTAGGAGCAGTTTTGTGAGTAGTTTGTGCAACCCGATGGGGTACACCAGGGGCAGACAAGATTCTACCTTGGCACAGGTCGACTTGCAACGGGGATCTCCTATTTCTTATCTTAGAGGAAGGAACAAGGAACAACCAACAAGTCTTAATCAACCTTCCCTGGAAGAAAGACCCAATGGATCAATTCCTGCCTGCCATCTCAGATAAGACCCGAGAGGGTGGGTCACTATTGCTGGGTTGCCCCCCCCCTTCTTGTCCTCCCCACCGGCAATAGACTACAAAGAGCGTTGTCAGTTTCTCCTACTGCTGCCGGTTTCAAGAACCAACCGAAAAGGGTCCCTCTCCAATCTTAAGGCTTCTCTGCCCTTTCGACAACGAAACAAAAAATTTGGGCTCAAAAACGGGACGCGCCCATTTGGTGCAGTTGCTTGCCTCCAGTTGCTTCACTCGGGCCCCGGGCGTCCATCCAGCAGTTGCGCCAGTGGGCCGTTTTCGTGTTGGACTGCACCAACAGCCGCATGGCCTCACGGGTCTCTGGGGATGCCCGGGCTTTTTCGATAAGGTCTATGGTAAGACTCTTTGGGTGGGTTTCCATCGGGTGACTATGGGTGGACCATCTTGGGACCCGAAACACGCGTGTGTGCCTTACAAGAGAAAAAACTTCAAAAATAGTACAACCCGTACGCAAGGATGCAGGCGGCAACAAAGAGGAAAAAGTTCGAGGAACCTTCGGACAAACCACAGATCCGCGTTGCCTTTGTCTGTTCATCTGGAATTCCGCAATCAGAGGTGTGCCGCTGAAATGGATCAATGGTCCACTTCAATTAAGCCCGGATTGATCCAGAAAGGTTCACAAATCCAATGTGGACTGCCAAGCATCACGATCAGTCAAGCAAGCCAAACGTGGCAAAGGAGTCTACCCAAAGCCATAGGAACCGCTTCCGCTTCTGGGTGGGCATGTCCCGAAACGTGAATCGAAGGCTCACCGAGCCGAACCTCACGCCAACCGAAACACCCGCCTGCTCGTTGGCGGGGACAAAGGACCTGGGGCCGCCCAGGATGGGTTCGTCACGGAAGGGGTTTAAGCTTTCCTAGGTTCGCCGGGCGCTCAAATGACAGCACCGTCAACATCCCCAGCATCGTTTTCAACACCCCCCCCCATCACAGCTTTGGTTTAGACTGAGCTTTGGGGTGGGTTCAAGGATTGTTGGGCGGGGCATTTAGGGTTGTGCTGGTTGAGAGTGGGCTTAGGGTTGGGTTGAGGTCGGTTGATGGCGGGTTTAGGGCTGGTTGAGGCTTGGTTTGGGGAAGGGTGTCGGCTGGCTTTGGGATGCTTTGGTGCTGGTTTAGTGTGGGTTTAGGGTTGGTTTAGGGCTGGTTTAGGGCTGCTTTCGGGTTGGTTGATAATTATAGGGTTTGCCTAGGGTTTGCTACGGATGATGTTTGGTGTGTTTAGTGCTGTTTTACGATGGGTTTAGGGGCTGGTTTAGGGTTGGTCAAGGGCCAGAGTTGGATTAGCAATGATCGAGGGCGGGTTTAGGGTTGGTTTGGGGTTTGTTCGGGCTGGTTTAGGGCTAGTTAGGTAGGGTTGGGTTTAGGGTCTCTGTAGGGTTTCTTTAGTGCGCGTTTGGTGCGGGTTTAGGGCCCCTCCCTTTGTTTGCTATGATCAAGGGCCTGCCCCAATCCCAATAGAAGCGGAATGCGCCTGTTGAGCTCCTCTTGAGAGGGGGTCTTTCAAGAGGGATTCCCGATCGGCCGACTCCTCCCCGCAGCCGCACTGAGCCGCACTCTTTTCGCTCTCAATGAGCAAAGGATGTGCAGCTACAACGCAGCCGCGCTGTCCGGCTCGCTCCGAAGCGCCGAAGCGCCGAGACTCAGACCCTGATTTGATCAGAGTCTGAACCTCGGTTTTGGCCAGGCCTTTGTTTGAGAAGGCATTTCGGACTTCGCCGACAGCAAGAAAGGAATGTCAGCTCTTCGTTTGAGGAGGGAACGTTCAGCTCTTCATTTGAAGAGATGTCACAACTGGCTCGATTCCGTGTTCACACGTGTCGCGGCGCAGCACTCACAAAGTCTTGACTTTTGCCTCGGGTGTGAGAGCTTCGGAACCAGCTTTCCCAAATCGGATGTCAACCAGCTTCTCCAAAATTGACAGCGGGAACGTCCCAAATCCAGGAACTGTATACTTCCCAACTTGTCCTGTGCCAACCGACACCAAGAAAGTGGTAACATGCGCCAAGCTTGCGGACAACAAGCTGTGCGAGAAATACCCTCCTGCCAACAAGAGGGCTTCTGTGCTCAGACCACTTTCGGCAAGACTGCTTTCGTTTGGACCAGGGTTCGCCTCTGAACTTTCGGGAGGGCATCAACAGGTTTGAATGAAGCTGCGGTTTGAGGTCCAACTAAAACGCAGCAAAGAATTGAGGACCGTTTTTGGCACAAAGAAAACCTCTCGCCCACAACTCTTGCCTGAGATACGGTGTAAGTAACCAAAGGATTGGAAGAGATGCGAGAACTTCATAGCGAGCATCACGACCATAGTTTGCCAGCGGTGACACATCCACTGATGTATGTCGCAGGTGTGTAGACTTAGCTGCTCATCTGGGAGCCCAATGGCGACATTTACCAGCACAGTGCTCCTTCCCTCCGGACATCCCATGAACCGCAGCCGCGACTCGAAGGCCCTACGCCGGAAGCCCCGCGACGGCAGTCTCTGCTAGCAGAGTCCTGGGCGCCAGGAACTGCCATTCACATCTCCAAAACCTGCGTGGATTTGCCCGAAAAACGTCCAGGAACTTCTCTTAGGATGGTTTTTCCCGGATGTCTCATGCCCTGCCTGTCAAACCCGCAAGGCTAAGAGCCCCAAAAAAGGATCCCACAGCTTCGCCTACGGCCCCTTGCCCCCCCCCCCCCCGCCCACCACACCAGGCTTCCCCAAAGGAAGCCCCAAGTAGGTACGCCCTCTTTGGGGAGTCACTTGCGAAGTCTGTCAAAGAAGAAAACGCTGGCTCATTCCCTACTGAGAACCAGCAAGTAGGCCTTTCAGTTGAGCACATTCCATCAAATGTGAAAAGCATCAAGTTTCGCGCAAGTTCCGCGCGTCTGGGAGTCCAAGAGCCCCTTCTGGCAATTTGTTTTCTAGGGCGGCTCTCAATATAAACCGGCAACCGTCGGCGAGTCTTCCATACACGCAAACATCACCTTTTCTAATTGGCTTCTCGGTGCTCGCTTCAAAACCAGAACATGTCATGTGCCTTTTCCCGGAACACCCGTCCATTCGCTTCAAGGAGCGAACGGTCAGTGCCGTCGCAGGGTCTCCAGCGAGTTGGCTCGCACCGAGAACACCGGTGCCCTGGCGACGCTTGAAGGGATGGGGCGGGGAGCAAGATACTGCTCCATAAAAAGAGAAAGTCTCATAGGTTTCAAGCCGAGATATTCTTCATTAATCTTGGTTCCAGTGATAGAAAGCTGGAATCTACCCTCAGGAATACACAGGCCAAGGGGCACAGTCTGCTCCTGGACTACACTAAAACATACCCGCTCGTTGATCGGAAGACACCAGGGCAACAGCTTCACACACACTGGACCTCAGGTCAAGATGGTCCAGGTGGTCCGAACCGAGTCTCGCGATCGCGCCCGCGCCTCACTTCCACCATCCGGGGCGTTGTGACCACTGGGCTCATTGCCGGCATGGGGCTCCGTGGCGATGCATACACCCCTGGCAAAACCGAGGCACCACGAAGGCAATTCGTGGTCGCTTGCCCAAACCCGGAAAAACTGGGCTGACCTTTTGAGAAGACTACTGCATTTTTCTTTGTTTTCCAAAGACAGCTATTCTGCATCGATCCCCTCAAGGAAGCACCCATTTCATGGACCAACAGATTTAAGGATGCCTCTGAGTCTCAGTTCAGCCAACCGGGTCCCAAAAAGCACGCTGTGGAAAATGCGGGATCCAACTCAAACGATCTCTTGTGGGGAGGTGGTCTATCGCATGGTTTCTTAAACCGCCCTTGTCACCAAACACCCAGTTCTGGTTTGGGTTGGGACCATCCCCAACAAATGCACACTCAAGCAAGGCTGGCGACAGACCTCGCTTGATTTTCCGGAAAGCACCCCTTTGCCGTCCTGTCCGCGGAGCCATCGTGGATACCGGAGAGGCCATACCTGGTCGGAGCGGAAACGACCGAATCGTTGTCCAAGGCAAGCGAATGTGAAACGGTTTGGGTGCTGTCAGGTTTCCTTTTGTGTTCCCCGCAAGCATGCTCCAATACGCAGGGCTCCTGGTATTGTCTTTTTCGGGTGTTTCACCATCACTTTGGGTCATTTCAAGATGAGTTGGCTCTGGGTGGGGTGATGTTTACGGGACCTCGCCCCACCCAAACTCGTCTTGAAATGACCCAAATGGTGAAGGTTAAACACTCGAGAAAAAAAGATTAGGAGACCTGCACGTAGTGGAGCATTTAGCTCGGTTTGGTCAAGGTTATCTAAAGTTGGGCGCCCCCAATGGGTTGGAATGCTTGAACAAGAACAGTTTTGGGAACGGCCATGTGCATACGCATACTTTTCTTATATGTATTTAGCATAGTACCACGAACAGGGTTCCTTTTGGCTTCCCTTGAGAACGACCCCAAAGAGGTACCCAACAAACAGAGAGACCCCAAGTCAAAGGAACCGGCCTGGCATCCCGGGGCTCAGCCGCCCGAAGGACGTCCACAGCTTCGGGGAGGGTGTCGGCTGCCTGGGAGCGGCATTCGGCTTCCTTCTGATGGCTTGGGTGGTTTGGCGCATTTACCTACAAGCAGCGGTTCCATTCATCAAGCCACCAATCCCAACCACCAACTGAGGGGTGCGGTACAAACGGACGATTTCGGAGACCTTCAAACCACCTGGTTGCAGGATGCGGGCACCTCGCAGTTGATTCCCGCCCAGAGAGCCTGACGTGGCACTTGCAAGAACTTTACGTGGAGCACGAAATCGTGCAGAAACAGCTTGTGCAGTGCACGCACGGCCAAAATGGGAGTTAAACTTGAGGCAGGCAGCGTAAGCAGGCAGCGCAAGCAGGCAGCGTAAGCAGGCAGCGCAAGCAGGCAGCGCAAGCAGGCAGCGCAAGCAGGCAGCGCAAGCAGGCAGGGCAGTCCTAGAATGCTGTCACTGCAGGTGTCGTAATGCTGGTAATGCTGGTAATGCTGGTAATGCTGGTAATGCTAGTAATGCTGGTAATGCTGATAATGCTGAAAATGTTGGTAATGCTGGTAATGCTGCAATGCTGGTAATGCTGGTCATGCTGGTATGCTGGAAATGCTGGTAATGCTCTGGTCATGCTGGTAATGCTGGTATGCTGGAAATGCTGGTAATGCTCTGGTCATGCTGGTAATGCCGGCAATGCTGGTGGTGTTGATGCTGTTGATGCTAGTATGATCCTCACTGCAAGAATGTAACTTGAGGTATGCGACTGCAAGTCGGTGTTTGGAACCCTCCCAATTGACTCATGCCGCCCAAATCAAAATGGAGCTGTTGCCCCCAGCGTGGGCCATGCCTTTTAAAGGGGAGACCATGTGAGGTCGTCTCTCTGCGCTCGGATTGCCGCCACAGCTGCGGCACCGACATCGAGCCGCAGCGCGGATCCACGGCACCAGGCAGCACGAAGCTGTTGCCGCCGCCTTGGCATTTTGTTGAGCGAGGTGGACTCATAGGTGTCCTTTTTGCAAAATAGATGGCCCTAATTCATGATTGAGCCACCAGGTAATCCAGGGCCCTCTGTTTTTTTCAGCAAACCAACCAAAAAGGACACCTATAAGTGGACTGGTCTTAGTCAACTTTTTGTTGAGGGCATTGGTTTTTTGAAGGGGGTGGAGGCTGCAAAATTGCCTCTTAGCGTCCGTGGCACGGGGGGGAGGGAGTGTCGACTGTGAATGTGTGTCAAATCAACTTTGACCTTTTTGGGATGGTTTGAAAAACACCGGTTTGAAACCCTTTCAAAGAAGGATCATCACCAAGGGAATCAAATCTATGAGCACGCCATTTTGAGACGCCCAACGACGGTTTCAGAGTGTCAAATCTTTGAAGCTGGCTTTTGACCTCCCTCATCGCTTGGCTTGTCACATGCGGTCAGGCTTTACGCTCATGGCTCCCTGCAGGGGTCGAATGCTGCAGAAAAAGGCTGAAGTTAACGACCACGCCTTTAACCACAACTTTTTCATGTAACGGCAAGAGAAAGAATAAAGAAGAACCGCAACAAAATTTGGCCAAACAGTGGCGCATGCCAGCACTGCTGTTTTTACGGCCTCCCAAAAGGATGGGGCATACAGCTGCAATTCCCTTGATTCTTGCCCGTTCATTGGCTCTTTGCACACCGCGGCACCTTCAGTTCTGCAAATCCGCCGCGATGCATTCAAGTCTTCCGACTGGGGAGAGGAAGTCGCGCTAGGCTCCTGTCGAGGGCCTTGGTGCGCTCAACGATGGAGTTGGGCCAGTCAGGGCCTCGTGTTGTGTCCGTGTGTGGATGGATGTTCAATGATTTGGAAAGGTCCCAGTTGTGTTGGAAAACATTGACACACCCATGCTTCCAGGCTGATTTGCCCCAGAGTTCATGAGCGCGAGGGACGCGTTTGCCACATCCTACTGTCAGGCTGGCCCCATTTCACCATGCTTCAAGTCATCCCCAAAGTGGTAGGTGGAAGGCAAGCAACGCTCTCTAACTTTGAACCAGGACCATCAAAAATAGTGGAGACAGCAATGGTGAACCCGAATCAACCCGCCGGATCAGTATGGGGACAAAAAATCCCATAAATGAAGGATCGGACACCCGCGCATGAACCCACTAGACGGTATTCCTCCTTCCCAGATCCCACGGTTGGCTCTTTTTCGGCCATCGCTGGAGGCCCGGCTCATCTGCTCCTCGACCTTCTCCTTCGCCTCGCCCTTCTCGGGGCTGTGCGCCTCGGCCGAGTGGAAGCCCCACCACCCGCCCGGGGATCACGGCGCGCCGAGGCGCGACACGGCTGATCTCGTTGAAAATCCTCGGGTCGAAAAGCTGCGCAGCTGCTCACCGTGAATCCGACATGACAGCGTCTAGAACGTCCAGGATCCTTTTTTGGGGATGGGGGTCAAAGGAATGGGGGGGAGAGGGGAGAATGTCGAAATGCAGCAATGGCATACTGCCTGCACTCATCCCTAAATGGGTACGTTTTTGAACATTGATTGGGGACTGGTGCGCATCATTTGCATGGAAATTCATGTCCCCCAATCTTTTGTGAGCATGCTGCCCATTCGTTCTTTTCCAACCTGAACCCGGATTCATAACTAAGGGGCCTTCATCGGGCCCAAGTTCGTGTCCACACAAGCTGAGTAAATACCCTGACCTCATGTGCAGGGGGTCCTGGGCATGCTCCCAACTAAACAAGACCAATGCTGGTGAGGCAAGTTGAAAATCACAACGTAATTTCCGAAGGGCAACGGGTGTATGCTCATGTCCCCCTCTTCTTGCCCATGCCGATAGACTCCTCGTGACTGTGGTTAACCAAAGCCGTGGAAGCGCGCGCTCTCAACAAGGGCAGGGCAAAAAAGGCTCCGTAGGTTTGACAAGCACCGTATGCTTTTGCCGCGGGCTTCAACTCGGCTTCAAGGTGACACTCTCAACATTGGTGGTGAGAGGGACATCCGTCCCCCCAAAAAAATGAGACCCCCAAATCAATGCTCACTTTCATGGACCGTTTCCAGATGTTGCCCCGGACACTCTGCAATTCCCCTTGGCTTCGCTTTGCGCGTCAGGCCGCATTTCCCCACTCCGCCAAGCGTCGTCTTGGTGTGGGACTCCCTGAGGGTGGACTCCCGCTCGAAGCGCTCGGAGCAACGGGACTCCAAATCGGAGATCCTCGGCACGGCGCTCTCCGATTTGATTTCCCTTTGAAGCCATTTTTATTTCCAAATCGGATTTCCGGTCATTTCCGCTTTACCCAGTCAGATTTGTCTGAACCCGCTGGAATCAGAGCACTTTGGCAATTCCAAAGAATTCCGACATCGGGAGGAAAAAACAGAAACGAAACGTCGCCTTATTTCTTCTGGCACTGCGAGCTGGAGTTTCTGATGGGAGCTGGCGCCAGGAATCCAGGAGCTGGGATCGGAAAATGACTACGCGGGGCTGGAGTCAGAAAAATTCGGAAACTTGTAATGTGTTTGATTCGGGAGCCGGAGCCAGAAATGTTCTGGAAAGTGATGTTGTTTCTCTCGAAACAGAAGATTTGCAGAATTTTGACTATGCCTAATCAGAAACTGGAGGAGCGTCGTTTGTTCTGTTTCCGGAAGGCTGGAAACATATGTTTCATATATATATATATATATATATATATGAAATGTGCTGATTCCCGGCTTCCAGGTGTAATCAGAAATCTAGAAAATTATCTGGGGACCTGGAATCAGATTGTTTCAGAAAATTCTGACAATTCTGACAATTCATAGAATCACAATTTCAAAGTTTTCTGAAATGTCCTTACTGGAATCATAGTTTCCTAGAATTGTCTGAATCTGTGAAAACTTCTGGACTGCTCTGAATCCTGGAATCAGACCATTTCAGAACTGTCTAAATTGTCTAAATGCGGAAGCTGGAATCAGACACGAAATTCTCTGAATCCGGGAGCTGGAATCAGAATTTTCTGAAATGTTCGGCTTTTGGGAGCTGGAGTCAGAAATCGTCAGACAATTATGTGTTTTGCTTTTTCTAGGAAATCATTCAGCGGGAGGTGAAAAAGAGGTCCAAGTTTGGAGGGAACCAGAAGCAGCAAACAACAGCTTTGAGATGCTATGTTTGGTGCACCCATGCTAATCTTCCTAGGTGTTGCTATGGGAACATGCTTGAACAAACCTCCCAGCCTTGCCATACAACAGCCCAACCACAGCCGGAAGGGATGGTCGGAAGCTGGAATCAGATTTTGTCAATGGTGGTTCGCGTTTTTCTCAAAAACAAACGCTCACAACACTTGTTGGCTCGAAATTTCGAGCCACAATCAGAAATATCCGAAGCTTCTGAAATTGTCTTACCCCTGCTCCCAGATTCAGAAAATTTCAGCAGCTTCTGAACTGGTCTAATTCCAGCTCCCGCATTCAATTTCAGAACTTTCTGAAAGCTCCCGGAGTCAGAAAATAAACTCGGGTGATATCCCCAACAGCATGCGGTGCTCTTTTCGGTGCTCTTTTTAGTGCTTGCACCACCCTGCAGCCCTCGAGAACATCGTGGAACTGGTGGAACCCTGGTGGAACCCTGGTGGAACCCTGGTGGAACCCTCGTGGAACCTCACCTCAGGGCCCAAAGCTTTCAGCTGTTGGGGAAAAACAGAAAATTCAGAAATTGTCTGATTCCATCTGGAGCAATTAAAGTCAATAAGTGTTTGGCGTTCCGGTAGCCAAGTTTAAGTACATGCACTCTCAAAATGCCAAACAAAATGCTGGACACACTTATCATGTGCTCGAAAGTGTCATTTTCTGAAAACCACCCGCTCACGAAAGAAAAACTGGCTGGGGCTTGGAAATCTCCAATCTTTTCATTTGCCTCGTCAGTTGCCACTTTCGGGGGGGGATATGTTTGGCAAGCGAGTAGGCTGAAAGGGGATGTGATCGCTTCTCCTTGGCTTCTGGTCGTGTTTCCCTTGGCTCTTTGAGAGGTCTTGGAACTGGGCAGGACTACCACTTCCAATAGGCTTCTAGGCTCGGCTTTCTTGGTGAAATCTTGTGCATTCCCTTTCAAACCACCCCACAAAACGGATTCCCCTACCCACCCTGAAAAATATCCAACGCGGAATGAAACCCAGGCGGAGCGCTGCTTGAGACCCTGCGCGTTCAGCTTCTGCTCCAAAGATGAGATCTCCGTGCGCACCAACGACGCCTCCTGGGCACGCGGACTGCTTTCAGTGGCAACCCGAACAGCCCAAACCACGACAGGTGCCCTCTCTTCCGTGGCAACTGACACGAGGCGTACCTCTAGGCACTTTGAACAAACCCCAAAAGGGGATGGCAAAGGAGTCAAACCCAAATAAGGTAAATGCTCCTTCTCCTCCTCCAGCTCCAGGCTTGCTGGAATTGCCGGACTAATTAATTCTTCACTCAATGCGTGGCAAATGGCTCCTTATCAGAGAAGTGAGGATCCCTCATTTCCACTGCCCTTTTATTTCAGCAAAGGAAAGGGCAAACTACAACACTGGAGGTTGATTTCCTTGCTTTCACCCATTGCTTCTTTGGGAAACCGCCGAAACTGTCCTGGTCTTTTGCCAGTTTCTGAAATGAAGAATCCTGGAGCTCTGGAGAAGAACAACGTGTGGCCATGAATTCCCCTGAGGAACCAACGCAGAGAAACTTTTGGCGTTGGGTGTAGTTTTTTCCTTAGGCTTCAGGGGGCTGGACAACTGAGATCTGTGGCTCGCGAATCACGCCGCCGGAGAGTCGATCTACACAGGCCGAGCAAAACGAAGGTTGAAACAAGGCCCGCAACGTCCGATGGTATGTTCACCAGCGCCACGCGGAAAGCATGGCGCAAAGGTGTCTAATTATATACATATGTGTATGTATATATATATATATATGTATGTGTATATATATATATACATGCAAACACTTGGGGCGCGTACCAAAAGGGGTACATGACTATTTCTCCTCAACAAGTTTGCCTCAACGAAAGCATCCGCCTGTGGGATGCCGAGCAAACCAAGAAAGGCCCAATGATTAGTCAACTCTGCTTTGAAATCCAGAAGCTCCCCCAATCGGCCTCTGTAAATGGAACCAAGGCTTCCATTTCGGGTTTTTTTTGGAGCTTCCATGTTCGGATCAGGGAGTCATTGCCAGCTCTGCAGCTCTGCCACGTCCCGCTCAAGCCCGGCGACATTTATGGCCCGGTCCTTCTCGAGGCTCTTGCGAGCGTCCTCCTCGGTCTTCAGAAGTGCGTGCTTCAGCTCCTGGGTCAAATCCGAGTTGGATAGGACCATAGATTTCCTTTGGGTGAGAATATAGATGGGTTTCCCTGGTAAATGGGGCATCTACTTGCAACCAAAAAGGACACCTACGGATTTGACGCGAAGCACAGGCTTCCAAAAAAGAAGCCCTCCTGTTGCCACCCTTTCTAGGCAAATTATGGCCTTTCCAAACCAGGCTCGTCCTTTGAAAACCACCTCTGCAGCAAGTTCCTGCAAGCCTTCTCCAAGGCGGCGCCCAACCCTCGCATCCTGGATCTGGTTGATGCTGCTGTTGGCCTTGGCATCAATATTCTGCTTCTCCACGCGGACCTCGAAGGACGACCGACCAACCCCCCCCCCCCGCCCCTCTCCTGAAAGTACAAGGTAGGTGTGTGCAAAACCTGGAGGGAATGTCTTGATTGTCCGTGAAAGGGAAGTCTAAACGGGAATCATCGGTTTGCATTTATGTGTGTGTGTGTGTGTATGTGTATATATATATATATGTATATATTGCTATGATATATATATATATATACGCATGTCACCAGATTCAGCTAGCTAAACTGTTACTAGTACAGTACAAACAAAACTTCCTCTGTGTTGGTCGAATCCTCCTTCCCCAGCACGGAACCCAAAAGGGTGACCTTTCTCGAAAAGGAGCATTCTTGCAGGGGTTTCTTGCTAGTTTGCAGGAAAAGAGATGATGTTTGAAACTGCTGCCGGTTCTGAACAGGCAAACTGCCCTGAACTGGTCGAACTGCCCCCTCTAGCTCCGTTGGTTTGCCAACGAGAACCCAAATGACAGGCTTGAAGAACGAATCGTGCGGCGGTGTGCATTGGAAGAAAAGTCTGTTGCGGTCCAAAATTTGCGTGACTTTCAAGAGAGGGTTGCAAAGCGGCATTTGACTCTTCGAGGATGGATGTTGGCCTCCCTGACACCCAATGAGACGGTTTCAGGTGCTTGCCACATGCCAGGCTGCCCCTCATGCCGCCGAGCCACAGCATCGAAGGACTGGCGCGTAAAAACATGTGCGGCTTACGTTCCCTGAAAGATCTCATCTCCATGGGCGTGGTGTGTTCCATGCGCTGAGCATTTGGCCTAACCTTTTGGTTTCTGGGGCCCATCAGAGAGATTGCCTGGTGGAAATGGCCTACCAAAATGATTCTAAAGGTGGACACACAAATAAGGGAATGGAGGCCCTTGGATGACCAGGGGTCTTGTGATGGCAGACTAGGTGGGGAGGTGGGCGTGTTTTGTTTGGGCTTTTTGTTTGGTTCAAGGACCAGACCGCTCATGAAATTCGATGGGGGGATGCGTTGCCGCATTGCAGACTAAAGCTAAAGCGGGGCGGCGTTTCTGCTTTACATGGTGCGATGTAATGCACTATTTCCAATTTCGCTGCTCAGGGGAGGCACACGCACAAATCAGTGTACTCACGATGTGTGACGGTGGTTGCTTGGAGACTTGTCCGAAAAAAAATAAATAAATAAATGAATGTAAAAAAAAAATGAGGTTAAGCACCGTTTCTCCTGCAAGGGGCTTCCACTAGATGCTGGGGTCGCCCGCAAGCGCCTCACTCCTCCATCCACCTCCCATCGGATCGCCTCCCAGAGCTGCTCCTGGCGGTCCGAGATCCGCTGCAGGCGCTCCGAGAAGTTGGTGCTGGCCTTGCACGCGCCCCGCACTGGCCGGCGGCGACAGCAACAGACGCCGCTGGGCGGAGGTGGCAAGAGAGAAGCCACACCCAACAAAGGGCATCAGGCATCAACAAAAACAAGGAACAACGGCAGGTGCTGGGGGGAACCGCTCGCTTCTCAGAAGAGCCATGACAAGCTGTGTGTTTGGACAATCCCGTATTGGAAAGAAAACACGAGGAATCCAATACTGCTTGCGCCCTCTTACATCCTCCCCGGTTCCTTCATGGAACCCAAAGCCCGCCCAGCGGTTGACCTCTACACCTCAAAGCTGCCCAAAAGCCTACAATAAGGTCCGACATATGATAGTGGTGGCAAATGATTCGATTCATCCTGAAATCTATCAGTCCATGTTCAATCAAAGTGTGCACCTATGCCCCAATTACACTCCCACAGATTCTCATGGAACCAAAAAAGGCATCGTCTTTAGAAAAATATCGTGTTCCATTTGGGAAGTAACTCCAAGCACCCGTCGCACCCGCGGAACCCAACAGCCCGTAGGATGGGCCTGGCTCAAGCGGACGTCCACCTCTCTGCTGTGCACCTAGCGGACAATCCGTGGGACAGCCCCGAAAACCGTCAGCAGCTCTGGGGCAACAAACCACTGATTTATGTCGAACAAATCAAACCAGTCGAACCCCCCGAAGGCGGGTTGAAAAGGGGCGACTTTTCAGTTTAAAAGATTGGCACACGCGTTTCTTGGGGGACAGGTGGTCTAAAAAGGAGAGCCAGGACTTTGGCGGTGTCCAATGAGGCCGCGGGTAAATACGAGTTCCAATGTGAGCTTCCGATTGTTTTTGTGGATGAGGGAAGCACAGTTGTTTAACACAACCTAACTAGGTTTGTCTTTCTTCAGTTGGTACCTTTGTTGGGGTTGCAACGATCCCGAACAGAAGTCAACTCCCTTGGCCTTTTACCCTTTCTGGATGCACGACATTGCACGATAGAAGAAGGGAACTCCCATTTAAAATGACAACATGAAGCTGCCGTTGTTTGGAATCCATATGGGGCTCTTGTTCAAAATATATAAAGGTGTCTGGAAACTTTCCTTTCGTCGGCCTTCCACCATCCTTTCGCGACCCCCAGTGTTCCTTTCGCGGGGGCAAACAAAGCAACCTGTCTTTTTTCGCAGCCCTTTTGCGTATTCGTTATCCTTGCAGCCCTTTGCGTTTCAATCATGGGCCTTGCGCGATGCAAATGGTTGCTTTTGCGGTGGACCGCAAGACCACCCAGTACATAATTTGAGACTTGCAATTTGTAGCACCCAAAAGGTGGTCACAGAAGGGTTTGAGAAAGAAGGGGCATCCTCAAATGCGCCTCACAAAAAAAAAAAAAATCACCTATTTTGGAGACGCCTACATCTCAGGTTCACAAATACATTTGAACCCACACGCACACCTCACGACTCACGAGCTTTGCACCTCTCACCCAGCGTCGATCCACCCGAAAACGCCTCGATGTCATGCATCTTCTGTGCCAGCTGGAAGGCCTGCTCCGTCTTCTCCGTCATCTGGCGATTCACATCGCCTCGGCACATTGGACATCCACACGAGGAAACTTGGGGATCAGAAACGCCCAGTTCAAACAACCCGTTGGATTCAAAGCGAAACAAATAGGTTGGGAATGACAATTGTAAAGTTGTGATTTAAAGAAACAGAATCATACATACAGAGTAGCCCATTTTTGCGGAATTGCAGATCATTTTTGGGGGTCGCCTCTAAATCCGACGGGTTTAGTAATGCTGGGTCAGCACACCCCTTGAACGAAACCCTGAAAATGTGTAACCAACCTGGGCAGGTGTGCTGTTGAGGCTTTTTCTTCATGAGTTGCTTTGAGGCCCTTGGAACTTCGCTTCACCAGGTCGTTTTCTTGCTTGCTCCTAAAGCGAAAGAACCTCCCGGTCTACCCTAACCCCCGCGCATTGGCACAAAGTCATTCCATATTCCTCACTGATGAATTCTGTTTCGGGCTCCTTGTTGAGGTGACGGTGTTTGCAGCATGAATACCTGACTCGTCTTCCCCCAAGAGGCCCTCATTTCTGGAACGCTTGCACGAGAATGAGCAGTGATTGCAGCGCTCTGACGAGCACGCGTGATCCTAGGCCAATGTGGGTCGAAAAACGGGGCAACTTCGGCCCTCCTTCGAGTACTTTCCTTGCACCCCCAGGGAGGACCCGAAGTCACGGGCGTCTGTAGGCCATCCAAGTAAGGCTTGCATCTGGTTCTCCGGGCCCCATGCCCCGAAGTTGACAAAAGGCACCGATGAACCGAACGGGCCAAGTCGCATTGGGTCTGCAGTCGCTGGGAGACGCCCTGGCGGGATGCCAAACGGATCTGAAGCAAACAGCCAGTCAAGTGCCAGCCAAAAGAGAAACATGGACCCCCAAAACGGGGCCCCACAATACATGTGTTTCCCAACGGTTCCATGTCAAAGCGTTTTTTTTCTTGGGGAACATATTCAAGAGCCCCGCTCTCCGGCCTCCAAGGAGCTTCGGAGAGAGTCCAACTGCCTCAAGCGGGAGTGAAACCAAGAAGCGCTTTCGAGGCACAAATCATCAGCTCCGAAGTGGCATGGCTTGGGATCGGCTCCCACCGCTGTAGGGGCTCCTGACCCGTTTTCTTAGCACTTCTTGAGAGTGGTAAGGTTGGCATGGCTTCGACGCACAGCATCCAAAGAAACGCGGACCTGCAAATCCCTCTCTGCGTCAAGTGGCTGGTTCGTCATGTTGGCCCACTCCCTGCGCAGCGTGCCGCAGTTAAGAAGGCTGGTATTCATGGCATGGGTTTTGTGGCAATTGAGTGCATTTCCCCGGTCCCGAACACCAAATTGACTATAGGGGATGGCCTCCAAATAGGATTTGGAACCTAAGTTATTGGTGTTTCTTAGAAACAACCCGAAAAAGCGGGAGCCAACGCAAAAGAAGGAACCACACCCACACACAGACAGCTCGAGCCTTTTGACCATAAACCTCCCTTTTAGCCCATCGCCCGTCTACCATCCAGGCCTAGCATCCTTGGTGACCTCGGCCCTCAGCGACTGTGACTCTGCGACCCGGTGCTGCTCCGCGGACCTTGGCGTCGACCGATCAAGTCGACCATCCCCCTGCTCTCTAGTTAGCAAACCAAAAAGTGGGCTTTCTCCTTGTTGGGACTTGCCCCCGCTTTTGACTTCACAGGCCCCAAACTCCCTTCAGGTCGCGCACTCAGTGCTCAGAGACCCGGATTCGTTCGTTTGTTCGCTTCAAAGGAAAACCCACCACTTTGCAGGTCCCCGTTTAGAAAAAAAAAGAAAAACAGACCCGGAAGAGACACGCGCCGAGCAGCTCCAAGGCCTGGCGCTGCACCTCCAGTGCCACCTTGCCCTCCTTCAGCATGTGCAAATGCCCGTCCAGCTCCTTCCCGGCACGACTCAGATGAAATCGGAGCTCAGAGCGGCAAAAAACAAACCAAAGGGACTCAGAATCTCAGAATGGTGCGTAAAGCAGGGGAAAATGAGAATTGCCCTTTCTGAGAGACCTGATTCCAGGAGCGGTCCTCGGAATCTGGGCACCTGCAAAACTCCCCCCCCCAAAAAAAAAAAAAAAAAACTTTGAAGCAACTTCAAAAACATCTAAGATATGCCAAGAACAAAGCAGTGGGTTTCTCCTATTGCGGGGAAGCCCACAAACGCCCCTTTGCCCTGCCCTCCTGTCACTCCACCCCCCGAACCGCGCGTGGCTTCCTCCCTGCGGCTCGGCTCTCCTTGACGCGCTCGTGACGCTCCAGGTCGATGGCCTTGCGAAGGTCCTGCGAGCACTTCTGCCCCGACGCAGCCCGGCCCCTGGAAACAAACCATGCGCCCTGGGTAAACTTTGAAGGACGTCTTTAGTTGGTTCGTTTTGATGCACTTGGCCTGGCGGAGCAAGTCGCTCCGAAAACAAAACAAACACAAAAGCGGCTTCCCCCATCACAATCCAAGGGCTGTTTTTTCCATCTCCAACCCCTTATGAGATGCTTTGGACACGAACGTGGATCTTTTCCAGTCGTAGGGTGCTGCGCGTTCCCGCGCTTCTTCGCTCGGAGACGCACGCGTGACATGTCCTCCATACGATTGTCCTGCGTCTTGGTGCCATACTCCCTCTTGTTCTGTTCCTGAGGCCAAAAACCCTCACGCTGTCCCAAATTGGGACCTGCAGGAAGCACAGAATCCATCTCAAACCTCGCGTTCCGTGCGCTCGCGGGATCGATTCCGCGACTGGCCGCACTGGCGAGCAGCGGCATGGATGAGGTTCGTAAAGGACTGGATCCGCTCCGACATCTGTGCCAGCATCGCCTAGGAGCGACCCCAAACCCGAGTTGACTTTCGTTCCTTACCATCCACGAAATCAGGCAGTAGAACAACCCACTCTCTCAAAACAAGAATAAGCGATTCGCTTCTCATTGGTAAAGCCTTTCAGGATCGCATGCGGAGCAGGGCTTTAGGAAGGGGTGTCTATGGCCAGACTTGCCTTTTTGACTTGCTATACTCCACAAGAGAAGCGTGATGTTTGTCTTTTGCCAGTCGCCACAACAGCTCGGTGACACTTGTTGGCCAAGCTCCTCTCGAGAGAAACACAAATCGTCCGGCCCCTCGGCCTTTTGGCAAACCTTGGCTTACTTTTGCGCACCCTCCACATGGTTGTGCCTACATATCTGACACTCCACGTGCTTCAATCGCGACTTTCGACCAATGCTCGACCCAGCCCGCGCCTCCGTGCCAGTCCGGTCCTGGAGTAGCTGGTTCCCCACGTCTCCCCGCAGCGCCTGAAGCAGGAAGCCGGAAAACAGAGGGAGTGACAACCTTAGCTCAAAACCACATGTGAAGCTTCAGTAGGTCCTCAAATTTGAGACATGGCTCCCAGAACGGCATGACACAAATTACGTGTTCGATTCATTAAATGAGGGACCCATGGAATATTTGGGAGGGGCTCCTGATTTGCTTTATCACACATTTGCAGCATCACCTGCATTACCAACATCACCGGCATTACTAACATCACCTGCACTGCCACATCACCAGCAGCACAACAGCGCGCGCATCACCTCCATCCCCAGCAGTGCCTGCACCACTGGCATCACCTGCAAAGCCCCACGTTTATCACCTACGTCTCCAGCATCACACGCACTGCCAGCGTCACCCACATTACCAGCATCACACGCACTGCCAGCATCACCCGCATTACCAGCATCACACGCACTGCCAGCATCACCCATTACCAGCATCACCCGCATTACCAGCATCACCCGCATTGCCAGCATCACCCATTGCAAGCATCACCCGCATTACCAGCATCACCCGCATTGCAAGCATCACCCGCGTTACCAGCATCAACCGCATTGCAAGTATCACCCGCATTGCAAGCATCACCCTCATTGCCAGCATCATATCTTGCAATGCCAGCACAGCTAGAATCACCAGCAACCTGTCAGCTTGCCAGCATCCGCTGCATTACCAGCATCACCTCTGAACCTGCAAAATATGCATCGCCACCCTGCCACATCTGCCGCACCGCACCACCATCAGCTATCAGCACTATCTGCATTCTCAGCATTATCAGCATTATCAGCATTGTCGGCATCACTATCGGCATTGTCCGCATCATCCGCATCATCCGCATCATCCGCATCATACGCATCATCAGCAATATCAACATTATCACTATATTGAGAGAGTAAGAGCCCAACAAAAACATGGACCAGGCCTCGAGCTTCTCATCATTCTCCTTGCACTTCCGCTCCAACCTGCGGTTCGCAGAGTGTCCGGTCAAACCGCCTCCTTTTTCGGCTGGACCCCAACATGCGCAATTTAAGACCACCAACCTAGAGGGTACCCTCAAAAAAGACACCTCCAAATATCGAAAATAAATCCGACTACTTAGAAGTTGTAGCTACCTCCACCTAAAAAAGTAATCGAAGTGCTCTGCAAGAAGACTGACCAGTGTGGACATGAAATACAAGCATCGCGATCGTCATGCCGCACGACCCTGAAAACCAGTCTGCAAGTGGGTGGGCTCTCGCCTGTTCATTTTCCGGGGACACTTCCTGTGATGGCAGAACATGTTTCCCAACGGTGACTTGCTCTGAATTACAATCACAAAACTACATAACCGGAAGAGATTCTACTGTCAGTGTGAGTGTAAATCTGTGCACCCCAAAACATTCATCGCCTCGGGAAATCCATGGTTCTACTTGAGATCATACACCATCGTTTGGATCCCCATTCCCTTACGAGGTGCAGGTTTGGGGTGTTCGGATCCCTTATCGGAGCCAGCCGGCCGGCTGCCAAGGAGCTGTTGCTGCAGGTCTGACACCTGCATGCGCAGCATGTGCATATCGGTCTCGGAGCTCCGAAGCTTATCTCTCAGCACCTGCGCGGCATGAAGCTTCCTTGCCCCCTATGGCTTGGCTGCTATGGAACCGAACGGCGCGCATTTCTATTTGTCTACCAAAATCATCATGTTTCAAACATAGAGCACTGCTCAAAATGGGCGGTTTGCGGTTGGTTTGCCTTCAAACACCAACCAAAAAAACGGCCACAAATTTTGGACTCCCCCACATGAGTTGTGGGGTCGAAGGTCAGACACCCTGACACAGTGCCAATATACCGAGCTGCCACGGATCGCAACAGATGCAAGGTGCCTTGGGATTGATTCTGAACATAAACTTCCTTGGTTGACCTCCTTACATCAATCACTTGTCATCCTACGAGCAGTTCCATCATTTCTTTGCAACCTGTAACAAGACATTGAACACATACTGCTGGAAACGTTGACTTGACTTCCTATGAGGACGATGCCCATTGCAAATGCATGCTTGAATTGAGCTGCGGTGCCTGCTTGGTGGTTGGCTTTCGGCAAACTTCTCAGAGACTCTTCACTTTCTGCATGGAAAGCAGTTGGTCACGATGCACAAACAAAAAGCCACGGGTGACTAAGATTGGGAAGGCACCAGCTTGACTTCTTCTTGTGTGACAGGAGAGCTTCCCATTTGAGACGTATTCACCACACCCTCCCAATTGCCACATGTGCAAGGCCATTTGGCTGCTCACTTCTAGAACGGAAAACACCACCTCTGTCCAAAGCGCAACCCAGACTCGTTTCAAAAACCCACCCAACTCAAGGAATGGAGAAAAAGGTCCTTTACCCCAGTTCTTGAGGCCCGATGGGCCACGCAACTTTGGGCCTTCCACTGCATCTGAGCCAACTCCTCGCGGCGGTTTTCGATGAGGTGCACGGAGGCATCCGAGAGGTTTGCTTGCAGCGGCAGCTGGCTGCCTCGATGCGGTTTGGGTTTTGGGGGGGCCGGTGAAGAAAAAACCGCCGGTTTGAACAGGCTTCAACAAGGTCAAAAAAAGGGCTCTCTCCCCTATGTCTCTCTGGGTATGCGGACACTGCAGGAAGGCCCTTCAGTCTTTGACCTTCAGGATGGATTGCAAAACTGGGTGCCCCCTTTTGGATTTGATGGAAACCAAGTTGTCCTTCGTTTCAGGGCACATGGAAAACCCGACTACGGGAGAATGTGTCCCTGAAACGATGCCAATCATGGCAAATGGGTAGTGGTGCTTAGTTAATAGTGAACAGTTCACCAAGGCGCTCAGCACGGCATCTTGAAGCTGCTTGTCAGTGCAAATCCTCAACAGGTTCCATGTCAATGCATGGGGCAATAGCAGACTTTTTGAGGCGGGAGGAGAGCTTTGGATAGCGCAGGGAACACAATATCCGCTACTTATTGAGCACTCTAATGATGTGTTTAGGCAATGATGTGTTCGTTTCTCAAAACAAAGGACACCTCCAAATTGTTAGTGCTTTGGGCTCCCTTTGAAGCCATGCAAAAGCGGCTTCCATATTGCTGCTGCGATCACTTTCTTGGTACCACCTGCAGTTGGCCGAACAGTGCATGGCACGACCTCCCCATGTAAGGTGCTGACGATCCACTGATCCACGCTACGGAAACAAATGGAACAACCTACTACTGTCATCCTGGCAGAATCATTTCTCACAGCATGTCGACGCCGAGCGCTCCTTCTCCCAGTGCTGTCGCTGACCTCAAACTCCTCGCACGTTTGTCGGTCGGACCGCCGGTTCGCGCTCAGGTTGGAGGCAGGGTACATGCCATCGGCTGAATCCCTCATCCTTGCAAGTAAATTCATCCAACCGCAAAATCCTGCGGCAAGTTGCTGGGCCTCCATCCACCAAGCTTGGCAGTGTAACGTGGAGGTGCGGTGAAAGGGGGGGACGATCAAATGCTCTTTGCATGGGATGACGATTGATGAAAACTGCAAAAAAAACAAAAAAGTACTCTCCCCATGAATGTCTGCAAAAAGCCCCCCCCCCCCCCCCACAGCTCCTGCTCTTGGATTCCCAGAGAGTGCTGCAGCTCCACCTGCAGACCGCCCAGCGAGTGCAAGTTGTTCAGGTGGAACAGCTTTCCGCAGACCTCGCCACTCCATGAGAATAAAGGCGCACTTCTGTGGGATTGGGTGGAGACTGGAGGGGGGCCGGATCAAGATGGAAGCTAAAGGTGGAACAACTTGGACCAAAGAAAACAGGATGTGGGCAATGGCAAGCAATGCCATGTCAACCAGGTTGGGAGATGCCCTCGCGATACACGGCTCCCGGTTTCCTCAGTAACCTTGGACAAGGATTCCCTCAATGGCGACCCAAAAAAGGTTGATGTCCATGTGATCTGCCTTCAAAACCCACCACGGGGCTCCCCTTTAAGAGACCTCCCGGATTGGGGTCTTGTGAACACCACTTCTTTCGGCCAATCAAAGAGCCGCTAATCAGGGCAGCGCGGCTGCCACCGGAACATCCGCCGCGATCTTGGAGATGTCTGTGGGGCTGCAAAGCATCACTGCGCGATCCTTGGTCTGAAAGCGTCTCTGCACAAAGCTCCCCCGTTTGGAGGGTGGGCGTACCTTTTCGTGTCTAAGCTAATCGAAAAGGGAAAGTGAGCAACAAATTCCTTCAAACCCAAATCTTTAGAGCTGCTCGACTCGGGCTCGCTGCGAAGCCAATTTAAGGTAGACACCGAGTGCCAAGATTTTTCTACCTGTCCTTCAAACACACATTCGGCACACCTCTTCCCAAGAGGAGGGCTTTCGGACCTCGAGATTCTTGATCACCGACTGTGGGGTGAAACCAGGACGATGTCGACTGCTGCGGCATACGTGCTTTCGAGTCGCCGAGGAAGACATTTGCTGCGCAATCAGATCGCCCCGTGCTGTTTCTCTGAGCCAAATAGCTGCGTCAGTCATATGCCGGAAAACGTCAATGTGCCTGAAAGCGAAAGCGGGGAGGGGGTATGGGGAAGGGCTTGTTTGCAAAGGAAGCCGGCCATGCAAAAAGGAAGGTTGGTCTCACCAGTTTCCAGTCCTGTCAGCATATCCGACTGCCGGTCAGCCGTTCTTAGTGGGAGATTCGGAATGAGGCTTCTAGCCGTTCCACAAAGTCTCGGCGTTTCCTGGCTTTGGTTTGGTTTTTGGAGGGCGTATCTATTTCAAGGTATGGGGTGTGTAGATTGAAGTGGAACCCGGCAGATTCCGTGAATTCTTGCCCCCACAAAGCCAAGAACTCCAAAACGGAACGCCCACACCGACGAACCGGGGCCCAAGCGAAGGGGGGGGAAACGAAGAAACGAAGTGGGGCCAAGCGCCGGGCTCGTAGGCGCAAATATTCACGCCGTCCCCCACGCACAGCGCCGTGTGGGGCTGGCCGCCGCTGAACACCTCAGCCATCCGTCCGTCGCTCGCCAGGGGATCGTTCGTCCGCTGGAAGCGTCTGGTGGCTTTTTCCGGGCGGAACGAAGGAGGATGCAAAGAAAGGCGCCCTGCAAAGGGCGGCTGCCTCAATCCCTTTTTGGATGAAACGAAGGTAAACTCACCCCAAACATGGGTCCAATTGTTTGTTTTTTCTGGATATCAAAGCAAAGCGTAGGCGAGCCGCCCCATTTTGAGGGTCTACCAAATGAAAGTCCTGAAAGCTAAAAGACTGGAATCTGACCAACTGAGCCCAGACTCCAAGGGAGTGTCCTTTGGATCCTAAAGTCCAAAAGTCAATCAGTGGAGTAGCCTAGGTTCCCCACTTCTCAGTGGAGATAAGCAAGATGTAGCAGGCTATCCACAGCTTCTTAGCCACTTACTAAGTTGGCCAATCTGTGTGCGGTCAACCGTTGCAATGGCCTACACTGCCTGAGCACTGAAGGTTCAAGAACAGTTAGCTCTCAAAGAATCGCTTCCACAACCTGAGCATTTTGGCATGGAAGGACCCCTGGATTTGATCTTGGCTCACAATTTTCATGGCTGCACAGTAATTGGACAAATCAAATGGGAAATTAAAAACCCAAGCCGGTTGGACCCCGCCGACGGTTGCCATGCATTCGCCTAGCTTTCAACCTGGGGGGTGCAGTTCACGGCCGTTCGGGGATTGCCTGCATGTCTCAGTTGTAATTTGTAAGTGTGGGTCTTCGTTTCGAAAGATGGTGCACGTCGACCGTTCGAAGTTGTTGGATGTGTCAAACCTAGACTCCCACTGAAAAGAGTGTTGCATGCGTTGTTTTCTCAACACGAAGCCTCTACTGGAACCAAAGCCAGAAAACCAAACGACCCCAATCCTTCCTTTGCCAAGCCAACTCCCGGACTCCTGCGATGCAAATCTCGGCATCCCGAGTCCGGGCAGGCGACCCACACGTCGCCAGGTCCCACCAGTGCCACCTCGCAGTCTGGACCATTCAGTCCCCATCCCCGGCCCATTTTGGTGGTGGGACTGCTAAGTGCTCAAGGGCGCAACACAGGGCCTGCAGCCAAAACGAAACCATTTTTAGTTTCCGAGGGTTTTTTCCAAGCAATGCTCTCAGGTACTCTTCAATGGAAAACCTTGTCAGAGAACAAAACCAGCCACGCTACGCCGCTCGTCAACTGGACAAGCTTGCAGCTATGACCAAGAAAAGCCAACAAACCAGAACCATTTCTTAAACCAGTTCTCGACCAGTTCTCTAATAGTAACCAGTGACCAGTGGGCACCAGCTCGCAACCAATCTCATCAAGCCGCCAGCCAAACATGTTCAGCTACGTGAGCTGGGTATGTCCAAATCAGTGAACCCTCTTTTCTCTTCAGGTTGCATGTGTGCATTCCCCCCCCCAAACACGGGAAACTCCAAAGTCAGCTTTCGCACCTCCGGCGAACCCCGAACCCCGATCCCCAAACGGGTCCCCCCGCCGTCTTTGCCCGGCTGAGGAACTCTTCCTGCGCGTCGCTTCAAATTCGGGGCATCTCTGCGCTCAAAACACAGGTGCCTTTTGATGGGGCGAGCGTCCGTTGTTTCCTTTTGATGTCCCACAAGTCATCAAGAAAGGTTACAGATTTGTTGCGGGCAGAATCCCGCAAGTGACACCATGCGGGTGTGTCCAGAAACGAATCCACAAAAAGGAATCTGTCTTAATCCTTGAAGCTTTGAAACCAATTCAACAATAAACAAAAGGTTCCCCTCAAAAAGGTTTTGCCATTCCCTTCTTGTTATGGGAACGATGGAACCCGTGGGTTTGTGCCAATAAGTGTTTGGAGCAGTTCACCCAAAGGCAGAGTCTTCCCTCCAGTTTGCGGACTTTGCGTCATGCGCCTATTTCCTGTCAACTCTCAAGCTGAAAACTCAACTTGGAAAACCTACTCCTGCATATTAACAGGAACCTAAGGTCGTCTCCCAAAAAGAGGAAGAGATCCTCTGGTGGTCCTTGAGATTCCGACCTCCGCAGGCTGATGTGAGCTCGCGCCTCCTTCTGCGTCAGCGGCGGGCAGAAGACGGTACCTGGGCGAGGCGCCAAGTGTCCACTACAACGACGCTCGCAAACAATCAAAACCTGAAAAAACAAGGAGCCAAAAGTCGAAAATTGGTTTATTTGGTTATATGCATTTTTAATTACTCTTATTTACATACTATTTATGTTGGGGGGGTGAGTGAAGCAATGAAAAACCTGGGTCGGGAAATGGTAAATGGAAAATCTTAGAAGGAGACAGAATCCAAGACGTGTGTGTTCCAAATGGCTGAACTCCGCAGTCAAGAGCCCACCGGAAATTGACTCGACAACCAAAATCTAGTGTGCTCAAAACCCTTGGTACAGAATCGAAAGAGCAGATATCCGTACCTATCTCCAGCAAGGGTCCTATTTTCTGCTAGCCTTTATCGAATTCTGGCAAACGCAACTATGAAAGGCTTACCGAGGCCTTGCGATAAACCCCCATGAAACCAGATACAAGAACCAGCTGAATGGGACCAGGACTTGCAGTGGCTGCTCACACGTTGGGCTTGTCAATGGAGCGTGTTCTTGTGTGGCTCGCTTTGAAAGCCAAGCATCTGGCCGGAGGACCTACATTTGATACTTCCCAACAGCTACGGTCTGGTACGGTTCTGTTTAACCCAAAGCGATGTTGCAAAAGTAGCATGTACAACAAGGGAAGTCCCGCCCTACATATTGCAAGGGAACAAGGAAGTATCTTGACATCTGTCATTTTCGTGTTCGCTTTGTGGCTAGATGTGGTTGGTTCACTTGCTTTCCTTTCATCACATCTAGCAGGGCAGGCCTTTGCCCGCATCGTCCAGAATCGAATGCCGCTCGAGCCTCAGCAAATCATGTGACACGTGACACGTACGGCGGCGACAATAAAAGAGGTGTCCTCTCTGCAAACCGCTTGATTGAACCATATTTCTTCAGAAGGCACCGCACTGGCCGTAAAATACACGCCCGAAGGCTCCCTAATTTGTGTTGGGTTCGCTTGACCTCCAAAGCTGTGCCCGAGATCGGCACCAGGGCCACACAGCAAATAGCTTGAAGCCACACCAGTTGCGGCCTACACGTGGGGAGTGTGCCCAACAGGAAGTGCCCTATTCATGGTATTCAAAGGAAACCAGAAGGAACAAATAGGGAGCCACGTGCCTTGTGGAGAGGACACCACGCTTTGAACAGGCGCATACTGGCTTTCCGACCTGTGCCACTTTCGTTGGGTGATTCCTCGAATAGCGAACGAAACAAATTGCTGGTTAGTTCTAGCTTTGTTCCCTTCAAAGCCATCCAAAAGCCATCCCCATACCCCATTTGATGCCTCGTGAGAACTAGCCAATGAACCAAACGATTCACTCAAGATGCCTGGCCGAGTCTTCCATTGCTCAAGTAATTAACAAGCAATAGAGCCGCGTCTGGAAAATCACGCCTGGCGCTCGTTGCGGCAGCTGAGGAAAGTTGACCGGTGTGACGCTCAATCAGCGCGCCCCGCCTACATTGGACCACAAGCATTGATCGACGTGCAGCCTCGGGACGGGTGAAAGGCGGGCCTGGCTGAAGATGCATTTCTAGAAACCACTACCCCTCCCCCCGTGTTTGTTGTCTGTTTGTTGTCTATCCCATTCTTTTCTGGGGCTCGTGTTGGTTGAAACCTCTTAGAAACTCAGGAGTCAGGAGAGAAAGCAGGTGTCAACAGAATTTCTTCTTCGGCAAGGGCTCACCTCTTGTCTTCCCAAGGTCGAAGCCCTCTGTGGGCCTTGGGTCGCGCGCCCAGATCCGGCGCCCCGCTCCCCCACGAAGATCCCCCCCTCGGAGCGCTCCCAAAGGGGCAGGTGCCTGCCAACGGCACAAACCGAAAACCCCGGCGTCCAAACGGTAGCTCCGGGGAGGGGAGGGGGGGGTTTGGGGGAGGGGTTTGGGGGCGGGGAGCAGGTCGGAATCCTAGGATGTATGGGATTCGAGTAAGGGCTGCTACAAAGAAAACCGAATGTCAATTTGTTCGGGCCATAAGCAAAAAACTGGAAGATGGTGAGCTTTCGTTTGAAGGAATGATAGTTTGCTCATGCTTTGCGGTTGGCAATGCTTTTGCTTCACTGGCGTCCAACTCACCCCAGCAAAACGAAAATCAGTTTGAATAAACTGGCAAACTGCAGGTGACGGTTGAAGCCACTGTGCAAGGGGCAATGTGGGAACCCTACGCAACGTCGCCGTGGATCAGCTGCAACACCCACTTCCAGGTTCCCATGAGAGGTCTTCCTCAGTCTTGTCCAGGGTCTTCAGGGCTCATGCTTTACCCGCCTTGCAAAGGGTGCGACGTCGAAGATGTCACAGTTCGTGGCCTCGAATCGAAGCAAAAAAGGAAGCCCTTAGGTTAGTTGTGGGTCCATTACGCGGCCCTCTAAATGATGGTCAGGGAAGGCACCCCCTTTTTGTTCTCTTTTCGGGACCCAGTGCACAAGAAAACCAAAGCGAACATGCCATACCGGGACTCCCTCGTCACACATCCCCCGTCCCCTTCAGGCATGCATTGGAAGGCCAGCGGCCGTTTTCACTCGCTCGTTGTCCAGCGGGTGCCTGACCTGCAATGACCGATACTGCAGAGAGAATTGCTCTTGCTGCCCACGGACTCCTAGATGCCTTGGGAAAATTCTCAACAGAGGCTGGCCAAAAAAAGGTAACGTCCTGGAAAGTGCTTAAGGGTTCCGTTTGAACTGGAATACAACACACCGGCATCGATCGCCAGCTCCAACATGCGGTTCAGCGCAAAGTGAAAAACCATCACTGCATGGCGGGTGGATGTGAGTGTGTGCGTGTGTAGTGTAACCTGGGTTGGCCTACTCCGGATTCGCGTTTCCATGCCCAAACGGGTGCAGCTCGTCTTGACACACACACACACACATTCGCGCGCTCTCTCCGCACATGCGTACGCACATGCACTCACATTCCACTTGCTCAAGGGGCCACTCCGAAATGACATTCCTGCCAGTCATCCATCTCCCTTGAAACTGGGAAAACCGGTTTGCGCATGAAAGCCATGCGAGCAAAAACCGGAGCTCCTACCCAAACACCCAGCTCAGCGCCTTCCGCTGCCACCGGAGCTCCGAGATGTACAAGGCCATATCAGACTGGCGTTTGGTCTGCCCCCTCAGACCCCACCCCTCTCTTAGTCTTAGTCCAATGGTTTGTAATGATTAAGTTTATATTAATCTGCAGAACCATGCGGCGGACACCAACTCGTTTATTTACAGTGGCTAGGATATACCCACTCATTAGTCCCCCAACTCGGCCGAACAAACCCGAGTAGGAGAACACGCCAACAACGGCGGAATTATTTTGGATTTTACTCTAGACTCGTCCAAAAACGGGGCGGGCTGTGAATGCCCAAGCGTATTTGGGACACCCGCCTGCACTTTGCCATCCTTCTCTTGCGCTCCAAGCTCCCGATGCAACGATGCCAGGCACTTCTTATCATCCGGGTCCTGCGTCTGATGACCCAACAAAGGCTGTGTATAGATCAGACACGGGTAACAATGTGTTTTGTATGTATGCGTATGTATGCGTATGTATGCGTATGTATGCGTATGTATGCGTATGTATATGTATGCGTATGTATGCGTATGTATGCGTATGTATGCGTATGTATGCGTATGTATGCGTATGTATGCGTGCGTATGCGTATGTATGCGTATGTATGTGTATGTATGTGTATGTATGTGTATGTATGTATGTATGTATGTATCTATCTATCTATCTATCTATCTATCTATCTATCTATCTATCTATCTATCTATCTATGTGTGTATGTATGTATGTATGTATCTATCTATGTATCTATCTATCTATGTATCTATCTATCTATCTATCTATCTATCTATCTATAAAGCTATGTATTTGTGCATGTGTGTATGTATGTATGTATGTATGTATGTATGTATGTATGTATGTATGTATGTATGTATGTATGTATGTATGTATGTATGTATGTATGCATGTATGCATGTATGCATGTATGCATGTATGCATGTATGCATGTATGCATGTATGCATGTATGCATGTATGCATGTATGCATGTATGCATGTATGCATGTATGCATGTATGCATGTATGCATGTATGCATGTATTCATGTATGTACTATTCTGTGTGTATGTATAAATATTTATAAACATGTATAATAAATATATACATACACACATATGTATATATATATATGTATCAGTGTATATGCGCCTATTAACAAAATATGTAAAGCATGCGAATGCACTCTCGCTGTAATTCTTCCAATGTGCTTGTCATCAACACAAGGACAATGGTGTCATGTCTGTGTCTCCGGCCACAAACGAGCCACTCTCGGGGGCCATCAATTTGACAATGGGTGCCCGCGATTGCGATTGCCACTAGGGACACCACTAGGGGACACTTCACTTTGTGGGAAAGCAACCCCCAGTTGATCAGCAAGCCTTCATCTGGGGTCAAGAATACTTGGCCCCAACCAGCCCCACTGCAAAGCAGTCCTTACCAGCAGTGCTCTTCTTTGGCACCTGGGCATGGCGCACAAATCTGAGCGATGGCCCGAACATCTGACCTCCGCATGTTGTGCTTTGAATCCACCACAGCAGGCCTCACAGGAAGATTATGCAGGGGCCCCTATGAGAATGAGCTGGAAAGAACCTCCGTATGCCTTTTAAATCGAGAATGCACCAAAAGATCCGCCATAGCACCCTGCAACAGCACCCTGCAGCTCTTTGTCACAATCTCTAGCAGCACCCTGGCAAGCCTACAGCACCTTGTCCAACGTTTGTGTCCAGCGCCATCTAGGGGCAGACAGCATTCAGCTCTCTGGGAACTCGGAATTGAGAAACGCATTCCGCTCCAGACATCCGCAGCCACTCAGAAACGAACGCCTTGATCTCCTTCTCCCGGCCACGCTGCCCGTAGTGCCAGAGCCGGGCCTCGAAAACGATGAAACCCTGGCCTGGTTGGGGGGAAGACATGGATTCAAGGGTTTTACTACATGGGATTCAGCTTGCTCGGATATGGCCAAGAAATCCTGGGTTGCTTCCCTTATAATAATGCCTTTGTGTGGTGATTGTCCTGGGGGGAAATTATGCAAATAGCAGGCGGAGTCTACCTTGTTGATGGAATCATGGCGAATAGAACAAAGTCGGTTGGAAATGGGGGTGAGTCATTGTGTACTCCTCACTCGACACATCACATCCCGAGGCCCGAGCTCGGAAGCACTGCGACACCTCCGCGTATATGGCAGTCAAGGAGGGTGAGTCCTAAAATTGAAATAGGGGCCCACGTGCCCAAGAAAGACAAACCAAATCAGGACTTTTGGGCGTTGGTCAGAGAAAGGCTTGGTGTTGGAAGCCAAAAGGGTGCCCTCAAACTAAGGGGCGCTTGTGAGTGATTGCTTCCCTTCTGCTCTCTCTTTGTGCGGGACTGGCACAAGTGATCTGCTTCCAAGCTTCGGAAGCACTCAGAGAAGGAAATCGAACGCCACCTTTAAGGGGCCCCCAATTCGGACTTGCCCAAAAAGCCCAACGATCGGTGGTCTCGAAAGCGAAGAATTGTTGGCCTGCCATGTTGAATATGAGTGTGATTCCCTGCAAAAATTCCGGACGTTCTCAGGACCACACACCCAACTCTCCTGGGTTCCCGTGTTGTTTCCTGGGCTGTGATTCGGACCTTCGGATGCATACTAATATGAAGCGGGTTGGCTCACTTCGGAGTGTCTTGCAGTTGGTAGGCCCATGTGGGTCACCCTAGCCACGCTTCACTCGCCTCCGCGAGGTTGGCCAGCACTTCCCGCACGCTCTTGGACCCGTTCGCCGCTTGGCGGAGCCTGAGACGCCAATCGCGCGGGCTAGGGCTCGCACTGCGGGGATTCACCTCTCAGAGGTCAAGATATGTCCGACCCAAGCATTGCAGCATTCAAGCGAAAACACTTTAAAGGGCCATGAATTGCACTGTTTCATCCTCTGGAAAAAGGAAACATAAGGACCTCTGCCGCTTCTGATAAGTTTGCGCACCAAACGAAGCGCGAACGCGAAAGGTGCTGGGCGGACCGACCCTTAGAAGCTGACTTGACAGCTTTGCGCGTCGCGCTGGTGGACGATATGGATCAAAACGCGCATGGCAAGCCCCGACAAAAAGCGGAGAACTGCTCTCACTAACAATCTCCTCCCCCCCCAAACGTCAGAAGGCCTGCCAAACGACACGCAAAACTGGATGGTAATTAACTCATGTCTTTGTTTTGAAGGTCCCCCCCCCTCTTCGCGGTGTTTCTTGGAAAACGCAGGGGCTCAAAAATAAACGTGCCACTTCCAAAAACAGACGAGCCGCCCAGATTATCCTCGTCTCAACTGGCCCCCAAAAACCCACGCGTTCGCTCGTGCTCGCGCGTCCGGCTGGCGCGGCTGGGGCTCCGCGCTGCTCCGGCGCTGCGGCGCCTTGGCCCAGGAGCTCGATGCCCCTGGGAAGCACCTCGGAAAACGCGCCGAGCAAGCGAGCCGAGCTGAGCCGAGCTGAGCCGAGCGAGCTCGCAGAGCGAAAAGACCCCATATGTATATATATATATATATATGGTTGTCTCTATATATTTATTTGATTACCTATTTATGTTTGTTTTTTGTTTTTCTTGTGTATTTACTTATTAAGTGTACTCCTTCATTTATTGATGTGTTTTATTTGCTTATTTGTTTATTTATTCATTTATATGTGGGTCTGTCCTTTGGACCTGAAAAGGGTACCCTCAGAAAAACACCCCCATATACTTCCTGGGGGTAGACTTGTTGGGAAAACACCCCGATCTTGGGCTTCCTGAGAATTCCTCGGTATGGTGGTTGGTTGCCCAAAACCAAGTTGCAAGTAGCGTTGGTTCATTTGCAGAAACCAACTGGAAACAAAACCAACCGTTTTTGACACATACCCGCATGGCACAATAGGTGACCAAATGAAATTGAAACATCATGTTGTCGTTAGAACAGGCAGTCGCAAGCCTCAAGTTGCGTAGTGGCTTTTCAAACCCAACGATAGATATGGCTCTGTTTTTTTTGGAGCTGCCTTTTCTGCAAAATGAGGGGTGGAGAATTCTTCAAAATAGGAATTGTGAAGTGGGGAGACAACAAGAGCAAAGGTGGCCACTTATCTTGTAACTACCACAAAGGGCTCAGTGCGTTTGCTGGCATCCCGTCCGTGCCTCTCCCAAAACCAGTTCGCGACAGCACCGTGCGAACGCCCGCAACATCGTGGTTTTCCTGATTTTGCTTTTCCTCGAACACCGCGAAAGGGCACCAGCCCAAAAACACGCATTCCGCTTTGCAAGTCGCGAAAAAAAGTGGGCGAGGTTGCAATATCTCGCCCGGCTCCAGGGGCTCCAGGTCTGAGGACCCGACAACGACCCGGTCCAGGTGCGTCTGCATTTGCACCACCTCCAAAAATTCATCCACGGTGTGCACCACCTGCCGCGAACCAAAGGAGACGCAGACCTGGAAAAGCCTCATCTTCTCTCACGCGAAAGAACCACCCCCCCCATCCACCCCATTCCTGTGGCCTTCAAAGAAAGCAAGCAAGCGGGCCTCGATGAGAAAGGGTCACGTGCTGCAAATGGTAAACCCAAAAGCTGAATTCAGGAGCCCGAAACAAGAAAACTACCTGTCAGGGGCTTCCCTCGTTTGCTCCGGTATGTGCAACGGAAAATGCCCTGTAGGGTCCTTTCAAAAGGAATCCTGATTTTGCATTCCCTAGTTCCCTAAAAAAAGAAGACTCCACCAAGAAGCTGACTGCCCCAGTCCCAGTCCATCGCCTGCGGCTTTTGATCCTCCCGGATCGGCCACAACGACTCCTGGCCGAGAGGTTCGATGGGTGAGGTTCCTCTGGGATTCCTGTCTTGCAGGTCCTGGGCGGGGTGCTCAGGGGCACACATTGGGAAGACACCAGTTGGGCATCGCGAGCAAGTAGCCAAACGCTGGACGGAAAGAGAAAGAGGTGAGGAGTAGCGGGGCCAACAAAGGAAAGCCTCTATGAGCGTTCTAACATTCGCTGTTGCCCTGAAGGACATGGGTGGGAGGTTTCCCTGTTTAGTGGGAAGCTTGGATGGGACCCCTTTTGTATCCTCCCCAAAGTGTTTGCCTCTTTGGGTTCTCAGTTCCCCTTCCGGCTCGCCTACGAAACTACCTGTCAGCTAAGAGACGAGTCAAACCGATCCCATCCGATCGCATTGACTCGAAATCCTGCGGCGGAAGTTTCAGAGGCTGGCCAAAGGGACCTCAGCGCCGCGATCGAGCGGGCGAACTGACCCAAGGACAATGCTCCAGCCGCGCCACCGCTGGGGCAAGCACAACTTGACGCTTGACCCCCTTTTCTGAAGTGATGTTTGAGTCGCAAAAAGTTAGCCGTTCGCCTTTTAAAGCGGGACCTGTCATTTTAAACAGGCAAGAGGTCGAACCTCAGGTTTCGCGTGCATATAGATGGATTGGGGCATACCCTGAGACACGTACTTGTTTCCCTTGACCTTTGCGGAATCAAGTTTCAAAAGTAAGAGAGAGCAAGACGTGCGGGAACACCAGGAAAGCCGGACACAAACAACTTGGCCGAAGCCTCACGGCCTACAAATCGTGTGAATGTCAGGCCGTATACTTCACAAGTTGATTCCAGGCTTCATGCAGGTTCGGACAAGAGTGCGGTCCGAGCAGTGTCTGCTTTGCCGGCCAACCTCCTCTTCACCTCAGCCTAACCTAACGGCAAACTCCTGACGCAAGTCCCCGGACGGCCCCCGACCCCCGAACCCCACCAGGCGCCAAGCATGACTGCCCATCAGCTACCATTCTGATTCAAGCTTGGGGAGTGGCTGTCTTGCTCTGGGACTTCGTGTGCATTGGGGTCCTAGCCCCTCTTGACCCTTCCTGAGCGAAATAAATCGACCCACAAAGTCCCGGGCGTTTCTGCTGGCCCTCCAAAATCTAAAAATGAGCTGCTGAGCGCTTCTTCCTTGGCCAAAGTTCCATGAATGCTCCCAAAAGGGTCTGCCTGTGACCGAAGGCCAGCCCAAAATTGGCGGGCGCCCAAGGAATTGGCGACTTTGGTTGGCTGGACCCCATGAGATCCATGGCCGCCTTGGGAACTGCCCAGCTGCGGCAAGCGAAGCAAGACCCCCAGACCAAACCCCAAAGAGATGTGGCAGTTGAGCCTTGTTTAGGGCTTGTTTGCCCCTTTACTCGAGGGCATCATGCGGACCGACAAATTGAGCAATCTGCAACACCTGTGCCGAAATCGTCTCTACAATCAAACACGGGTGTGTCTTCTTGTTGCGGGACCCCTGTTACGGAAGAACAACCACCACGTGGTTGTTCTTTAATTTTTCTTTCTTTTTTTTTTTGGGGGGGGGGGGGTCCCGTAAGAAAACAGACTCACACCTTCATCAAAAGGACGTCTGCCACGTTGCCGAATTCGCCCACCTCACGCCTGCCAGCCTTTTTCCTGAGCCGCCTCTGTTTGAGGGGGCGAGCTTGCTGCGTCATGGCCTCGCCACTCTGAAGTGACCCCCCCCCCACACTGTTCGCCCAGCTGTTCCAATGCTCCGATATGACTTTCGATATGCTGTCAGACAAATTACACCAACATGGGCAGTAGGCTTCTAACAGTAGGCGCGTCAATGAAGTGAAAACTGGGCCATGATTACACAACACATGAAAACAACCTTGAGCGCTCAGTTCATTGTTGCGGCAACACCCTGCTCTGCAGCACCCTCAGTGAACACTCTTCCCAACACGTCTACAGCACGCTGCAAAAAACACCATGCACCACTCTCAGTCTCCCCCACCAGCAACACCCTGGCACAGCACCCTGGCACAACTCACAACACTTTCCAGCAGCACCCTTCGCAGCAATTGTTGCGCCACGCCCATATCTACGTGAAGTCAGAACCGCTATAGCTCTCAGCTGAGTAGAAGAACGCCCATCCTTGCCACTCGTCAGCACTTTATGTTTCGCAACACTCGGTGCCCTTTCAAGGCAAACATGGTCCGCAACTCGCTTGGGGCACGGGCCGGGCGAGCCAGGGCTGGTGCTGGGCGGCACTGCAAGCTGCACACAGGTGGTGGCTTGTCGGCAGTAGGGGCCTCACCGGAACCCGCGCCGTGATGCTTTTTGTTTCTTCTGGAGACACTGCCAGAACGGCAAAAACATCGACAACCCCGAATCAAGTGGCTGCAGTCACTTACGTGTCAGGTTCTAAACATCACCAGAAGGAAACTCGCTCAAATGGCCCATCTTACAAACGTGGATATTCGCAAGCCACCTTCATTGAAAACTAACTAGTTGGAAACGTATGGTTTGTTTTAGTAGGCAATCGCATGGGCGCTCACTTCTGACGCTTACTGTATCATGTCCATGCGGGTACCCTTCACACCCTGTATAGCATAGACATGGACACAGACATAGACATAGACATGTATACACTTGCCTGTAAGCCATACACTCCATGGTTGATGATTTCCTGGAAGCCTCGCGCGCGATGCCCTTCGTGGGTCCTTTGCCACCGGCAAGTACCTCGAATACTGTAGCATCCCCTGCCATTGGTTAGGTCAAGCGTCTATCTTCGTCCAAACCTGCAAAGGGCTCATCTGACATCCACTGTATCATCCAAGCCAGTCATGTGTGCATTTATGTGTATACATATTCAGGTATGTTACGGAAAAAATGGTGTGTCTTAAGGTTCATTGCCTTGACTGCATAGGGATACATGCATATCCATATGTGTATATGTCATTCTGTGCGATTAATGTATGCACTTGCGTACGTACGTACCTACGTGTCTGTATGTATGCATGCATGCATGTATGTTTGTATGTATCAATGTATGTATGTATGTATGTGTATGCATGTATGTATGTATGTATGTATCTATGAATAAATGCATGCATGCATGTATGTATGAATGCATGCATGTACGTTTGTATGAATGCATGCATGTATGCGTGGGTGAAGCAGGTCTGTCTGTATGCATGTATGTATGTGTGTGTGTATGTATGCATGCATGCATGCATGCATGCACGCATGTATGTATGTATGTATGTATGTATGTATGTATGTATGTGTGTCTGTATGTATGTATGTAAGTAAGTAAGTAAGTATGTATGTATGTATGTATGTATGTATGTATGTATGTATGTATGTATTGAATGTATGTATGAATGTATGTATGTATGTATGTATGTAGGTAGGTAGGTATAAATATGTATGTATGTATGTATGAATATGTGTATGTGTATGTACATGTAGATGTATATGTATACGCATATGTGTATATATATATGTATATATGTATATATATATATATACATCTGCGTGTGGTTGTATGCATCTTTCTATGTATCTATCTATCTATCTATCGATGTATCTATCTATCTATCTATCTATCTATCTATAAAGCTATGTATTTGTGCATGTGTGTATGTATGTATGTATGTATGTATGTATGTATGTATGTATGTATGTATGTATGTATGTATGTATGTATGTATGTATGTATGTATGTATGTATGTATGTATGTATGTATGTATGTATGTATGTATGTATGTATGTATGTATGTATGTATGTATGTGTATGTGTGTATGTGCGTATGTGTGTATGTGTATGTGTATGTATATGTATGTAAATGTAAATGTATATGTATATGTATATGCATATGCATATGCATATGTATATGTATATGTGTATGTGTATGCGTATGCGTATGTGTATGTATGTATGTATGTATGTATGTATGTATGTATGTATGTATGTATGTATGTATGTATGTATGTATGTATGTATGTATGTATGTATGTATGTGTATGTATGTATGTATGTATGTATGTATGTATGTATGTATGTATGTATGTATGTATGTATGTATGTATGTATGTATGTATGTATGTATGTATGTATGTATGTATGTATGTATGTATGTATGTATGTATGTATGTATGTATGTATGTATGTATGTATGTATGTATGTATGTATGTATGTATGTATGTATGTATGTATGTATGTATGTATGTATGTATGTATGTATGTATGTATGTATGTATGTATCGGACGGACGGACGGACGGATGGATGGATGGATGGATGGATGGATGGATGTGGATGTAGGATCCATCCATCCATCCAGACAGACAGACAAACAAGCAGACAGACCTCCCGCCCAAGCTCGAGGGTCCCCCGCATTGGCGCCGCAGGTCCACGGCACGAACCATGCCTCAGTGCAAGGTCCGGGCTGCCATGTCCCGCACATCGGTGGACCATCCAATTGGAAGACCACACCTTTCCTCACAGAATTTCTGCGTTCCAGGTTTGTGGCAAGACTTTTTCGACTTTCTCAAGCATTAAGATGGCGAGCCATGGATGTATCTCAAAATGCCGTTTCAAGGCGATGTGTGGTGGGTCTGAAAGAAGATATCTACAGACCACTTGCATTGAACGTTGGTGCCGAAAAGGGGCACAGTCCTATTTCTGAGACAAACCTAGCTTGCCATTTCTTCACGTCTCATATTAACCATTTGTTGGCTTTCTAAACACGTTCAACAGAAAGAGAGGCTGGAGCAAGCTGTCGGGCTTTTCCATCTTGGCCATCCCATGTTCCTTCATCGCCCCCTTTCGAAAACCTGTTTGCGGCACCTGAGGCGGCAGCCTAGGCACCTCCTTTCCACACACGGACACGTGATGGATATCAGGGAGCTCTCCACTTCGGCACGGCCGGCACACGAAAACCAAACCCCGTGCAAGAAATGTCAGTGAAGAAGCCAAAGCAAAACAAGCGGAAGCCGGTCAAACCAACAAATAAAAGTTGATTTCCACCAACACCCCACCCCATCCGCCGCCTCAACTGCAGCCAACAGTGTGCTTGAGACCCCGGGGCCCCAGCAGCGGCGGCAAGCAGCGTGGCCGCAGGGCGGCGCCCAGGGCTCCACCATTTGCTCGTGGCCTTGTTGGCAGGGAACATGGAATATAATACATACAAAAGTAATAATACATACAAAAATAGATGTTGCAATATGTATACATGTGCCTGGTTATCCGGTACTTACTATGTATGTTGTATACTATATTATATATATATAAGTAGATAGCACCAAAACTCGAGTTGAGTCACAAGCCGGGAAATGGAAAACAAGTGGGTCGAGTTTGGAAATGGGACACCTGGGAGATGAGTCAGAATCAAAGCTTGGCGACAAGAAGGAGTCCATCCAAAACCTTTGGCAAGGCGAGCAATCAAAAGGGCTGGTACGTTGGCTGTGACTATCAGGCTGGGCAAACTGCGGGCGCAGAACTCTTGCAATTGCTTTGTGGTTGCTGGGAGGGGGAGGGGCTAGCAAGCGGGTTGCTGTTCATTCCTGTGGAGCCGTCGGCCTGTTGTGTGGGGCTGCCAACATGTGCAGATGAAACGCACAACGGCTCTTGGCTTGATTGGCTCACACGCGAAGGCAACAATGAGGCCCTGAGGCGCCGGCAAATGAAACAGTTGAGCCTTGGAAGCAATGCCAGGGCTTGTCAGCGTGTTCACTCACAAGCATCGGCAGCACTGGTGTGCATTTAGGTCCAAATAGATGGCGTTCTTCCATCATTCGCCGATGCCTGGTAATTGATCAACTACCCTCAAAAGGCTCTCTGTCTTCGCGCACAAGGCCCAGACGCATTTCCCTTGTCTTGAGTCGGCTCAGTTGCCTCCACCTGCCCATGCTCAAGAATGCCGAGAATGCTGCAAGAAGAGCCTGGGTGTGAATTTCAATTGGGGAAACTCCTTCGGTGGACATCATTTGTATGGGGATACGTGCCCACCA